AATGAAAACTTAGCAGTTTATGATTTACAACAACAGCTCATTAAGTGCATAAAGTAATTTATATCCAAAATAATGAGCAGAAAGGTTTGTTGATTGAATCATGTCATTTCTAAAGGTATAACAAAATACTGAGCTCAAGACATGTTCTTACATACAAACACTGTCAAAATGTGCTAATTACTTGGTATATAAGGCCAAACTGCCAACATGAGATGATTAAGACTTTTATTTAAATGCATAAAATAATAAGAATAAGAATTTTATTTAAATGCAAGAGCAGCAAAAGGAATGACTGGAGTAATGACAATGCCTCAGGTGCCCCTGGCAAGATAGAAGGAAGCCTGTCTAGAAAAAAAGTATCCAGGTGTACAATATATTCAGGTTCAACCACCAGCCGTCTAGACCAGAGAAAGCAGGAAACTGGAAGTGCGAGGAACAGTCCCGTCCTGGAAGGTACAGGGTCACCACAAGGGCCCAGGACTGTGTTATCCACCCGACACATCTTTGCAATCATTTTCAGACTGCAGTAGCAAGGAAAAATAACCTGTGTGTCAGCAGAATGACTGTAGCTCACTGTCTACATGAAAATGATCTAAATGCCCCGAAGTCCTTCAGGAGTAATGTTGACAGCTGAGAGACAAAATTGCCATCGCCTTTTGGTCATTGAACACTTGCGCTGGCAGCAGAGAGAGGGCTGGAGTGTGTCATTCACCAAAGAAGGGCATTTTGCCCCTAACAGACCTGCCAGAAGAGCATGTGTGTGGAGACATCACAGTGAGTGTTATACCGACTCCTGCGCTGTTGAAACCCACCGATAGGATAGAGGAAATGTGAAAGAATCTCCATGGTGTAGAAATTGGCAACCTCAGAACTCAGAGATGCATTGACCAAATCCTAGAAAACAACAGTTTTTAAGCTCTTGCAAGTCGATCTGAACAAAATGCAGATTTTCCAACAGGAGACCATAAGAACACTGTAGTGCTAGGATTAGAATGATATGTCTTCAAGAAAGCTATACTGAGCTCTAGCTGATATTAACATTCTTTTTTTTTTAGTTTGACTGCTTTTCACATTTCATATTGAAAACGTTTCATGATTCTTTGATGTGAAGTTTGTAACAATTTCTTGGATTTTGTTTTCATATCTATGTTTAAGAAATTCAACCCATTAGTCCTCGGTGATGCAGTGTTTCACTGATCAACCTCAGCAGTTTAGGAAAAATGTGGGAAATTTGGAAAATGTGTTTAATGCACTATTCATTAAACCATTCTTTTATATTGCATTTAGCACTCTGGGGAAAAAACATCAGAAACCAGTACTGCTAGATGACTTCACATTATATGTACAGAAAGCACCAGGTCATTCTAAATCTATTCTCTTTATCAAAGTACCAGAGACATAGGTATCACTCAAAAAGGCAAAAGATGGCAATATATTACCAGGCAATGCTGTGGATAGTGACACAGTGTGACTGGACAAGAAAACACTCAGTGAGATTCTCTAATCAATGAGCTACTAATAACAAAAGAGAATGGATTCCTCCTGTTCAACATTTTTTCCAGCGTTTGTAGGATGTCATACAGTGAAATTATTCTAGGGTGTAAAATGTTACTGGACTGTGGAAGGTAATCATCTGCCTGTATCAGACTGAGCTGCAGATACATATGTATACAGGAAATCACATGAGCAAGCAAGCACAACTACAACTGTAAAAGCAGCTCTGGCAATTGAACATACACTTGTGGAACTACACAGCTAGGCAGTAACCAGGTTAAACCCAGGTAAACTTTTTTTCCCCATCTCTTTCTCTACCCTATACACCTTTCAAGCATGATTAACAGCTAGTTGAAAACAAAAGAAAACAGGGAAAAATCTTGAGTGTAACATCAGTGATTTATAACTATGAAAGCAATTCCCCTTTTATAAAGCAATTACTGTGACCTATTTTCTGTGTGGAACATGGTTGACACTGAGGTAATTTCAAGGCTCCAGGCGTGAACTCAGAAACTCAGCCCTGAGAACCAGATAAAAGCAGCACAGTCTTTATCTGAGGCACCCTTTTAATTCAAGAATCAATAGCATTTTGTGTTGTAACTTGCAGTTCCACTTCACAGTATAATCCTTCCCCATTTCTGAGTGTGCAAACACCAGACGACATAGTCACTGTATTGGGTCAAAATGTCCCATGAAAACTATGCTGAAATTCTACCTAGTGCAGTTTTATCAGATGAAATTGCATCGGCATGTGTACCTATTTCCATTAAAATTAGTATAAAACAGCAGAATTGAAAACATGACCTGCAAATTTCATTTTACAATTTACCCTTGACAGGAATTCAACATGACTGTGCTGTAGAAGCACACATTTGAAAAGGCTCAAAGACATCTGTAACACAAGACACAAGTAAAAACTTTAGTGAGCCAGGATAAATATCTGAGCTATAGATTTACTGACAGCTTATGCACAAACCATGCTGAATACATCAATTAATATAAAACGTGAAACTGCTTCAGTATATTAATAAACATTTTCAACTAAATACAACTGTATAATGAATTTTCAATTTGTATTTACATAAAAGCTTGTATATGTAGGTCTTAAGGACTTATTCTAAACTACACTAATCTCAGTTGTTTCAATAACACATAAATCAAAGATGTATTGTATTCATGGTGTTCCAAGAAACCTTGTGAGTCACATTCAGCTCCACAAATGAAATGTTGCAGGAAAATAAATATTACCCCAACCTACCACATACATCTATTAAAAACAAAACATAAAAATAAAAGGCTATTAATGGACAGAAGAGTTCTTGAGTAGTTGATATAGGTTGTCCACTCATAAAGCTTGTATTTAAATTACAGCAATATCTCATTATGCTGAAAAGAGATACATGTATCTGAAGGAAAAATCTAATCTAATTATTTTGCAGCAAATACTGGAATGTTTCAAAGATTTTATATTGCTGAATTCCTCATTTAAATAGCACTTCTGTCATGCTGAGTATGTCTGGCTCCAAAGCCTCCAATGTCTATCTAAAATAAATAATTCATTATCAATCACATCTAGCTGGCTTAGTTTCAACAACTGCTTGCTTCACCACTGCAGATAAGAAAAAAAACATTTATCACTGCTGTTCAGCTTAACAAAACAGCTTTCCAATATACAGCCAATGACACCCAGAAGCAGATCAAAAAACACTGCAATGAATGTATATCAGATTACCAAAGGCTCAACTGTAATCAAGATCTATTGAAAGAATGCTAAAAACTGAACATACATTCATTACACTTAAGAAAGGGTTGGGAAACCTTTTCTTCCATGACTTGCACTCATCAGATCAAGCACAGTTTAAAAGCTGGGCAGCAAACAGTTGTGGGGGAAAGGGAAGAGATTGTGTGGAAGGGGGGAAACTTGAGTAAACGTCCCTTTGCCAGTGCTTTGCATGCTTGTCAAATACTCGGTGTTTGGCAACCTGTAGGCAATGTGGAAAAAAAACCTGCAGCAAGCACTTTCCTCCTGGGAAGTCAGCATTGCACATTTTCTCTTCAATGCAAATGGAACACAGTCTACTGTTCAAAACAGAATAATCAAGAGTGCCGGAACAGCATTCTGTCACGGCAGGCCATTAAAACCTGCCTAGAGAAACACGCGAACTTCTTTGGGTACGAACACAAAACAAGAATAGGGCATTCGGAGTCAGAGCGTTCCCAAATGTTAAGGCTTTTACTTATTTAACATAAATTCAGGGTTCAGAAGAAAAAAAAACCCGATGAAGGAATCACGCCGGCCTTGTATATCCTAATGTATTTGGGTGGACGATCCACCAGACGCGATGTAAGCCCCGATCGGAGCCGGCGAGAGAGAAAGGCGCTGATTTGCCGGCAGGGAAAGCTGCACCTTGGCTCTTCCCGGCTAGACGCGGAGCCAGACGAGCAGAAGCTGGGCTGGTGAAGGGCCCTGCTCCCGACGCCCTGCTCGGTGGGAGCTAACCCTCATAATCAAGACACGCTTACATCACGAACTAATTGATCGGCAGACTGCACCACACAGACCCTGAAAAGCAAGCAGTTCACATCCCAACCCAAGGACGTGTCGTCGTCTATACCCAAGCAGGATCTACGTTCCCATTCCTCCCCCCCATCTAAAAAAATAATTTCCTAAATCACAGCCAACTGAAAGCGTCTAATGTAACTAACCCAACACTGCAGATGGACTCATACCGCCCCCCCACACAATTAAACCCATGCTTGTTAATGAAAGCTAGCTCGCAGGAACTGAGCAGATTTCATGCGGTCGGATGGGGATTAGAAGCGATTGTGGGAACACCGTGGGCTTGCGGGTCCTGACAGGCGAGACGGGGTGTTTTTTTTTTCTTTTGGCAGCCACCCGTCACTGCAACAAGCGCTCCCGAGTAGCATTCAACTTGAAAAGACTGCCGAAAGAAAGATGCGGAATAAGTAATTGTGCACACGCACAAAAAAAAAAAGAAGCACGACTTAACAGTTTCGCACGGGTGACCAGAGAAACAGTTTCGGACCTCATTGTTACACATGATGTTTCATTTTTATAGCCTCGCTACTTAAAAACAGGGTGTGCGATCGCTATGTAACAGACGGTCGATTTAATTTCATAATTTGTGAAAGGACATCGGTTCAGGCACAAGGACAGCAGGCGGTGAGAATAAATCCGTTTTTTTTTTATTCCTGCCGCTACTTAAATCTGTAGCGACTGGTTCTGTTTGCGATGAGCTGCCAAATGTCTCCAGCACGGTGATGATGATGAAATAACTCCCTTACACCAACAAGGTAAGCCTACTTCGGGGCCAGCAGGAAAGACAGTTGTTGCTGTACAGTAGGTGGTGGTAGAATAAATTTCTACTCATTAATGCGACAAAATCAAATCGGCACTCTCGGTGTGCTGGTGGGGACCGATTTGAAAGGACTCGCCCCGACCGCTGCTTATGTAAACCGCAGAAGACGAAAAAGTATGCACTTACCGCTCTGTTCTCCTAGAAAGACCAGTTTAAATTTCCTGAGAGGGTTTCCGAAGTCTCCTCCCGCGGACATGGTTGCAACAATTCAAGAAGGCGAAGCAAAAAAAAAAAACCCGGACGGTCTGGGAAGCACACTCTACTTTATTATTTCGTAAAGTTGGAGAGCAAAAAAAAAAACAAAAACTACCAGCTCTCCCTTCGTAAGGCAGTATGCTTCTACTTCAGACCTACGGAATTTGAGCGAAACTCAAAAGTATTCTCCCCCACTTCCTAGTCTTTCCTCCCTGTTAAATAGACTTTTTTTTTGTCTGTCTCGGTGCAGCAGAATCTTCTCGGAATTACCTCACCCTCCTCCACTCTGTTACTAGGGAGCTCACCACAGCCTAGCTTGCTACCCGCCCTACCGCCCTCTCTTCGTAATTTGACGGACAGGAACATTCAGCCAATCCGAAACCCGCCTCGCAGTCTTGTCGCCATATTGGGTGTGGCGGAAGCTTCTTCCCGTTTTTCCCCCCACTGGAAGTCTGGGATTTGTAACAGGACTATAGATTACGTAGAGACCGGCCTTCGTATGAAATAGTACGAAAACCGTTTTGTTTTATTTCCTGTTTATGCAGAACTTGTTTTTTTTTAATCATTGTTACTGTACATCTCAATATATTTTTATTTTATGTGGTATTGTCCCAGACTGTAGTTTCTGGGTATTATACTGGATAAGTTTATCGTGGGTGGCTGAAAATAATCATTTTTCATACAAAGAAGAGCTCACCTAAATATGTTGTGAAATATGAATTAAATCATCTTCTTTAGTACGTCAAAGACAACCCATTTATGATTTTTAGGTTGTTCAAATATAACCTTGAGTAGAACAAATTTAAACTTCCAGCTACTTCATTCTAAGTATAAGAAAAAATTAAATTAATTGCACATTTAATTCCGTACATGGTAGATTTTATAATGAATAGTACTTGTAATTCCTAAACTATTACTACTAATAGTTAGTAGATGATTTAGCAGCTATATCACCCTGCAACTCACAACTGGCAACCCCTGAAGCTAAGCAGGTGTGAGCCTGGTCAGTACCTGGATAAGAGACCTCCTGGGAAAGAAACTAAGGTTGCTGCTGGAAGTGGTGTTAGTGGGGCTAGCAGGGGGTGCTCACCCTGTGGCCTATGTTGGTCCAAATGGGGACACTATACTGTAAAAAGGCGCCGTCCTTCGGATGAGATGTAAAACCGAGGCCCTGACACTCTGTGGTCATTAAAAATCCCAGAGTGTTTCTTGAAAACAGTAGGGGTGTAACCCCAGCACCCTGGCCAAATTTCCCATTGGCCCTTACCAGTCATGGCCTCCTTATAATCCCCATTTATGAACTGGCTTCATTACTCTGGTCTCCTCCCCATTATTAGCTGAAGTGTGGTGAGCGTTCTGGCGCATGTTGGCTGCACATTGGTGGTGGTGGTGGAGGGGAGTCCCCGTTACTTGTAAAGCACTTTCAGTGGAGTGTCCAGAAAAGTACTATATAAGTGTAAGCAATTACTAATTACTAAATGTTATCTATCATTATTATTTTAAAAATGGCAAGCCATCTTAATAATAATAACTTCTTATATTGATGAGGCGGTTTTCACCCCAAAACGCTCTTTAACGTTTTAGACAACGAGAGCTGAAAGGTTAAGAACACAACCGTGGCCACAACTAGTATGGACGTCGTTAAAATTCGCAGGGTTTTAAACATATCACAGACAGACCTCTGACAGGGGCGGGGTTCCTTGTCTTTGTTTACGTCCCCCTTGACAGAAATGGTACAGAGCTAAACCAATAGTGTCCAGCGATATCCTTTCCTTTAAATGCGAAGTAACCAATAGGTGTTCGGGAAGGGCGGGCATAATTGACCGTCGGGTTTGGTTGAGCAAAGAGAGCGCCACGTTATCGTCGTAAACCACACTGCGACGTCACATTTGGACTTTGGGTGCTGCCATCATCACCATCATCAACAGCACCGATTGAGAAACAGTTGAGGAGGGTGTGAAGTGTTGATCACCTGTCTGAAAACATATTTTTGCGATGACATCATCTTTATTTCGTTTAAGCATAAGTGATTGATTATATTACATACAAAACAAACGTTCCACCTCCTGCATGCGGCAGTGAACTTAAATTACAGTTCAACTACATACGTATACACATGAGTATGAGATTAATAAATCGGTACGCTGGTGGTTATTTTCAGAATGGAGCACAGGTAATCTTAACATAAATCACAGATTTCCGTGTTTTTTACTTTCATTTTTATCTTTCAAATACAGGTAAACTCGATAATGGAAAAAAAAAACGTATCAAGATCTAGAAGAGATTAGGTAAATGATTATATAAATAAAAATTCAGCTTTATAATGTACGAGCAGTGTTTGTATGAGGACTTTTGACTTATTTGTTTCACAATGGTAACAAAACCGGAGTTACAAAATTATATCAGTTAATATACCATTGAATTTGTGTTTGTATAATCATTGACTTCATCTCTTCTAGATCATGACAGAGTTTTTTTTTCCTTTATCGCGTTTGCCTGTATTTGAAAGATAAAAATGGAAAACACTGAAATCTGATTTATTTTAAGTTTGCCTGTGGTCCATTCTGAAAAAAGCCACCACCGTACCGATTTATTAAACTCATACTTTATTATTAATGACTGAGGGCAATTAACTGCTTTAACATAAGAATCAAGTGAAGACAAATCTTATTTTATGTTGATGATGGGAAATACTTCACCTTAACTTTTGGGAAAGCGGAACGTATTTTTCTGTGTCTGAGTTTCCCCGACTGCATTTTACGAGGTGGACCAATGTATTTTCGTTATCCAATTTCCTTAATAGTTAACGAAAAGTACATTTCTGTTGTATTTGTGCTGTTATTAAGATAAGAAGGATCTATTGGAAAAATGTATCCATTTTTCACGAAGGTAATAATTTGGAAAAATAACCAAATACTAAGGTTTAGAAAGGATCGTGGCTTTATACCGGAAGGTCACTTTTGCCTTCTGCGCATGGTGTTAATATGTGATTGTAATTTACTTTTGTTGTTGGATTCGCACACGTTTAGTATAACTTTGCTTTTGACGTCTAATTTATATCTGCATATCAGTGCTTAGATTTATATAAATTAAATGCTGTAATTGTTCCGTTCGTTGTTTACGTTGTACTTTATTATCGCAGGGATCCATTGTAAGACATGCAAAGGAGTTTCAGCAAGTTGTATCGATATTTAGGTAAGATACAATTAATAAGAGCTCTCTCGCGTTTTGTTATGTACATCCTTTCTTAATGGAGTTCTGGATAACTTGTAAACATGTATAACATCTAATGTATCAATTATTATTAAAGTTTATAATGAGATATATATATACCAATGAGATTTCCATTCTTTTGAACCTCGGTGAACGGTTCTAGTTGCAAAAAACTCAGCTTTTGTATGTCACGCTGACTTTACTTTATCTTTGTTTTTAGGTTAGCTGTTTCAAAACAGTGTCCACTATTAGGTAAGACTTCGCTATCAGACATGTACTGCATGTATAAATTAACACTTTTGTTTGCATTATTCACCAAATAGTATTCCTTTTACTACACTATGGCTTTTGTGCTCTTTCTTAGGTTGTATTGTCCTGGTCATTGCGTTGTATTTGTGCAATTTTGAAGGTTGTATGCAGGCAGGTTCATGATGTAGTTTCAAAGCCACAGGCATGGTGACTCTGAGCTCTGTTTCTCCATAGGTGGAGTGTTACACAGCAATGAAAGACATTACAGGTCCATGCCAACCCATGGCATTGGCAGGTATAAATATCTACTACCTAAGGAAGTGGTAAGATTCTATTTTATATCCAATATTATACTGAAGTTGTTGTTCCTAGGAATATGTTTTGTTTCTGTTAAAGGTGCACCATCTTCACATTTCCAGTAGCTAAACAAGCCTGGGCCCGGGCAGTAGTAGGATGGGTGATGTCAGTGGTCGACCAGTAGGTGGTGCTCTTCCCAGTGGAACAGAGTTTCGAATTCAATTCCCACTTATGGTGATCGGGGCCACTGTGCTGTAGGAAGTGCTGTCATTCTGAAGAGCTGTTAAACCAAGGTCTTCACAACTTGGTCAATTAAGATTTCATAGCACTGATCATAGGAGGAGGGGTTCTAACTTGGGGTCTTGGCTGAATTACATTTTAAGCTTGCCTACCTAAACTTTCCCTTAATTCAGCTGGTGAAGTAATTTCTCACCTCTACACCTGATCTGCTGTGCACTGGGGCTGCTGGTGAGTAATACCTGCTGTGCACCACATGGTAGAGGATTGGGGCCCTTTTATATGTAAAGAAGTTTGGAATGAAAAGAGCTATATACTGTATATAAAGTGCAGTTAATTATTATAAATTATAAAGCCAGTTCTGGTATCAGTTATTGTGAGAAAACTGTTTAGTTGACTGCACGGTCTAACATTGCCCCCTGTAGTTCATTGAAAGATATTCTTTTCATGTGTGTTTACATGTACCTTACCTCTTGCAATCTGAAGAACCTGCTTTTACTGGAGGGAACATTTTGTATGTTTAAAAACTACTTGTCATGAATTAATACCTAATTTGTTTATGAAGGAATATATGCACAAGGTTAGAAAAAACTTATTGCAACAGGATTGTGTTCAGGATTACAATCACATTTAAATGTTTTTTTTTTAACATTCCATTTTAATACCTTTTAAGATGCTGACAAATTGAGACAGCCTGTATGGGAAGATGCCAGTAACATTAGTAAACATTTGGGGACACACTTTTGTAACAATCTCATATTTCCTTGATTCCAATAACCTCTGAAATATGAATATGGAAATATCGGTATATTAAAAAAAACTTAAACTGCTAAGTGAACATGGAGGTGATGGAAATCCTTTTTTAAATACAGAAAATAATTTGACCTCCCAGAGGTAGCTGTAATTATCCAGCTGTAATTATCCACATTTTGTTCCACTATCTACTTGTATATGGCTGGAATGACAAACGTGAACTGAACTGCAGTAAACGCTGGATAAGGTATTCTTTAAAATATGACAAAGGATCTCGTGTGAAAGCTAGACTGATTTATGAGGGGGAGGCAAACCATTTTGTAGCCACAGGAGTGTTATTTTTCTGGTTCATTACAGCAACTTTTAGGCCAAGCTTTGAGCTGTAGATTCCCAATGTTCATTACCCTGGATGATGTATTGCACTGCCATAATGCATAGTATGCAATAGAGCACAACAGTAGCTAACTAATGAGGCAGATGACCAATAACATTAGCAATAAGCTGTGATAAAATAACAAATGGTGGCTATTTATCTGCAGCTGTTTACCCTGCTTTGTAAATCCTGTCTACTCACAGCTTGCACTTGTACTGTATTGTTTTGTTGCCAGTGATTTAAAGAACAGTTTGAGACTGTAATGTAAGTCCTGCAGGCTGTGCATATGGATTTTCTTTTTCTTTTTCTCCCCAAGGAAGTTATAAATTGAACTATTTATCAGGTATAAGCAATTTGGGGTATACTTTTAGTTTTCCTTTGACATTCTCCTGTGCTACCTACAGCCTAAAAAGAAGAAGGAGAAGTTGGAGGTGAAGAAGATTCGATCGGCAACAGACAGGGAGTATGGCATTTTGAATGTGATGGTGTCGGGCCACGACATGACTTTAGTTGAACACTACGCTCAGTATGTCCACAGACTCTGCAACCGCCTCAAGATCACAGTGGATGAGAGGTAATAGGGGGTTTCTTGTGACCCCATGCTGAAGTAATAAGACACAATATATAATGAAGCATGTATAAATAGACAAATAATTACAATTAGAAGAAAAATAAATCTAATCATCATCCAAGGAAACCCCAGCGATGATGTTGAGAAGAAAGTTATAAACTCTCTTGGGTGGGGGGGGATAATAATGTGGACATCCCCTGTGGGGAAAAGTCAAAGAAGCATTTGGTTAGAATTCAAACAATTCAGCTTTTCTTTTGTATCACATTAGTGCTTTATTACCAGCTTAAGTAAGTTCCTTTTTATTGCCTACTGCAATGTAGGTTTTCAAATGCATGATCTGAAATCATACGGGGTAGGAAAGATATTGCTGTTTATCCAAGTTTAGAAGTATGTTTGGAACCAGTACTACGGGAAGGGAATATTCATCAGTGTCAAACTGTAGGAACAGCAGACTATAATATCGGTAAATATCTGGTTTGTTATGGGAAAATAATGCCAGTGTCCTCCCAGGAAAAAAGGCTAGTTTGTTAGTCAAAGACTGTAGACATCATTTGACATTAGTACCACATCATAGGGTTGTATTGTCTGAGCAGAGTTTCTATGAGCTTCTATGATCAATCCCCTCACCATTGTGCTTTCCTGTTAGCTATGCATTGCCCACAAAGAGCACAGAGCTAATGATTCTGCAGGAGCAGGGCACCAAGATGTATGTGGATGCTGTTCTCAAAACACATGAGAGGGTTGTGCAGGTAAAGGAATATTCTGTGCTTTGCTTTTAAGAAACATAAACAATTTTCTAATGCTATATCTATTTCTACGTATTCTTATCAGTGCCTGTCATTGCCTTGGAAGCTAATCAGTTATTAGCTGATTTCAACTGCTCTTGGTCAGGAAAAGCTTTCAAAATGTTGCTTATTATGGATAATACACTGAACAAAATGAGAATTGTAAGTTTTCTAATGGCTTTAATGATTTATATTCTGCTGTCAGAAGCCTTAGTTGTGTCTGAAAGAATTTACAACTCCAGCCTTTACAATTTACAGTTATTGTTAATAATTTACCAGTAGTTATTTTTTATTGCTAATACGCCTTCAAGCATCTTGTTGTAAACCCAAACTCCAGCCTGTGTGACCATTTAGTTTTTTATTTGCTAGGCCATTAAAAGTCATTTAATGAATTTAATTGTGCCACTAAATTGAACATTTAGGATTAGGCTTTGTGATGTATGCCACACAGTCTGCTTAAGATTTCTTTACTTGATCTTCATGTAATTAATTGTGATAAGAATGAAATAGTTTGCTTATTGGATGTAGTGTTTTATTTAGCGCTGATCAGTTTCCTTCATCTCTCTTTGTAGCTGAGTGGTTTGAGTTCCACGCTGGCTCCAGTGTTTGTTGAGGTTCTTCTACGAAATCAGCCTGAGGGAGTCCAGTTTTCAGTCAGAGAGGTAGGGGTTTCAGTAATGGCAAACTTACATGGCTTACAGGACGTTTCTGTGAATTAAAGGGGAGGGAGGGACTTGTTTCCTGAAGTGATTGAATGTGCATCTTAAGATTTATATTGTTTGCCTGATGATCTCACGTTATCTTTGCATATGATTAGAACAATAATTTTCATCACAAGTACTGTAGGCAAGACAGCCATTATGGAGTTTGCAGAGTCTGCCCCATAGCTCATATATATATATAACAAATAAATAACTTTTTAATAATGTACACTAAAAACAATCATGTAAATAATATAGATTATCCATCAAAAGGGTGGTACTATGAATATGTCCTCCTTACCATTTTGATCACTGTTCTGGTCTTTTTTTTTGTAGCATACAGAAGAAGACTTCTACGCCCGTTTTAAAGCTCGCCCAGAGCTTGAGGGGTTGCTTGCACAAATGAGCTGAGCAAAGCAACATCGAATTCCATCAACAAAACAGCCTCCCTCTGTAGCCCTGGGTCAAAGGTCACCCTTATAGCGTGACCTTTTCTCAACCTTTGAAGTGGATGAATCAATAAAATCGATGTGTCCGTTTATCTGGTCCATGTTATTTTTGCCTGAATGACAGTTCGATGGGTGATTACAAAAACATCACATTCCATATTCATTTAGATGGTTTAATCTGGGCAGTGATTGTTTTCAAACGCTTTAATTATGTATACTAGTTTTCTACTATCTGTTATATCAGCATATAATTGGTGTGGAGACAATTAAGGAAATTGTGGGTTAGGGTTGGTAAAAATGATTCTTAAAGGGCTGCTTCACAACAATCAAAAATCTGGATATAGTATTGTTTAAATTACTGCCTTATCAAATTACAAAAGTGGTATTATATGTGGAGCATCAAGTTGAAATTACCCTAAGGGAGGCTTACATCAAATTCTTTAATCTCTTTTATTAATAAAATTTAGAACTTCCTTTGCTGAATACATTTCTTAGAAACTATATGGATTATCAATAATGATGAAGGGCAAGTTAATTATCTTCTGCTTCAATGTTCAAGTCTGGTAATTTAAACATTTAATTAAAATGTTTATTTCAAGATAATATGAAGAACTCATCTTAGTTGTGTCCTCGGTGGCCAAGATGAAATTTGCTATTTTTGTGTCATAAGGTGTGATATAACTTTTATTATATCTCATTTAATTTATGGGATTTATTGTTGTGATGTTGATAAATCTGTATCTCTTCTTTTAACATTTCATTATAAAAAAATCCAAAATATACTAAGCATCTATAAAACTATGATTTTGGAAATATACATTTTGGATAATCATTAGAAGTTTTGGGCATCATTTTGATTAATTGATCATTTTTCCAGTTATAATTATTTCTTTACAATTAGAAATATCTGTATTAATGTCTGATATGCAAATAGACCTTCAGAGTTTAAATACGCATTATAGCAAAAATGTTGTAAAATGTATATGTACAATGCATACAATAATATAATTAAGATAGGTAGTCTTAATGGCAGTCTCCGAATGGCATGGAAATAACAGACAAATGATCTTGAATACCAATATTTAAAGGGAAGGTATTTTTCTGCCAGTTTTGCCCACCTGATGAGGCTTATGGGTTTTGACAGTGAATATAGATCTTTGCAAAGCCCTTACAAAACAAATGCTGTTAAACTAGCATGAATAAATAATGAGAGCTGGACTGTTTGGATAAAGATCGTCTCATTGCATCAGTCATTCAAGTGGTTCACTTGGTTTTGGTTTCATAGCCCTGTAATGTTACTGTGAGCCTGTAGGATTTCTGGGTGGTGTGTAGCTCACTGAAGCAGACTCTTTGTTTGACACTTAAAACATGATGTAGGAGTTCAAATTAAAACTTCTCTTAAATAACATATATTCCTATAGAGTCATTCTTTAAGGGTATTGTCTCTTATAAATATAGTCTTGAATGAATCAAACGAAAAAGTAACAATTTTGCAGCACAGTTAGTGCATCTTTATGTGATAAAACCACAAGGCATTCAAAAGGTATATTATCAGACACCTTATTGTATTAGAATGAGGAAAAAATTTGACCCACATGCATTTGGATGTGTAATCTTGCAAGAGTCATATTCAGTAAATCCCAGGACATACTGTTTTGGGCTTCAGAAAACAAATGTCAGGGAATTTGCTTAAAGTGCTGAATGAGGATGTCTTGTTTATATCTCTCACAAATGAAATGCAAAAAAAAATGTCTTAGGAAAAGAAACTGACTGTTTTCTTCTATAATTCAGTTTCCTTGGTTTCAGAGATCAATTTGTTTTTCTGATGGCAGTTCATTTCTGTTGGTAATTTTGTTAGAGAACATCTGTCCTATACAACACTATGGGTTGATAAGTACTGTCAGGTAGTCTAAAAATAATGCAGAGAGCTAGACAAAATACATTTTTATTAAGGCTTGGATGAAACAAGAGATGGGATAAGCCCACAATTCCCTAGAAATGGCATTCCAATTTCTAACGGAGTGTGCATTTTGAATTATTTTGGTGTAAGTCAAGCAAACATATACAATATATTTTTTTGTGGAACAACTGTTCATAACAATTCTGATTTTATCAAAGCAGCTACTACAATAGTCCATAGCTCCTTTGATTTCATATATGCAATCTTGAATTAGAATTTTATTTAGACAATTATGACTTTCATTAAGAGCTCATTAATATTCATTCCCATAATACAAATACTGTAAATATACAGTATGTGTGTTTCTGAGGGGTTGGGTATTTTCTTTTAAATAGAAGGGACAAAACAGCAAGCACAATAGGGTTAGGGAGCCTGTGGTGAATAATATTTTGCAGTTAAGTACTAACTCCGCTAAGGTAAAAACTGACATGAATTTGTGTCTCCCCATGTTGAAACGGCTTAGGTTTAAAAATATTTTTTCTGCAAAAGGCAACATAACAGTGTTAGCTGGTTATAAACCAGCTTTAGTTCCAGTGCACAGGAGTTCTAATTCTTAGTTGACTGCCTGCCTGACTGCAGTCATTTCCCCAGGGACCACTGGTTATATCAGGCTGGCTCTTGGCCCATTGAATCAACAAGCAATTCCTTTATGTTACCCAGCATGTGCTTGCACTCATTGCTATCAAAATGCCCAGGGACAGTGAGCTTCCAGTTCTGCTTTCTGCTCGAAAAAAAGAAAAAAAAATGTCTCTTTTTTGGACTAGAACAGTCTGCAAACGATTGGATTCCTTCCATGTTCAAGTATCACAGAAGTGAATTATTGTGAATTCACATACACGGGGCAAAGGCTGTGACAAAAAACATACATTAAAAGTATATTGTGCTTCATCTGAAACGAACAAAATTGTAAATGTGTCATTATGGTTCAACGCATAGCCACCTAAAAAATAGTAATTTAAAATTCCACCCAGTTTTCTTTAAAATGCATTGCATGTGATAAAGTGCACTAAGAAAATAATCACATTTATATCTTGCCAACACTTAAAGCTGAAATGCCTTCCTCTAAAATCACTCCTCATTACCATTGATTCTGTTCTATTTCTCGAGCATTTCTTCCCCAGCTTCCTGTTTATGGCTCTAATCCCTCAATTACAGTGAAGTGTTACCACAGTCACGGCAGCTTTGATGTCAGTATCAGTAGTCTAAAGCAGGATCCCCTCAGAAGCTGCTGTACGCTTGTAAAGAAAATGACTTAACAGAGACCGAACCACCCGCAGAGCGGTCCCTGTTAACTGTGGAACCATGCTGAACTTACATAACACAGAGACTACATACACTCTCCAAAGAAAACCCCATTTTATACAGTATTATTATCTAGGACTTTGTTTTTTAATCGGTAAAGACAATACTGCTTTTAGGACTGAATTTCAGAATATAATAGATATCGTTCAGGTAGGTAGCTGCGTCAGCATGCATAGTGAAGAAGGCTTCACAGCCGAAACGTTGCGTGTTCTCTCTTCTCTTTTCAGCATGGAATAAACCTATTAGTTGTTCCTATGATGGATATCTATCATTTTTATATTGAGAGAGGGGGAAACGTAGTGCTGGGGGTAAGTAAAAGAAATCACTGTACATTTTCTGCGTTTATTTTTTTTTTCTGCTGAAGGTTACTTGAATATTGAACAAGATGTGTAGAGTTGTGGCCAGGTCCCTGTTCTTACAGCTGAAAGCCACATACCAAACTTTTGTCGTACCCTTGATCAAGGTACTTTACCACTACACGCTCTTGTCCGCATAGTTGTAGAAATCGGTGCCAACATTTCTGAAGGTTAGGGTTTGAATGCGACTTAAAAAGCCTCGACTCTTTAAGGTCTCTACAACCAAGTACAGACCACAGTTTCCCCTATTATTGACACAGAAACTCCCCGTTGCTATGGGGGAAAGGAGGCATTGCCGTATGTATTTACGACACTGACGTGACGAACATTTTCCGACACGCCCGTTCGCAGTAAGGTAGCAAGAAGATGGAAGCGAGGATTGTGCTGCAAAGTGACTGGTCAGAGGTATTAAGGTAATCTTTTCATCCGAAAGAATGTGAACAAGAAACACGTTTACACAATTATATCTTGTTGGACTTTTGTGTATTTTAACAGAGAGAACGAAGGAGAAGTGTGGGTCTGCTGCAAAATAACAGGTAAGAAGTTCTACCTAAATGTCGCAATGCTTATAGCTACTGTAAAGAAATAGTTACTGTGGTTTAACCTGCTAGCGATTGCATGGGTCAGAACCCGCAACATTCAGATAGAATTAAAATTGCTTAACAAAATGTTTTGTTTCGCAACAGCTGTTTTCTGTTCTGATTTTCTTCACAGAGAAAAGGAATACACCGCCAGTACTCATTTAGACATGTTTTTCTTTAGGAAAACCAACCGTATACGGCACCCTGAAATGTCAAGGCGTCAGTTACGACGGAATACCCGAAGTCACCGCATCTGAAGAGTTTGAAGTGCTTGAAGTTTCTAAGGTGGATGCAATTTATTGCCAGTAAAACAATTTCAGTTAACCAAACTAAAACCCTGCGTGATGTTCCAAATACTCCTTAATTATTCCCGTCGTTTGAGCATTATTGTAGTTTATGAGCAGCGTTTGGGGAAGATTCTTTTGAAAAAGGTGATTAAATATACTTATTTGTCTAAGGGATTTGAAAATTAACAAGAACATCTAATTATTTGAAAAAGTCTTCATTTTTGCAGCTATCTGTGTAGTAATGTGTGTATTCGCAATGTTAAATAAGACATTACCTCTTAGAAATACTTTTCCCATCTTATTTATTTAAAAAGTACACTCTTACACGTAACATGTAACTTATTCATTTTTTTTACCGTTCCTTTCCCAAGCAGTGTGTGCAAGTCTGTAGATGTATAATTTTGTGCCAAAATTAAAAAGTTACTTATAATACAGCATTTTAAGAAAACATTCCTTGAATCTGGGAAAGTTCATTGATATTTAATGTTTCCATATTGCATCTAGTCTATTAAAAGTATATTTGTATATTTTTTGTTGTTTTTGTTTTTAGAAAAGTATCCATGTAACCTGTCCAGCTGGGAACACATCATCAAAGTTCCTTGCACCACACACAACGTTTGCTGGAATTCATGACAAGAGTGTAAGTATGCACAGATAAATTTCAGTTAATTCTTTCTTTATTTGGACCTTTTTTCTTCTTTCCAGCATTTTCATTATCTTTTTTTTGTTGTTGTTGGTCCTTGCACACAGTTTGCCCCCTTGTTTAAGTCTGGGCTCAGGCTAACCACTGGAGCAATGTTAGTAGTGTTCGGATGTCTGTGTTTCTTTGTACAGGTAACATGCTTGGACATCTCGTGTGGTGGAGGTCTTGGTGTGTCCACCAGCACAGACAGCACAATGAAGATATGGAACTGCACAAATGGCGACAGAAGGGTAAAGTGGAAGATCTGAAACTGAGTAGACTTCGTGGTTAGTGTAATATGAAGAATCTGCCAAAAAGTTCAGATGTTGATGTTTCTTATCTTTTCTGAGAAGACTGGCGACTCGTGCTGCCCCGCCCTGTTAGAAGGTCTCTGTGTGTGTTTTTCTTTGCCAGAGGGATCTGATTGGTCACGTGTACGAAGTGAACTGCTGCCGGTTTTTCCCCTCTGGCATGGTGGTTCTTAGCGGCGGTATGGACGCCCAAGTCAAAATCTGGTCCTGTGAGGACGGGACCTGTCCTGTGACATTTAAAGGACACAAAGGAGGTAAGTGGAATGGTCCCGAAGTGCTGTAATACAGTATATGCTGCTGCTTCTGTCTGCTTTGGTCATGTCTTTCATAAGCACTGCCGAACACTGTTCTTAACACATTGTTCTTAACAGGATTTTGTCTTTCACTGACAAAAAAAAATGTTTTGGCATCAGATCCCCTTCCAACACTTGTTGAAAATCAGATCCAGAACATATGCATTTATTGTATCTTATACTTCACCGATTTCTGTAGTGTAATAACATATTGAACTATTACTGTGCTTGATCTCTATGGAGAATAAATTTCTTGGGGGATGTTCACGCCAACCTATAAGTTACAATATCATAATATTTAGTCTGATTTCTCAAAACTTTGTCTTGTATTAAAGCAGCTGTGTTTTACACACAAAAGTTACAATACATACTAACATTACTACATAACAAACACCTGTGCATACATACATACATTAATGTCATAACACTCCTGCAGGAATCCACACAAGCACACCAGAACCTGTAAATGTACTCCCCACATTATTACACATTACCCCTACACTTTGTCTATAATGCACTGAGAGCACTTGCTCATGAATCATTGCTTTTTTTTGTGAACTTGTTTATTGATTGGGTACTTTGATTCAGGATAGGAAAAAAGAATTAAAAAAGCCAAACAATTGTACTGAATTCACAGAACATAAATCTTACTGCAGACGCCTGGGCTAAACTACCTGTAATGTGTGCCTACTTTACAGAACCACTCAAATGAAGGATTCCCCCAGATCTGGAAATTTAATTCTGTAAATCTGGTGATCATGTTATTTGCTTTTTGAACCAGATCTAACATGCTGAGGATCTAAGTTGGCAAATGACACGGGCATCACTGCTTTCCTTCAATTTAAATGTTACGTGTCTGCTGCTTTCCCAAGGTATTCTTGATACTGCCATTGTGGACCGTGGGCGGAATGTAATATCTTGCTCGCGGGACGGCACTGCCCGCCTGTGGGATTGTGGGAAATCGGCATGCCTGGCAGTGGTGGCTGACTGTGGTGCTCCTGTCAATGGCTGCAGTGTTGGAACCGCTGACAACAGTATAAACCTGGGGACACCAGAGCAGCCCACCAGTAAGTCGAGAGCTTTCCTTACATTTAAAATTCAGAGGCTAGTATTAAGAAAAACAAACAATGAAATGTACAAATATTTCACTTGACATTCTCCCACAACTTGAGATTAGATGATTGTATTTTGGTGTAGATCTCTGTGGCAAACATTTAAGACTGCAAATCAGCCAAGGTGTAAGTGGGTCAATATATACCTCCTGAACCCTTTTTGGTTGTTGTGTGACACTGCATGTAAAGAAAGGCTTGTCTGATTTTAACAGAATCAAATAAACAGCAGCTAAACATAACCATTTGCCTGCGCTGCTGCAGTAGAAGAGTAGTAGGTGACGGCACTGTCGGTGACTGAAGGGGTTAAATGTCTCTGGCAGGTGATCGAGAAATAGGAACACAGGACAAACTGCTGCTCCTGGCTCGAGAAGATAACAAATTACAAGGTGTGGGTCTTCAAAGCAGACAGCCTGTAAGTGCAGATATATTTTAATTTGCTATTTACAAAAATACAAAATATAAATGGAAAAAACGGGCGTGTATGTGGAAATAAATCGGACTTCTGCAGGCCATTTAAGATTATTTTGACTGGATGTCTTTGGAATCTGGCAAGAGAGTCCACAAATGCCAAAAGGTATTTCATTTAGCTAATTAATATATGCCTTTCTTTGTTTCAGGGAGTTATGTACAGTATAACATTTTATTTTCAACAATTCCTATGCTGATATTGGTATCCCGATTTATTTTTGTCATAGTTCTGTTTAAAATTCCCAGGTATTCACGTTTGATGGAGCAGATGCCTTCAACTGCTGTACGTTCCTCTCTTGCGTGTCCTTAGTTGCGGGAACACAGGATGGGAAGATCTACAAATTAGATGCAAGATGTTTAAGGTACATCTTTAACCTCTGGAATTTGCAATTCTAAAATCTGTACTACATTAAAATGCACTATGTGGGATCTGATTTTTTTTTTCTAAAATTCCTTGTTCCTTTAGTATATTGGTTAAGCCAAAATTCAACGATTTATTACTTTTCATTGACAAATTTAACTGGAAAAGATTCCGCTTTCACTGGTTTCTTTGCAGATCCCCTGTGCAGGTAATTCATAGATCTGGAGCTCCTGTCCATTCCTTAGTGCCATTCAGAGAAGGATTTATAGTTACCCAAGGTATGTGAGTCTTAATTTAAAACATCTAAATGTTAAACCTGTGTTGAGATTAAGGGCTTTGAAGTATTTAGATGTTAGTATCTTTGATACTTTTTCAAAGTGTTATAGAAGTAGGTGGAAGTTGGGAAAATACAAATGCAAAACCATAATGTTCAGAGACCACATTCTCCTTGTGTATTTCTCACAGGTGACGGAAGCTGTTTTATGATTCAGCAGGACCTTGATCATGCCATTGAGTTAACAGGACCTGAAGCAGATCCAGTCTACAAGGTAAGCTGTTTTTAAGATGCTTTCAAATTATACTGGATGTATGGGCTCAGTCTTTTTTTTTTTTTTTCCATCAGCTTTCAAATGGTAAATCAGTGACGCTTTTAGATGACATCTTTTCATTTCCTTGTAGGCAACTTCATGGGGAAAAAGTGTCTTCACATGCTGCAGAGATGGACTTGTGAGGAAGTACCAGCTCTCTAATCTGTGATTGCTCTTCCATCAGAAGGGGGTTGGCCAACCTTGGCTCTGGAAGGCCACAGTGTAGCAGGCCGCGTGGGTGACCTTTGGATCACTTCTTCCTCAGCTCTATTTTGTTTCAAAAGGACTGAGTTTTGAGCACTTAAGCAGCTGGTGTGTGTGTTGACATAATGTAGTGGTTATCCAAAGTGGAACTCCCTTTATCGCTCAAGGGAACACAATCTGCCACTCATGGTTTAATTAAACAAATTAATTGACTTAATTGACTCGTTTGTTCCACGTCTTTACAAATGGAATGATCTGAAGGTGACCTTATAAAAGCAGTTAGATTGTGGCTTGTCCAGGACCAGGGCAGGCTACCCCAGCTCTAGAAGAAATAGACCAAGGACAAACATGGTTGAATGTGTAACGAACATCCCTGAGACTGGGCTTACAGTATTGCTAAATTTTCATTTAGGAGTGGCTTGTTTAGTAGGGGGTTGAAACAATGCTCAGTTTTATAAGATGAAATGCTAGGTATTTCCTGCTGTTGTTAAGGGTAGTAATTCACGTTGCTGCACCTGTTGTAATGAAAAAATATGTAAATAAAATACCTATCCTCAGAAAAACAGCAAGTTGTGTCTTTTGTAATGTAAACCAATCTTCAAGAATTTGGGAAATATGGATTGAAAAGACCTGAGAGATGGGTCTGTTGCACCAAACAGTCTAGTGTAAAATAATGGAACTTTCCTAATTGTTAGCATATGAGAAAATGCAATAGTCTAGTACAATACCCCTGTCGTTGTTTGGTGATCAAAAACGAGAATTAGCCAACAGCTATATCGCCCTGCGACTTGCAACTGGCAACCCACTGAAGCTCTGCAGGTGTGAGTATGGCCAGTAGGTGGGAGACCTCCTGGGAAAAACTTTAAGGTTGCTGCTGGAATAGGTGTTAGTGGACCAGTTGGGGGTGTTCACCCTGTGGTCTGTGTGGGTCCTAATGCCTCAGTATAGCGATGGGGAGGCTATACTGTAAAAAAGGCACTGTCCTTCGATGAGACATAAATCCAAGGTCCTGATGCTCCAATAAAAAAATCCCAAGGCATTTCTTGTAAAGAGTAGGGATGATAGCCCCGATGTCCTGACCAAATATTCCCCAGGTCTTTACCTGTCATGGCCTCCTAAAAATCCTTATTTATTAATTGGCTTCATCACTCTGTTCTCCTCCTCACTGATAGCTGGTGTGTACTGGTGCACTTTGGCTGCTGTTGCATCATCCAGGTGGGTGATACACACGTGAGGGTGGAGGGGAGTCCCCATTACCTCCAAACACTTCAAGGGAGTGTCCAAGAATTATTTTAATATAATTATGCTTTCATTAAAACTAGAATATACAACGTCCCCATTCAGCCACTGACAGCTGGGCATTGCCAGTAAGAATGGAGCACGAGGCTGAAGAGGATGCTGGGGTGCACATATAAACACTTGTTTTAGAGGTGGGAGGAAACCGAGGCATCTGGCAAACCTCACGCAACCTTGGGGAGAACACGCAAACACTGCACAGAACATGCTGCATTGCAGAATGGGACCCCGGCCTACCACCACCCCTACAGCCTCTTTATGTTCATAAACTACTTAATTCTGAAAAGGCTGGTGCATTATGCTTTATGAAGAAAAGTAAATACCCCGTCTCCTGATGTGAGACTCGTACTTTGCAAACTAATCATTTGAGATTGCAATGGTGATCAATCTTTTAATGCCATGAATATACTTTAAGTGAACATTTCTAACCTAAACTTGGTGAGGTAATCAAGAACATACTGCAATAGTCCTTTTTCACTCTCTCCAGGTCGATCGTCAAACGAGTCAGTACAGCAGTCACAGGAATCTCCCAGAAACCCCCGCGGAGCTGACTGCGTCCTTAACAACCGAGCCTAGAAACCGAGCGATACCCACTGAACTGTGGCTGATCATTTTAAAGAGTTTCAATAAATGCAACATCAGAAATAATTAAATCATATATTTGTGCAGACACGTTTTTTTTTGTGCTAGGAATTGATAATCCATTTTTCTGTTTATCATGGGTCGGGACTATTATGCAATTTTAGAAATAACGAGGAGCGCAACCGACAAAGACATAAAAAAATCGTAAGGACAAATATACTTCGTGTGAGTCAGCTTGTGCATGATTTAATTGGAAAACCTTAATCATCTGGCGTTTAATTTGTTTTTCTTCGATTCCTTTAGGTATCGAAGACTTGCGTTGAAGTATCACCCTTACACAAACAGCGAACTTGGTGCCCCTGAAAAATTCAATCAACTTGCAGAAGCTTACGATGTATTAAGTGACCGTGAGTAACTTTTCTGTCCTGCAATCGACGAGATAATTAATTATTTGTACGATAAATTATTTCGCAGTGCTGAAATGTTTATATGCTCGTGTTTGGTCGAATATCACAAAGTTATGGTTTGTGATAGTTAATTTTACAATGCAATTAAAATGATACACATACGCGACTCTATTTAACCAGACAGGAAACGTTTCTGAACAACTATTTGCTAATAAACGAGTGAGGGAATTATTTGCAGGAGTAATTCCTACGTTGCCAACGGACTTCATTCAAGTACTTTCACAAAAGAGAATTTACCTAGCCCCTTCATACAATGGGACATATATAAAATACATTTACCAGCTAAAGCATTAAATATTTTAACTACTAGGATACTGGCTTTGCTTGAGGAGAAGCAAGTTTCCTCAATTTACGGAGGAAAATATGAGTAAAACAAAGACGAGTTTGCTTTCAGTACGGAATTCAGACATCACTAATGGAGAAGTGGCTTCTCCCTGTAGTAATATTGAGACATCGTACCTAAGCAGTCAGAAAGTACCTGGTTGCATCATGGTATTTTCCAGACTGATTTTAGTAGAAGTCCACTCTTTCCCGCACATTTTCTTCCTAGTAGAAAAAAGCATCTTCCCTCGTTTTGTTTATACCTAGTAATTTCATGAAATTGATACTTGTAAGGGCATTGAAAAACTGGCACCAGTGTGTGCCCCCTCATCGTAGCAGACTCCTGTGATGTCATTTCACCCACAGCTCGGAAGAAGGCTACCTACGACAAGTTTGGAGAGGAGGGCCTGAAAGGCGGCATCCCTCCAGAGTTTGGGGGCAGTGGAGCATGGACCACAGGGTACACCTACCATGGCAACGCGGATAAGGTTTTTAGGGAATTTTTCGGAGGAGACAATCCATTTTCTGGTGAGAAACTGAGGTAGCACTTTAATTCCTGAAATTCAAAATGGCCAAATTGTCATTTGGCTGTGCACTTTGCACATGCAGGGGACCCTGTATCCTTCTATTTTGTTGTGCATGTGTGCCTGCCTTTTTTCCCCTCCAGATTTCTACACAGAAGATGGCGGGGAGGTGAACACGGGTTTCGGGGGCTTGAGAGGTCGCGGTGTGAAAAAGCAGGACCCTCCGATCGAGAGAGACCTCTACCTCTCCCTGGAAGACCTGTTCTATGGATGCACAAAGAAGATCAAAATATCCCGACGGGTAAGAATGGGCGGAGAACTGGGGCAGGGGAAGAAGTGAACAGTCTATGCTTTTGTCCATCTCTAGGGCTGAGGTTTCAGCTGAACTACAATATTCTACACTTGGAACGTTTGTTTGTTTGTTTGTTTGTTTGTTTGTTTGTTTGTTTGTTTGTTTGTTTGTTTGAATGGGTAGAGGTGATTTCTAGCAATTCCTCTCTTTCAGGATATTGAATGGGAAATATAGTTTACCTATCCATCCATTTTCTAACTGTTTTATGCAAGACAGGATCACAGGGGAGCCTATCCCAGCAAACAGTGGACGAAAGGCAGGGTACATGCTGGACTGGAAGCCAGTACAACACTGAGCACACAGACACAAACACAAACAGTCACACCAGGGCCAGTTTTCCCACAAGCCATTTAACTTACCAGTATGTCTTCGTACTCTGGGAGGAAACCAGAACACCCACGAGAAATCTACGTGAACATGAGTAGAACCCGTAGGATATCAATAAAAATGTTAGGACTGTGAACTAAACCACTATTCTAATTTGTATAAAATTTGGCCTGTCAAGAACATAAGTAGTAGGAGCCCCATCACAAATGACATTTCCAGAGAATTAGATTACTTTTTGAATATAAATTCAATATTATTTGTCTTTGTAGTATGTTTGTAGTCTACATTATTCCCCTTAGAAAATATTGTGTGTCAAGAGATATAATGGGAATTTTCTGTGTGTTTGCATAAAGGGTAGTCTAAGGGAAACATATCTATTTATTTGTATAACCCCCAAAATAGAACTTGAATTGTTTTCTAATCTTAAAATACATATTTTAAATATGTCTCCTAATATTGGATAAATGTAACTTTTTATAACGGATAAATAAACACTTGCAGGAAAAACCCTTTTTAAAGTACATTTGACATGATGGGCATTACACCAAAATGTTTCAAGAACCATTTCAAAATCGATTTCATGCATGAAGAGTTTTTATTGTTTTAAACCAGGTTATGAATGAAGATGGCCACACCTCAAGCATCAAAGACAAGATTTTAACCATTGACGTCAAACCAGGCTGGAAGGAAGGGATGACGATTACATTCACCAAAGAAGGAGACCAAGTAAAAGAACAAAAAAAAAAGATATTTCATGGAAATTTATGATCTCCACAAATCGGTTGAATGTGGAAAAGTGTGCTACTTTGGTTCTTGAAAATGACTAAACAGTATTTTTGTCTAAACAAGTCCAAATCCAAAACATTTTGTTACTAGAGAACCAATTTAGTCAACAAATCAAAAGTCAATATGGCATTTTAATGATAGATGTTATCAGTCAAAATACATATGTATTTTCTTTGTAAACTTTCTTTACAGCTGTAACAAGTTCAATTTCATCATGATTAGTAAGTCTATGCATGGCCGGTTTAGGGTTTTTTTTTCTTTTGTTAAAGGGACCTAACAACATTCCCGCTGACATTGTCTTTGTTGTGAAAGAGAAGAAACATCCCCGGTTTTCCAGACACCAGGATGACCTGATCTATACATCACATATACACCTAGAGAAGGTTAGTCAAGCTACATTTATTTCCTGGGGCCGTGCATGTCTGTGGTATTCTTTATTTCATGGTTTTCCACTTCATCTCCTCCTTCACAGGCTTTGATTGGCTGTGCTGTGGATGTGGAGACACTAGATGGCAGGCTCATCAACATTCCTATTAACGACATTGTTCAGTGAGTCTGGCTTTCAGTGCTATTTGTTTTCAACAGTATGTGGTAGAAATTGTCCGAGGTTCATTTAGGTACATTTAGCTTAGCAAAACTAAGGATTGTTCTGATAAATACATTAAGACAGTGCATAAGTTGTAGTTCATATGTAAAAGACAATGTAACTTTTTTTGAATTAATATATTAGTTTCATTTTACAGCTACCAGTAGCTATATCACCCTGCAGCTCTCAACTGGCAGCCTACTGAAGCGAAGCAGGGTTGAGCCTGGACAGTACCTGGATGGGACACCTCCTGGCAAGCTATGGTTGCTGCTGGAAGAGGTGTTAGTGGGACCAGTGGGGGGTGGCCCAGCCTGCAGTTTGTGTGGGTCCTAATGCCCCAGTACAGTGGCAGGGACTATACTGTAGTGGGCGCCGTCTTTCGGATGGGACGTTAAACCGAGGTCCTGACTCTCAGTGGTCATTAAAGATCCCCGGGCATTTCTCGAGAAGAGTAGGGAGTTATCCCGGTGTCCGGGTGAAATTCCCCCCTTGGCCTTTACCTCTAAATTGTCCCCAAGTATGATTGGCTTGCATTTGCCCTTTGATGGACTGGTGTCCTGTCCAGGGGGTACCCTGTCTTGTGCTCGTTGCTTGCCGGGTAGACTCCAGCGTCACATGACAGTGTATGGTATATAGCGGTTTGGTAAACGCCATGACACTGACATTCTACAGTTACAGATTTAACACCTGATTTGTTGCAGAAAGACTTTTGTTAACCCTGTGAAGTTGTGATCAAAAATTCATATCCCTCTCCTTCTCTCCTAGCCCGAAGTATACAAAAGTGGTGCCAAGTGAAGGAATGCCCTTAACCAAGAACCCCAGCCTGAGAGGCAATCTCGTTATTCAGTTTGAAATTCATTTTCCTGAAAAGCTCTCGCCTGAAAAGAAGGGGCTCATAAAACAAGCCCTTACCATTTGAATAATGTATTCATGGCTTCATATGTATTTGCTTCCATGATTTCTACCAATAACATATTTTCTAATATACCATAGTGTTCTGTCATATTTACTGTACTCCTACACTACCACTGACAAATTGCCAAAACAGTTTTACATTTATATGTAAGAATGATCTTCAGTCACCTGTTTATTATTACTCTATATGTACTTTCCTAAAGTATTACACTTTCATTTGTATTTACAAAAGCCTGCTTCCAGTTACATTGTATCAATCATATGAATTAGACCTGACTGTAGATTAAGTATAAATGTGTGTAATCTGCTATGATCGTGTTTTTGTCTTGGCAATATGTTTTCTTCCTACTTTTCAACTGTATTTTATTAGATGTACTTTATCCTGATTATGAAATTATGATGTCAGCCTTTTCATTACCAGTTTATAACCTGTTCACATATTCAAAATAACATCTGTGAAATTGATTAATACATTTGTACTACTAGTATTAAAAAGGGTGTGTATTTTAATCACATTTTCTCCTGAGATTTATATTTGAGTCTAAGTGAGAGGCAAGTTCTTGTTTATAATTTGCAGCTATGTGGTTTATTCTGCGATGTGGTTATTCTAAAGTATGGTTAGTCCTGTTAGCAATTCGTCAGTCACATAGTACAGGTAAAAGATTTTCAAAAACTGAAAGATTGATATCAGTGTGATGTTTTTCTTTATTTTGCTTGATGCATTGAACATAGTTACAAGAACAAAAGAGGAAGAACACTCCAGCAACATAATAGAGATAGCATGGGAATTTATCTAATAAAGGCTTCCTACTTGGTTTAAAACAAAGAAAGGTCTTACAAGTGAGATCATTATCTAATCAGGGTCTAATTAAGAAAAAACACCAGCATTTACTCCGTAGGCATAAAGCTCTGGATGTTAAACTGATATGTAAGAGACAGAAAGCTACAAAGCTACAGTACAAACAAATGTAAACCAAACACTACAGCAAGAAGCACTGTGGCACTACAGCGGCGTTCACAGAGGAGATGCCCAGTTGTGGCGAGCTGCCATCATTGCTCGTTTCAGCTGCTCATAGGTGACAAACATCACCACATTCCAGGAGCCCAGACGGAGGAAAGAAGGCATGAACCTGACAGCATATAAATAAAATTAGTGGGGAAATGTGAAGATGTTAAAGGCTCAAATTTAAACTGAAAAGTTCCTATACATGAAATAACCCCCTGGCCTCTTTGAGACACTTAAAAACAGTTGGTAATATGAGAAGATGTGTCATGTAATTTATGAACTAATTTCAAGCACATATTCTTTTCACCAAAAGAATTAGAAAGGCTAGTCAACTGAGAACAAAATCTTATTACATTTATAATAGACGATTCTTTTTATCTAATTCATCTACTCAGGAGGGCACCTCTGTTTATGTAACCGTTCATTTTTCTGGAGCAGTCTGAAGTGAGGTACTTTGGTCAAGGATACAACAGCATACCCCAGCCTGGGATTTGAACCTACAACCTTCAAGTTATAAGGCCAGAGCCATAACCACTGTATTATTTAGCAAAAAAACCCAAAAATAAATGTTATCATTTTCTCAAGAGATAATTGTATATTTACCCTTTATAGAAAGCCATGGGCCCCTCCTTTGTCAACATGGAGAGTGCACAATACAAGGCACTGCGGTACTGGCCAAGAGCAGAGTTCATATATCTTGTTTTCACTACATCCACAGGGGAAGCAATCACAGTAGTGCAGAAACCCGCACCGAAAGCAGAGGTGAAGTGGCAAGGAAGGTTGTCTGTAGAACAAAATATGAGAGAGTTATACTTAAATACACTGAAGCCTTAGCAAGTCAATTGCCATTCCAGATTAAGGACATTCACATACCAGACATCGAGGTGTGTCTCAGGAGAGCATCTTTGATGAGATCATAGGTCACTAATTCAGTGCAGTTTACAATGGCATTGCGGGCAATATTGGGTGCAGTTCCTGTGGATCAAACAACACAATATTTGAAATCAATACTTTGATTACCGAGGGACTGTAGAGCAGAGGATGTAATGGCTGAAATGATCTTTCAATAAAGTTTAAAATTAAGAACACAAAAGAAAAGCCATTGGTAGCAAGGTGCGAAAACAAGAGGAAAAACTGAACTCATGCTACCACACCCTGAGTTTTTACAATAATATCTTGAAAAGTGCTTTCAACCACCTGACCCAACTGAAAATGCTGCTTCTCCTATCTGCTACTTTTATTTGCTGCTCCGTCTTCACTGCAGTGATGAAAATAAAATACACCCCACACCTTTCCACAGTCCTTTCACTCCCTCCTCCTTGGCAATGGTCCTGTAGGCATGCATGGTTCCCTGGTATCGCCTGTTGCCGTTTGCCGCACTGGCCTGGGCCTGGAATCGCACCTTCACCACATCTGTGGGCTGAGCCACAGCCACAGCCAAGGCCCCAGTGGTGCAGCCAGCCAGCAAACGGCTGCCAATCCCAGCATCTTGAGACCCGAGCAAGAGAGAAACCTTGTCATTCCCTCCGCATTCTTGAAGGGGAGCAGGTTATTCATCTCCGTAACTTAAATCAACTCATTGATGGCATCGCAACATTTTCTGAATTAAGCACAAAATCGGGACCTCTGTGAAAGTACTGTATGGTCGCCGTGGTGTCGCAAACCACTGGTCTCGCCACGGACACAAATTGAGACGTGAAGCGGCCCTTCCTGCTCACGAGACACTGTGACGACTAGTGTAATGGGATGTATGAGCAAATAAGTACAGGTTGTGCTGCCGGCATTTCACCGCAGAAATGTTCCAACATGACCTGCATTCAGAGTTAACAAGCAAGTCGTATTTGTCAGCAAAACCGCCTGGAAGTCGAGAGCGTTATTTCTATTGGATTAAAAGAGATGTATTCACAAGACTGCTTCTTTACAATGCAATAAGGCCGCTTCACATGACTAAATTTGTTGCCTCGTTCTAAATCACAGAACACAGTGCTGCGCCTACCTGGAAATTTAGTTTATTCTGAAATGTAAATTCAAGGTTTTACACGTTATTGAGTACATTTTACTTTCATTGTGGTTAGAAATGCACTTGTTAAAATATAAATATATATAATCACCAATTTCTAAAGAGATGGAAGAATTCTACCATGGTACAGTAAATTAAACACCTGATTTGTTAAATAAAATAACTTAGAAGTCATGTAGAGCTAAATCATAAGCAATCCTTCAGCCCTCAAGGATCAGAGGTATCTTAATTAAATAGATTACTTGCTTAATCAATAGCTAAAAATAGTTGCAAAACTTGAAAAAACTGGCAACAGACGAGACTAACTGGACTGAGACTCTCCAGGACCAGGTTTGGAGAATCGTGATCTAAGCAGGTGGAATTAGATTCAACATGGCGTTGAAATTTCAGTACAATTTCTTTCTTTCGCGAATAAATTATACACAACTGGGTGTGAATCAATCACAGATCCAACAGTTCAGACTCTTAGCTTTTTACTGATGTGAATGGTCTCTAAAATATTCAGAGAAGTATATTTAATGCTGCCATGCGTAAATGCTGTAAAGGGATGTGCTTTAACATACGTTCGGCTCCTTTGGTGTAGAACTGCTTGACAGAGTCATAGAGTCCGATCCGGACTGAGGCAAAGCTCATCTGGCGCTGGAGCCCGGCCACCAGCCCGTTGTACAGACTCCTGGGCCCCTCTGTCCTCACCATGGTGGTGATGGTGCCAAACACGCCACTGTATTTGACGGATTTGACATTGGGACAGGTGGCTTTGGATTCTCCTTGGATCTGCACAGGACAAAAGGGGGATGAAGAGGCTTTACAGTCACGGGAAGGGTGGGCAGGGCACAGACCCAGGTCACTAACAGCTCACGGCTCATGGTCCTCTGCTTCGCACTGCTAGGCATCTGAGTCTACTAGTGAGGAGTCAAGAGAGATACACAGAGAGACACTATCAGTAAGTGCACGGATCCCAGGGACATCTTCAATTTTCAATGATCAGGTTCACTTCAGATCAAATCCATATGTGGCACCAACGGCGGGAACTAAAACTGACGGGAATTACACAACCATCTATCCGGTGAGACCTGCAACACAGCAAAACTGGATTCACCTTAAAATGTAGGACTTTGCTCCTGGTCTGGATACAGAAGCCACGCGGGACTATGAAACGTTTTGCTGCAACTTTCTGGAATGTCAAATCTAGGCAAATTAAAGCCCCAGGAGGGGAAGAAACTGGCCAGACTTGGGACTCAGTGTGCTTGCTCATACAGTAAACAGAGAGACAGGCACGCTGACGTCATCAGCTCGGCCTACCTGGAGCCTGACTTTAGCCGTGTCGAGGGGGAAGGTGAAAAGATCGGCAATGCAGGCCGCAGTCCCTGCACCAACGAACTTCACGGCCGCGGTAGGGGGGACGTCTGCAGGCCTGAATCCAACCATTTTCGCGGAGATAATGGGAGATCAATGAATGGACGACGAAGAGGTGGTGTGAAAACAAGGCAGATGAACTCTGGCCCCTTCTGAAACAGGAGAAATCAGTCAGATGAAAAACACATGCCATGAAATTTGCAGCACATACCAAAGGTTCCAGCAGCCTGCATTAATTTCTTCAAACTAGACACGCTGGACTCTCAGAACTTCAAAGGAAGCAACCATCAAGTTTAAATGATGTATCCTCTCAGATTGGAGATACATTTAACATCAGAAGGTTATTCTTCATAATGTGTATTATGCACCTTCTCTGTATCACTTAGTAGACATGTGGTCTACTCTACTCTTGAATTCCAGTTCAAGACAATTTTACTTGAAATACAATTGCACTCCTCCCTAGAGCACGTCTACGTCCGTGTTTTGGACTGAAAAGTTATAATTTTATAATAAAGTGGCTTATTTTAAAGCCGTTGAAACTCGGGTGTGGTCGTGTTGACTTGAAAACCACCATGCTGTCTCAGTCCGAGCAGCGTTATCTTCACAAAACCGCACGATGTTCCGCTTTGGGAAGAGGGTGCGGGGAACATATTGTTCTGCTTCAGCGAGTCTGGTCTAAGTCCTGTTTGACGCACTTGTCAGCGGAACTCGTACCTATTGGCCCCTGCCTGTTGCTAAGCGTACGCAATAGGCAGACGCAGCAGGAGCTAACAAAGGCATTGCTGTGTCAGAGCACTTATTTGCATGCTTAGGTGGAAAAAAAAAGTGTTGTTTCAGTCCATGTACAGCAGATCTTTGCCGCAGCTTGAAGCATTTAACTTTTTGGGTCACTCCGCGGTAGCAGTCAAGAGTAAGAACGCTGAAGGATACAAATTCATGTCTCAAGCAGCGTGTTTGGAGGGATTAATAAGACTTTCAAAACGTTCCCAATTAGTGTAGCTGATACCTTTATTCAAAACATACTGTAATAATGGTTAAAATAAATACAAAAAGTGCATTGTGCTTGTATTGGAAATAGATCACAGCTGTTTGTTTCTTCCAGTACAACGTTTTTATTTGACTTGTTATAGGGTACAAAACAGGAGGATTTTCTGACCTGTAAATTTTTATTTTAATTGTATTTCTCTAAATTTTTTAAATTGTAAAGCTTTTCTTTACAAACCACATAAAAGACATGTATGTATACGTTTAGATTTTGATAATTGCTTACGGATCTCTGTGGATTTCCGTCCCGTGGGATATTTAAATAATGAATCCTATATGAGTCTCTTTCAAACTAGGAGTTGCAGTGTCCGCCTAAAGTAACTGAAATCAACAGGTTTAATGTTCGTGTTTTATACCTTACCTTTTGTCAAGTAACCCAGGATGGCGCAGTTGATCAGGATTCTCTAAAGGTATCCCTCTCGTTGAAATTACTTTCAACTATTATCTGGGTCCCTTGTTGTTCCATAGAAAAAATTCCCAAAACTAAACTCGTAAAAAGCATAATCCAAATTCTGAAAAAAAGAGTAACATCAACAATTATTAGTATTAACCACAATCGTGATAATGAAATTGCCGGATACCAATTCGTATATTTTATTCACAGGGAGAAATGTTTAACACGTTATATTTTTTCCAAGATTTAACAATCCAAAGGCAACATTATTTAACTGTATTTAAAGTCTTATCGTTTTTTGTCTTTTTTATTTACATAAACGACAACAATCGAAACTATCTCCACGTTGTGCGATACTGTAACCTAGCCTAACCTACCGGTACGCTTTGAAAAGTTACCTTAAAATCAAACGTGAAAGGTTTAGTTTAGAAGGTGAAATCGATGGCTTCTTCTGTCGAGATGAGATGATGGACGATGGACACAGACGTTCCCCCGAGAAGAAAGCTTCCTGTTCTGGTAGCTTTCACAATGGGATGCTGAACTTGAAGGTGGTTTTATAGTCTCCCGGCCGCTGTCTCGCTGACGTCACTGAAGGAGAAGTGAAAGTCTGCGCAGAAATGTTCCAGGAAGGAGTTCGCCTCGCTGCGATAACACACAGCTCTCGCATAGTCATACATCAATGTCGGCTCGACTTGAACTCGAAAATTGCCCGGAGTTTTTTTTTTTGTGTCTGTTTCATCCTCTCTCCTGGGAGCCCTTTGCTCTTCGTTTGACGCTATAACTGTTAAATAGGACTTTCTTTATGGTCACTCAGGGTTTTTTACAGTACCCGGATACTGTCTGCAACCCGTGTTTGAAATGCAGTAAAAGTCTGAGTTGTTAGGAAACACTGTCGCTGACAAAGGACTGGAAAAAAAAAATTGGTTAGCCTTACTTTCGACTCGAATCCGTTGTACAGAATGCAAAGGACTGCAACTAACAAACGCCAGTATACAGTATGACTGAAAAGCTCTAAATTTGTGAATTAATGAGGCCGTGAATTAGCAACTTTAAACGCACTGTAGGGCACTGAGGCCTTACAATGTATCATGCATTTGAATTAATCCTAAATTAAAAATAAATTTGGGTGGTCTCTCAGCAGTTCAGGTATTGCTAGACTCTTTTTTTAAAAAAAACTTTAATTTCAACAATATCAAATTATTCACTTTTATACGAGAGATGGTACACGAATATATAGCACATTCTCCATTTGCATTGTTTTTAGAACTGAAAAATCAATTAAATTTTATATTAATATGCCACTTTATAACATACATGCACAGTGTATACACTGCTCATACTTACAATATGCATTTAGGCAATGTAGCCCTAATGTTTTGTATCTGGTTTGCAGTTCAGAGGGGGGGCTCAGCTGAAGTAAATGAGAGTGTGCCTATGAGCCAGATGTCCTTGGCTGTAGCCTTGGGCTGTCTGGCCAAGTCAAGCAGTTCTGTGCTCCGGGTCTGAAATGGAGTGAACTTGCCCGGGGTGCCAAAATTCTCACTTCTTGTGAAACTTGCCATTTCAGTTTAAGTCCCAAGCTTGTCATTGATCAAGTGTTGCCAGCTGACTTGAAAGCGTTTTGTTTTTTATGTTCTGAAATGCTAATAAATACCTGAAACCACTCTGTGTGTCATAGCTTAACTGGATAAGGTGATGTTAAGCCCCCAACTCCATATGTAAGTACTGCCACTTTCTCAGCTAATCGTAGGCTTGAATGACTGGTCCTGCCCTTATGTACTGCGGCATATTAGCAGCCAAAAATGCCGAGCCAGCCACTGCAGATGGGCAAATGTGCTACAGTTCACTCACTCTCTCAACGATGCTTTGTCCCACTTGCATGACACCTAATACAAACGTGCTGTTGTTCACCGTCTCTTTCAATGATGCCTCCTCATACCTAGCTGGCCTGCAGGTGAGTTTACTTCTGACATTCACTGGTAACCAATCATACGTCACTACATGGACAGCAAGTAAATTATTGTTCATGCCATAGACTCAAAATAAACATATGGGTTCAGCTACATATACACTTAATTTGAGCTTAATTTGGATTTTGCTAATACTGTTTGCAGAGCCGATTCCAGTTTTTATGAAGCGGAGAATGCTTCGTGTGTCCCACCAATTTCAAATTAAGCATTCACGGACATGGAGAGAATTGTTTTTTTATTTGTGATCCTCAGCAAATCCTGTGCTGGAAACTAATTTTTTTTTTAGCTCGTCAAGCAGTTTGTGTCAAAGTTGAGAGATTCATTAGTTTTATTCTGCTTTGTTATACAGTAAAGTAATATTTTGACAACTGCCTTTCCATCCTGAAGCGTCACCTTCTTACATCTCAAACGCTGTGTAAGGCTATTGCCTCGTCAGTCCTGGGGTGATCACACCCAAAGGAAAGCCAGGTTGCTGCTGTAAGTGTTATTGGTGGAGCAGTAGGTGGCACCCCTGCACCCGGATTAGAATTTCCAACCCAAAGCCTTAGAGTGGTGACAGGGAAAACTGTTCCTGGGAACTCTGAAAGGTTTCTTCTTTGGATGAGATATTAAAACCAAGATCCTGATTACTTAGACATTACAGATCCCTTTGGCACTGGTCGAAAGAGTAGGGGCGTTAACGCCTGGTGTCTTGGCAAAATTCAGTTCTGGGCTTGAACAGTCTGTCCTTCCTAAACCTTCTCCTTAATTCAGAAACCTCACATTCCTATGTTTGACCTGCTGGCACATAAAGGCTGAAGTGGGCCCCCCTCCATATCTGAAAACTCTGTATTCCACTGGAATGAAAAGCTGCAAATATTATCACCATTCTTATTATTTCTTCTTTTCCTCTTGTGCCATCCACCATCAACGAAATGTTCCTCACCCATCATTTTGTCTCATTCAGTTGGGCTCGGCTGGCATTCCTGGGGTTGAGCAAATGATTCATAAAAATGTGCTAAGGAGCTACACTGCTATTTGTAGCTCAGCAGTACAATGTCTAGACACTGGGGTTTTTTCCTTTCATCTTTTGAAGCAGAAGAGACTGGCAGATTTTGGAAGATTTATTATACAGTGAATAAGTAGAAAACACCAATATATACAAAGAACATGTTTCAAATACATCGACCAGCGATGGAACAAACAATGTCTGGTTCTTCAGTACTTCTATTTGTACACCTTACCAACCAATCACACCAATGTAAACATTTTCCCCTTACTATATTCTTGTTCAGTGATTCCAGAAAGGAAAATCGGTTCAAACTGGAGATTCCCATGACTGCTGGGCTCTCGTTACAGCTCGTTTGATTTGCTCATAGGAAACAAACATCACAATATTCCAGGATCCCAGGCGCAGAAAGGAAGGCATGAACCTAGACAAGGGATAATTAAATAAAAAAAAAGTTTTAGTAGTGTATGTAGTTTTGAAGAGATACTGACAAAAATGCCCATTTTTGGTAGGCTTTTTTTAACTGAAAGCCATCGTGCTTCTTACAACATGCAGAAGAATTATAACTAGGTGTCAACAATAGCAAATATCTCTTTTGCATAACCAACTACCACCTTAGGATGCTGCAATTTGGCTTTAAAACCGAATACTTTAATAAACACATGCATTGGATCCACATACATCTCTGGGCTAGATTCATAGGACAAGATTAGCAAGACTACTAGACCTGTGTACCCTGAAATGACATTAGCCCAAGGTTAACGCTAATCAGGGTCTGCAGAGCAGTCTCTTATGTAACCATGTCGGAATTGCCGGTCAGAGGCCTGACCTAGGGCTTCTTTTCATTCTTTCCAAGATATACTGAGTCTGCCATCGCTTCCCTTCCCCCACTAGTGAGGCAGCTTCTTGGAAACATGGGAGGAGGGGTGTGTGCGGTGGTAGACAAAGTGAAGGAGATGAGAAATTCCAGAAACTGAAAGACGGGCTCTGGTTTGTTCCAGGTTTCTGCCCACTGGAGAACTACCGTGCACCGGTCTGCACCAAAGGTTTTCTCTCTCATCTCAGGTACCTACCCCTTGTAGAAAGCTGCGGGTCCTTCTTTAGTGAGCATAGTGATGGCACAGTTTAGAGCGCTGCTGTACTGTCCAGAGGTGGAGTTCATGAAGCGCGTCTTCACCACATCCACCGGGGACGCCACGATGGTTGTACAGAAACCAGCCCCAAAAGCAGCAGTGAAGTGACAAGGCAAGTTATCTGTAACACAAAACATCAAACTGTACTCGCTGATAGACATTGGCGTTGATCTGCAGAACAGAGAATGCTTGGGAATCAGCCGGGGAAAGTAAGCTGAATGAATTGTACAATGTTCTTGTCATCTTTCTTAAAGATGTCTTAGCATGAACAACTCCTTTTTCGTTCTTGCCTTTCTTACAGTGTGTGGTGAGTGCAACTATAACGTGTTACAAACTTTGTGAGCTCAAATGACCTTTTCCCAGGCAACGAGTTTAAAGATTAAAGCAGGAGTTCACTTTACATTTCTTACCTGTCATGAGGTCATATTTCAAGATGAGCTCTTTGATGATGTCATAAGTCACCAGCTCTGCACAGTTCACAATGGCATTACGGGTAATGTTAGGGAAGGTTCCTAACAGGGAAAGAGAGAGAGTGAGAACAAGTGTCAATAATGTCAATAGTGTCAATAAAACCCTCTTAGGTCTGGAATTGTAAAGCATACAAGTAGTGAACACTTGTCCTCTGTTTTTAGAATCCCTGACCTTTCCACAAGCCTCTGACGCCTTCATCCTTGGCAATGGTCTTGTAGGCTCCCATGGTGCTGCTGTATCTCCTGATGCCATCTGCCAGCCTGGCCTGGGCTTGAAACCGCACTTTGACCACGTCGGTGGGCTGAGCAAAAGCCACTGCCATGGCCCCTGTGGTGCAGCCCGCGAGCAGTCGGCTGAGAATACCCGCCTCTGAGGAGAGAATCCACCAGTGAGAGTCTGCAGATCTGAGACAGGTTTAATACTGCAGCAAAGCGTCTGTATCAAAAGGATGCTTTGACCATGTTAAGGTCACAACAGTATGATAGATTCATCTCTCACATCCTGAGCAACCTGCAAACTATATTATTATTAATATGCATAATAACATTCATTTTTTGGCTTTGGGTGGATCTCTGTACTGTATGTTCAAGCTGGGTTGCCATTCAATGCTGTACAGATGTTCCATTTCGAGGTAGGTTAAGTACTTTTTTCAGACCTTAATTGGTTTAGTATTAATTAGAAGCACTCCTCCTTTCATCTGGTAAAGACCCCAGGCAGATGGAGGTTTGGTAGAGTCTTCACTATTCCTCACTGAGGCACATATTTCTGAATCGCTTGCGGGACTTGTTTATACTGAGCGCAAGTGTGTGTAAAGACTCACGCTCAGATCCTCTGGTGTAGAACTGCTTCATGGAATCATAGAGTCCGATCCGGACCGAGGCAAAGCTCATCTGGCGCTGGAGCCCGGCCACCAGCCCGTTGTACAGACTGCTGGGCCCCTCTGTCCTCACCATGGTGGTGATGGTGCCGAACACGCCCCTGTACTTCATCGCCTTGCTGCTATCCAGACTCCTGGATTCTCCTTGGATCTGAAAACAACACCGACCTAGTTTAAAAACAGATTCCAGAATTGTCGCTGAAGGCCTTGTTTGCAGGGCCCTGCCGTGTGGCTAAAGTTAAGAAGAAGCCTTGACACACTCTGCAATCATAAACTAATATTATGAAAAACATAAAGCTACCGGATGCCACAGTAGAGCCGGTCTCTAAACATTATAAGCAGCAGTTTTACAGACTTAGCAAGGTAAATTATAATACTGGACACCTCTTTTCCATTTTATGATGTTGTGCTTTACCACAATTCCCTCTTTTTTTATTATGCTTTTACTGTGATTTCAATGTTCTTTGGTACACTTTTGTTTTCTGTTACTATGGTATACAACAACAACAACAACAACAACAACAACAACTACTACTATTTGGGAATTCTGAAGTAATTCCTCCTGTCCCACCTGAAGCCTGACTTTGGCTGTATCTAAGGGAAAGGTGACCAGATCAGCAAAGCAGGCAGCTGTTCCAGCTCCAAAGAATTTGACGGTGGCTGTGGGGGCCAGGTCTGTGGTCTTCACTCTGACCATCCTCACGCAAGGCCTGTGGATATCGCAGGGGAGCTCTGTTTCTTCTGAAGTGAATGGAGGATATACTCTGCCCTCTTCCAACCTGAGGATAATAGCCGAAAAACAAGACATTCTTGTGTTATTCTGATAACTGAAGCTGGATAAAACTTTTCCTGTTTTTTTTCTGGACTTGCAAGGCTCTCCAAAAAATGTCAGTCTGCTAGGATTAAACACCATTAAACACAAACACAACCATGTTTTCTGTTACCTGGACAGAAAGAGATGCTTCTGCGAAGGTCACGTTTCAGGCAGAGGAAAATGTCTCCCTTGAAAGTGTTTACCCTTTGTGTTGCATAGAGTCATACAACAGCCAAAGGTATAGCTCCTCAGCAGCATAACACACCTCCTACAACATAATACAGCAGCGTTATGTTGTGAGATGCATGTTAGGGATTTCAGGAATTTACTTCCCTGTACTAAAACTTCAGAGTGGTGATTCTGTTTGATTTTTATTGGAAAATATTACAACTTTTAATAAGCATGCACCAGGTAAATATTAATAAAAGTTGCTTGAACTGGATGCATTCAATAACCTGTCCAGTGTTGAACCTTCAGCACACCAGTAAAGCAAGTAAGCCAAACACTTTTCTGAATCAATGAACAGAAGGCAAATCCCCAAAAGATATTTTCTGAGGAAGGTGCTTTTCAATTTCATTTTTAAAGCACTACTATCTTTTCATTCCCTGTTAAATCACTCTCACTGATTCACAACCACCTGAAAAGCCTTCTCAATGGTTAATAAAAATAATGTGTAATTGAAGATCCCATTAAAAATACATTAATATATTTACCTGATAGAAATAAGTGATTTTAATCCAGTGCACCAAAATGAAGATTCAACATGCAATATTCCAGACAGTGGTTTTCCATCAGTGGCAGTCTGTCCACTAGTGTCCCTTCAAACTGCCTTTAATCTGCAAAGAACCGTTCTATTTATACCAGCATCTTCTCTGAAGTGCTATTGGTATTAGGTTTCAGGACATGACAACAATTACCTAACAGCGGGGACATGTTTACATCAAAAGCTTATTGCCGTATGTCACTTGCAAATCTGTGCAGTTTTGTTTCCAAAGTGGTGTAGAAATGACCTGCAGCCCCGCAAAACCATGTAGTGATGTAACCAAATGAACCCATCAAACTATAAATATTCCTAAAGGGTGGGATTATACTGAGATACCGCCTAAAAGAGTGTTTTGCAATAAATTAAATAACATCACAACCAGTCCTTCCAGTCCAGTAACGAGAATGGGAGGTGTTTGGTATTCCTGCAGTCTACTTTTATTAAACGATTCCGAAAATCTTGACATGATCTGCAGAAATGGCACAGAAAAATCATTGAAAAACATTTTAAACTCAGATTTGTAGTTTTTCACCAGTTCTCATGGTTTTGGATAGATGGATCATAGATGGATATCTCTTGGTGGCAAGTAACAAGTTTTGTTGAAGGGTGCAGTCTGCAGCTACTCAGGGGAATACTGAAGTGGACTCTGGTAAACAGATGTTAATAGGGTGAAAAGTAAGCAACGAGAATATCACACTTACAGTCATCATTTTCCGCAGATTCCTTTGATTTTATACGATTCATAAAATGTGCAGAATTGTTATGAAAAACTGCTGGACTGGTCTACTACACTTTCGATTCGAGTAGAATATTGTGCAAATACAGATCATTCGATGTGGCACCTCGTTAAATCCTACGATGAGTATTTTACGAAGTAAACCCGGATTGCAGAATGATACAATAGCAGAATCACTTAAAAGTCTTGCAATTAACGTATCTCGAGGACCTGGTACATGTACGGTGAGGTGTGTGCACATTATTGTGCTTGGATCTCCGTTTCTCGGAAAAAGCTACAGGAAGGTATGCAGGCTGGGGGCTCGTCTGGGATAAACAGTCCTAGTGGTTAAGATTTCATTCGGGGAAGTACATGACGTTCCCAGCAGCCGGCTGTGTACAGTACTAAATTCATGGCGGGTGACACCTGTTGTGGCCGCCACAGAACTGGCTTCTCTCTGTGTGTGTTTTTTTAATGTCCTAGTGTACTGTAATGTATACGAGACATCGCAGATTCACAAGACATCCAGTCTTTTTGTAGCTGGTTTTCAAACACCCCATAATTGCAGAATGGTTGATATTGTGGAAACTAAGACAAAACATCAATTTTTCCAATTACATATTCATTACAAACGCTTAATAAAGTAATACTGATATCATGACAATGCAGACCAACGAAACATTAGTTTCTGAAGTGCACTGTTACTTTTGGAAGTAGCTATAGGCTACTAAAATATTAATACTCCCCGTACTGTGTATCAATATCCAAGATATGGAGCGAATCTGGATTATCTCACAGATTAGAGGGGCTGTTTTAAATTTCATATCTGACCAAACCAATTTTCCATAATACCCAGAACAAGGTTCAACACTGGTACACATTTATAGATGGTCTTACTTGGAAAACCACTTCATTTCAATGAAAGGAAATAGAAAAGCTGCTGTACGCAAAATAAAGTAATATATTTAACCGAGTAAAAGATTAAAAACCCTTCTTTTGTAATATGTCTACAGATGATGAAACAGTATCGCATAAAATGCTCTACTGTCTGTTTCGTTGAAGTAGCACTTTCCCTTTGAACCTGAAAGGAATTTTACTTCATTAATACGGAGGTTAGGAAACTCCAACCATTTAGCCAATCCATACACAATTTACAGGAGGTGTGTTACCATCTGTATGCAATTCTGGAGTTGTGAAAGCATCTGGTCCCAGAAATAAGCGTTGTCTAGCATGTTAAAACCATATGAGCGTAAGTACTTGCATACATTTTGCCTCATGGCTTGAGACCCTGGAGTTCTTCAAAGGATTCTGGTCATTCTGCTTCTAAGTATTTCGCTACATATTCAATCAACTTTGGGATAAAATCCAAACAAAAAAAGATACAGAAGTACAATTTCCTACTATCTTCAAAATAATCTGTAGAACAACAAATGAAAATACCAATGAACATGATTTAGATTTTGGACTACAGAAATGCAGCAAATCTGACATTACAATCACACTTGTGTATTCTAGTATACTAGAAATGTATACTAGAATACATTTCTAGTATACTATGTGTAGTATACTAGAAATGTAAATAAATGCATTCTGATAATAAGAACATTTTACAGAATACCCCCCAGATTGTTTTTTTTTTAGGCTTTCACAAACTGCACGGAATAGCTGAAAATGAACACCAATTACAACACTCCCTACGATAGATGAGCTGATTTCCAGGATGTGATACCTCTCATTTCCACGTACTTCAATAACAGTAACAATGATTCATTTTTAATTATGATGAGACTCAACGAGACTTTACAAAGTGCAACAAAGCAAAACATATATTTCTAGCATCCCTCGCATTAAAAAGCACAGTTTGTACTGTTTAGATCGTGGGTGTTTCAGGGTGAGTTTCAGTGTATAACAGTGTGGAGACCTGTGATGTTGACTACTGGATGAGAAGACAGTCAAACCACTCAGTTTACAGCTTAACCTGGATTGAAACGTGAAAAAAGGCCAAATTACACGAAAGACTACTTCTGAATTCCTTAAGTGCTTGTTTTTCTCTCTGTGGCAAGCTGTGACGAACGTAACTTTGTTTGCATTCATGGACTGAATACAAACAAAGAGAAATATCAGTGCATGAAATTCCTTGAACTGTAGATATCTGGAAGTTACATCTTGATGATCACATACATACATGTTTGTTAACATGGAGTCAGATTTCAGACTGTGTAACACCTTATACAGTTTCCACATAAACATATAATTATCTAAAATGATAACTGTATCACCAAATTGCTTCCGAATACACTCAGTTGATAAAAAAAACATTTTATTTGTGCAACAAAAATACTACACGTTAAAAAGTAAAAACATTTACATTTACAAAAGTCTAAACATTAGACACACTGACACCCAAATATTACTGGAGAATTTAAATATCATAATTTATAAATAATTTTATAAACACATCAAGAAACACACAAAAAGTAAAAGGCTATTTTTTCTCGGTAAACTGAGCTGCAAATATCTTAGCAATTCTTTTTGTTTCTTCTTTCTTCTTAGAAGCTGAGGGTATACTGGGCCTTAGGCGAGCAGCTCTTCTGAAAGGAATTCCATGCTGAGCACAACGTTGTGCCTGAAATGAATTGAGATCCCGCCATCAGTAAGACTAGTAATATGAGTAATTTGACAGCTCTGCAAACTTAAGCGCAGTTTACATTAGTTTCTCCCGGAAAAAAAATTCTGCAAGCCGAGAGACACAAAAACAACTAGTCATATGGGTGAATGGAAAAATCACAAATCACAACACAGATAGCCTATATTGAGAATTTATGGCAGTTGTTTAAAGCATGCTTTAACTGTATTAAAAAAACAACAACTAGTGAGGTCAAATTTCACTTTTGTTCATATTTTCAAGTAGTGATAAAGATGGATTTTTGTTTCCACAAATAAGAATGGTTTATTAATTACACAGCCAGGGTTGGATAAATAAGGGATATATGCATGGAGTGTAAAGCGATAAAAAAAAAATTGATAAAAAAATGGCAAAACATAATCAACTTATGTTTATAAATTATACAATGTTTATCCATTTTGGTTTTGGATATTGCGTCAAATAAATGCTTGCAATTGTATATTGATTTTTTGTGTGTCTTCTCTTAACAACTGTATCTAAAATCCCCTTTTCTGTGTGGAAAGAACATTGCCAACTTAATATTTAATTAACAACCCAAAAAAGTGATGTCTTTAATCAATCATACTAATAGGAATGCCTGGATCAAGTATATTAAGCACATGTGCGGATGCTTAATATACTTCATATATGCACTTAACATACAGTATATACATGTTTCCCTGTCATATTGTATATGCATAGAACTGGGAAACACAAAGAAAATATTGGCACAAAAGAGCAATTCTAAAATAAGCTCATCTTTACATATTTTCTCTCCTGCTGAAGTATACTGTGAATATTTAACCAAAAGCTATTTTTGCACATTTTGTTCTTGAGGGAGGATGGGAGTGTGTGCTGCTACACAGTCAGCATTTAGAAACACTACAGACCAGTTGGAACCAGTTTCCGCCACGCGTCTCGTGACCTTTGCACACAGATTTCCTGGTAAACAACTCTGGAAATTTAATACAGGTGTGACAGGCTGACAAAGACGCTTTCCAAATCTCATCTTACACGGTACATTTAGATATTTTTAAAAATATCTAAACTAATATCATAAGTTGAGAGTACTGCAACTGAAAGTACAGAAGAACAAATGGCTTTGTTGCATCTTCGCTAAAATGAAGACAACAGCGGTGCATCAGTACAGTTGGGGTCCTGTCTCCCACATGTCGGGAGAGGATTGGCCAGAGGATTCTGTATTGTGTGAAAACTTTACCTTAATGTACAGTATGTAAACACAAAACACAGGGATACAGTAGTTATAAAGTAGTTCTTTTGATATGTTTCTAAAAACACCAGAGTTACAGGTGACAATCCAGATAAACTTGTTTAAAAGAACAACAGTTAACACCTAACTCCTTCGTTCACAGGGAAACAAGATTGTATTGGAAAGGTAACAAATCCAGAGTAATCTGAGAGCATTTCCTGCAAAACAAAAAGTGCACTCAGGCACCCGCCTCGCTAGCTGTTATTCAGATTGGCATTTAACTCTTAATATCCTTTTGGGTGATGTGATTAAGGCAAACATCTCATCCCCGGACACAACACAGTTCTATACAGATCTGCTCGAACGTCTGTAGCCTCTAAGTAGTCCAAAAGGTCAGGGAGCTGTTACTTAGTTGAAAGATTTGAGTGGTCAGTTGTGAGATGCGAGACACATTCTTCAACAGCAGAAAGATCATCCTCCTGCCCTTTAACCTCATTTTCTATGCGTATGCCTGCTTGGCGACATCCTCCGTGCCCTTTTACAGACTGAACAGTTTCGTGCTTTGATGCCCCCTTAAGTACGTTTTCCAAAATGGGAATGGCTTCAGATTACTGCCAACATGAGTTTATTGCAAGCTTAACCTGATGCTAACATCCCACTCATTTACAGTTGGACTTGATTCTGCCACCATGGAATATAGGTCAGACGTTGCTACAGCCATGCAGCACTCCTGTATATTCAACTATTGACGTCTGTGTTTAAAACTAAAAACAAGGATTGCCTCTCAAACCATGCAAAACCACTCCATGCTTTTAACTTGCCCGTATAGGTACCATGGCGTATCATGGTCTATCTGAATCGATCTTCTGTACTGCAATAACATGTGTTAGTATTGGCTGCTATCTCTGTGAAACCTAATTGAATGAAAATATATTTAAATAATTTTAGACACTTCTTTTAAATAATCAGTCCATGCATAAACATAACCATGTTATGTTCACTGCAAATCTCCTCTATCTCTCAGTGTCCTACTAATCTAAAAACGTAAAGCTTTCTGGTTCATAAGGGCTATGGTAGTTGGATTGGTACAATGTATCACACCAAACATCCTTAGCTTTTAGATGGCATTTCTATTGCCATATCTGCAGCAGGTGGTCACCTGATAACTGTGCAAAATTACAATATGCACCTGATTACAATCTGTAGCTTAGCAGCTCTAATAACATGGAGCCCTGCTATGTCCCAAAATTTTATAATGTCAGACAGAAAAAGACTTTTGATCTTATGTAACCTGACATTTGAATAGCTTGTCTGTGAAGCAAGGAGTCCTTTTTGGCCTGGTCTCTTTCAAGGGTCTTACTGCCATTGAAAGACGAAGTATATTATTATTATTAAATACCAGAAGTACAATTCCAATAAACATTAACTGACTGTGTAGATGTTTCTGTTCTTTTCTATTTCTTGAAAATCCAGTACATAACACAAGAGACAGATAATTTTACTGTTTCAAGAAAAACAAATATTGCTATGCAGTCAGAAGATAGCAGATGATTAGGAAAAGAACATTACTATCCTAAGCAATTTTATCACACCAACACAAAATTATTAACCTTATGTCGGCAATTTGCACACAGAAGGCAATAACTCCAGAAATCCACTGCAAAATCTGTAACTCAGTTTGGCGCAGTATGCACCCAACATGCAGAACCTAGACGTGTAGAATAAACACACAAAAGCCAAGCGCACACTAACTCTGGAGGGACAACAGCGTGCAAAAGGTTTTACAGATGCGGAGCCGTATATCCATGTACATCCAACAGCTGCATTATCAGTTTCAGATGATTAATTCAACAACCCGATTGCTAAACATTCGATTTTAATATATTCTAAGAAAAAATAGGTCAGGAAACGACGCTAGGTGTGGGGATCCAGACAATCAATGAGAAATGATGCAGACTGGAAACTGGTCAGTTTCTTAAGAACTGTCTAAAAAATAAGTTGAGGATCCCAGCTAAGAATTAAAAGGGGGAAGCTGGCGAGCCAAACCAGAAAGAAAGGACTGCAAAAAAAGGAAAACAAAAGTACAACGAAAAGGGAGAAAAAATGAGAAACAAAAAGAAAAAATAATCAAGGCTAATGGAAAAATAAACAGGAAACAGCTGTACTGCAGTGCAGTGAAGTAGGGAAACACAAAGAAAAACTTCTGTTTAGCGAGATGCAACCATTTGCACAGAGATTAAGGCCCTGATGACAGAGCAATGATACAGGGGTTCAAAGAAACCAAACAGGGCTTCTAACTGAATGGGAACTAGCTCAGGAGCCCGACTGAAAAAGGGTTGGCTTAATTGAACGGCATCCCGATCTAGTTTGAATGACAGGCTGGGAACGCGAGTCGGATCTGGCCTGGGCATGACAATAGTGTAATGTTCTTCTCCTCCGTGCACTGTCCACTTCTGACTAAACATGCTACAAAAAAGACATGGCGGTGCTGATGGAACTTTCTTGGCAAGAGGCATAAAGCAGCAGCTTCTCTAGAATACTCACTGGTTCAGAGGAAGTTGACGGATAGATTGGGGCTATGTGCAGAGCTCTCATTGACGTCTCCAGATGTTGAGCGGGGAGGAAGAAATTGGGAATGAGCACAGAATCTGACCTGAGGAGTCCAGGTTAAGGAACCAAAAGCATGTCAGTCCTGGCCCTACAGGTCTACTCTGCAGATGTATTCAGTGCATCCAGATATTGTGTACCACAGAAACTGGTGTCACACTGAAATCTAATGATTGAGTAAGATTAAGACTTAATTTTCTGTTATATGCGCCTGGAGTACAATAGAACAAGAGTATATTAAAACATTTGTTATTAGTATTAGAAGATAACAGTGTACAACCCTTTATCTGTTTATAGAAACGGTTTTGGGAATCCAAATTTATACCTTTCCAAATTTATACCTTTTCAGTCAGACTGAATTCATTCAGTCATATGAATTAAATTCTAAAAAAATTAGGCTGTAAATTCAATGAAAGTTCACAGAATAATTACATCTTTTGTTTGAAAAACAAACAACTTTTATTACATTTTAAACCAGAAGGTGGCTTCATTAGCTCTCAAAAAATGGTGCATTTTGTTCGTTATTTTTATGTTATATGTCATGTTATTTAAGCCCAAACTGTACTTAAAACTGTACTAGTTGTACTATTTATTAATTTTCTCTGTATTATTTTGCACTGTTTTTGACCTGTTTGTATACTTTTCTCTGTTTTTGACCATTTTGCACTGGCACCATACTGTTGTTTAGCATTGTTATTGTTGTATTACTCTCTATTGTCTTGTCTTCTGTTCTATTTATATACTGCACCTGAGAGACTAATGAGAAACACTTTTCACTATACCAAGCACCCATGTAAGTATAATGACAAATAAAGTTGAATTGAATTGAACTGAATTTTTTTACACGCTCATTTGATATGTGTTTGCAAATAGGGTAGGGACATAACCCATGGAGCTCAACGTGTGCTCAGGAAACCGCCTTTACCGGTAGAGCCACTGGGAAACCCAAATTGCATGGCATTACACATGAATGCTAACCTTAACCTTATACCAAAATTCTGAAATGCCCTGAAGGAGAAAGGCAGACAAAATCAAAAGGATACAACTTGGTCGGTGACTCCTTTTCATCCTTTGAACGAAAAGCTGCCTCTCCTGACCCACTTCTGTCTAGCGTGTCCTGGAGATGCTCCGAGATGTTTGGTAATCTCATTACCTCGTCACCCGAGTCCTCATTTCTTTCACAGGACTCCGAGGCCTGTGTGCCTTTTCTTCTGTCTGGAGGGTCCTCTGCATCCGAAGAGAAATCCAGCCTGACATGTTCACTAGATTCTGCATCTTCCCTGTTCTCTTGTTTCTGGGAGTCCCCTTCAGTTTCATTGAGTCTGAATGTAGCTCCATCTTCAAACTCATCAGAATCCTTCTGCTCTGCAGTCCTTACGCAGTCACCCACACTCTGTGACTCTGCTGTTCTTGCACTGCCAGGCATGCTGGAGTGCCCATCATGCAAGATATCTGGCAAAGGGCTGCCGTCTGCTCTCATGTATTCCTGTCTGGAAGAATCTGACTCGTTCTCGAGATGTTCCTGGCCTGGCCAATTCTCCACTTCTTCCACAGAAGCCATGTCGGCCTCCGACAGAAGGCTGGACCAGGGGCTGGTTTTGTCTGTCATTGCAGTCACATCATTGAGGGGTCTTGGCTGTACCACTGTCTCCTCATACTCATCTTCACTGTGTGAACCACTGGCAAAACCGTCACCTTCGCTGTGATCATGATCAGAGCTTGAATCCTTTTCCTCCTCAGCGTTCACTGGACAGATCTTTTCTTGGCTACTGGTTTCATCAGGGACATCAGCTGTAAGAGAAGCTGGGGGGGAACTCTTGACAGTGTGGTTCATGTCATCTGCTACATTAGGTAAAAGAAAGTCCCTTTCGTGAGATTCACACTTTTCTATTGGTGAAGTACAGTCCTGTGCTGAGCCAACCAACCAGCTGCTGCCCTGAGGCAGGTGGGGAGCTTGATCAGATAAAACATCCATATCTCTCTCATGCAGACCTGTTGAAATGGGACATTCAGAGAACACAACACTTTAGAAATGTGTTAATTAAATAATTAAAAATTCCTGTAGCTCTGTTGGTAATAGAAGCTGGAAAAAAAACATATTTACTCTAGATAGTTTTTAAATTACAGATTATTGGCAATAAAGATTTTGAACGACCAATAACTACCTAACAAAGAAAAAGCTAGCTCACCACTAAGCAGGTTATTCACTTCCCCAACCAGTCTGCTTGACTTTGCCAGCAGGTGTGTGGAATCTGTGACATGAGAGTCTCTGTTGTTCTCAGTCATGGGGTCCACGTTTTCATCTCGTCTGGACAGTGTCCCAGAGTCAGAAATGCTTGGAAATGTTTGGGAGGACAGTTTACGACTGAAATACCTCTGAATTTCATCCAGCTCACTGAGATTTTTCCTGTGATAGACAAAGAAAAGAAAATTTAGATTTTTGTTCTCTAAATATACGAGAGTGTTTCTCACTTAACCTCTAAAAAGAAACTAATGCCAAGCTGTTTGAAAATTCAAATGTCAAGAATAATGGTGCCTCGCCACCGATGGAAAAATCAACCGAATTGTTTCCATGTGAGTTATTGAAGCCGTCCTTGTGTCTCTCTACCTGAGAGCCGAGACCAGTGAGGACTGGGATGGTTGCGTTTCACTGCTGGGAGCACTGTGGAGGTTTCTCTGCTCATGCTGTAGGCTCTGGTGGAATCTGCGTACATTCTCCATGTGCTTCTCATGGCGACTGTGAAGAGTGGATTCGCAAAGAAAAATTAGAGCATCATTAATACTGACAGTTCATTTATCAGGACTATAAATTTCATTAACCATAATGACAAATCCAGCAGTAAATGAACTCGTAACTGTTCCATTAAAAGTAACAAAACTTTCACAAGCTCTCTACACATTATCTCAGTTATTTCATTGATAATGATCAAAACATCACATTGAAAATTATATGGAAGTTTAAAAAACAAAGCACATGCACCCAGTCTACAATTCAACAGATACGCGTATGCCAACAGGAGGACATTACCTTTCAGATACCAAGAAATCAGCTTGCTCTGGGAAGGTGTTAACAAGCTGCTCAGGATATCTGGTAATATGAGTAGGGAAGGCACTGTACATGGCTGAAGTCCGATAAGATAGTGCAGAACCTTGCAAAGCTGCCTAGAGTGGCAAAATGAAAAAATAAATAGCTTAAGACATTTAAAAATCTGATGTTTCATGTTCACTCCCCCCAGAAATACACATGACACAATATACTCATGCCGCATATACAGAAATATATTAAAACTTTGAATAATTTTTCCAGGAAAACATAAGCCAAGCTATACATGGTACGCACTTTGGACTCCTTGGTGTTGCCTTTTGATGCGGCCAGTCTCTGCTCTCGAAGGTCCTGCACTGTCTCCAAGGGAGAGATGGACACTTTGAGCTGCCCCTGGCATTGCCCATTAAAGTCCGTGACGTTGTACCACCCACACACGCACTGGAACCCCGACAGCAGGGGGGACAGGTCAACAGATGCAAACCCAACTACTCGCTCAACATCTAAAAAAAAAAAAAAAAAGACTGGCATGAGGGCAAAAAAACCTTGGTTAAATACTCCACTGACATAGCACGTTAATGCATAGGGGTTTCCTGCAGAACATATCTTAAAGGCAATATTCATACTATACCTCCTTTATGCCAGACTTTGAACACCAGAGTCTGTTGGGGATCCACTAATATTTCCTTTGAAAGCCTGCCATTAAAGAAAACAACAAAACCTGGGTCAGTCTAGTAATTCAGCGTTTTAATTTAAAAATGTTTACACACACATTGTTTCTCAAATCAGAAGAAACTGTATCAGATGCCAACAACGACAAAGCACCTACAGGTGCCGTTCTATAAATGGAACTAAAAATAAAGTGGGGTGGGCACGTGTGAGGCAGCCCTGTCTGTACTGAAGGACAGCGTACTGGATGCCCGAGACAGGTCTGTGAGTCGAATTCTCACCGGGTCTGCACCTGGTGGTCCCACATGGGACAGTCACTGTCCGATACGACCTGTGTTGTGACAGGATTGGCAGCATCCGCAGTGGCATACGACACACAGCAGCTGGGCTTCACTCCAGTGCATTCTACCAGAGGGCTGCCTAGAAAAGTACAAAAGAAAAAAAAAACTTGCACGTGACTGCAGCTATAAATCTCAACTGAATGGAGCCGACAACTTCTCTTTCTCTCGCGTGGCACGTTGTTCCGTTTTGTCACAATACACAGGGCCATTTATAACAGCTGCGCTGTCAGGCCACAACTGAAATGCACCTTAAGAGCTGTGCCCTGTTTCTGCTGTGCTATTTCCAGACAGCTCTGAAAAGCTTAAGAAGCCTCTTCAGAGAACTAGTCACTTCAGTTATGCAGTATAATATCTATTGCAACTGACACAAAAAATGTATACAACAGTTTATGTGGAAGCCTGAAGTGTTCATTTTGTGCCATATTCCAATGTTCCCTAAATGTGAGGAAACAGAACTGTTCTGAACTATATCACCTCCTAAATGAGGTTTCAGTCAGGTGTGTGAATGAGTGAGGAAAGAGGTATTTTGCAGCTTCAGTGGAATTCAACATTTTCCTCAGCCAAAAGACAGGCTCTTCATATGCAGCATTTTAAACTATGCAAAAAATCAGATTACATTTAGGACAAAAAATAATTTGACAAAGAAGGTCTTGTTTCACTAAACCTTGAGACAGTGCAAGCCTGGAGAAAAATGTGACAGAACATGAAACATTTTAACACTGAATTTTCTGCTTCAATATGAAACTACAGTATGAAGAACTGGGTCACAGAAATTCAGATACCAACCATGAGCTTGTTTTTTGACATTACATGCACTGTATGATTCAACAGTGTAATTACACAGGGCTGTGAGCATGCCTCTGTCCTGTCCTTAGCCAGCTGTTCTCTTCACGTAAATAAGCTGGATTCTTCACAAGAATAAAGACATGCAGTTCACACAAATTTAGTTCCCTTATGATTAGATTGTTGTAGCATCATTTCATTGCATTAACTGAGTCAACTAACAGCACACATTCTTTAAGGTACTTCTTTGAAAATACTAAATATAATTCAATTTTAGATGAACACAAATTCCAGGGAAATGTGGATGATTGCATTTGTGCATTTATCGGCAGTTCCATTTTTTGTTCAAAAACCTTCCATTTGCTGTTCTTAGAAATTTCCTTTAAAAGTGACAAATTGCTCTATCTGTCTCTATGCACTATGACAACCATACTTTTACTGTTCCCAGGAAAGTGTCATTCAATAAACTGCTAGTCTAACACCAATAGACTTTTAGCAGTCTTTTCACTCATGTTTACATCAGTATGCTAACCAAAGGAAGTCAGTGCAAGATGTTCTATACACTTTATCAGTAAAACCTCTTTGCCTGGCAAAGCCTAGTCTCATCACTGTCTTTGCCACCACAACCCGACTCGTAAATGCCATGATGTGCTCTAAACAATTTCTGTGCCATTAAACCGAGTTGGATTGAGTGAAATCGATTGCAAGCGATCGCAGCTGACTGCCCAGTGAAATACCAGGTGCAGAGTGAGATGCTATTTTCTGCAAGATACAGTATAAAGGGTGTTCAGAAGTGGAAAGGAGAATGGCAAAGACAGAGCAGATCCAAGAAAAGAGAGGGAAAGAATATCTGTGGTGTATGTGCACTGTACAGTATGTGTGACTACTGCATAGGCCAACACCTATTTCATATTTTACATTGACTATTATGGCAGATAGGATAACAGGAACTGGCTTAAAAATCATTTGATGCACATTAGTTTCATAAGCGTCTTGAGAAGTTTGTTTTTAAAAACAGTATTTTTTTTACATAATATTACCATTGATAATAGATGTACTAAAGTAAGTCAAAAATAATTAACTTGAAAAAGGCACACCAAAATCGTACTCCTTTACCTTTTAGGCTAAGATGCATGGCTCTTTCCACAGTGATCGTCACAGCAAACGTATTTTCCAAATCCACCTCAGACGCCTGAGAGCTTGGCGGCTCGGCGACGAGCGATGGTCTTCTTTCGTGCCGACTGTCCTCACGTGGCTGATGGGAATCCTGTACCCCGGCAGGCTCTTCCTCGTCACTGCCGTCCTCGGCTCCACTCTGCCCGCCGGGCGTGGCGGGCTCTGGGCGGTCAGAGGAGCTGGCCGGGGTCAGCGCGATGTGGACCCTCAGGGCGGCTCCCGCCAAGTCCGGCGCAGTGCGTTTGAAGAGCGGGTACACCCCTGCCACCAGCAAACACACGCATGGTCAAAACGTCTAGCTCTTCACCACTGACATTTCCCATAGCTAAAAGCTTCTGAAACATTGGGGTTGATAATAATAATAATAATAATAATAATAATTCCTTACACTTATATAGCGCTTCTCTGGACACTCCACTCAAAGCGCTTTACAGGTAATGGGGACTCCCCTCCACCACCACCAATGTGCAGCATCCACCTGGATGATGCGACGGCAGCCATAGTGCGCCAGAACACTCACCACACATCAGCGGCGATCAGTGGGGAGGAGAGCAGAGTAATGAAGCCAATTCATAGAGGGGGATTGTTAGGAGGCCATGATTGATAAAGGCCGATGGGGAAATTTGGCCAGGATGCCGGGGTTACACCCCTACTCTTTTCGAGAAACACCCTGATGGGCGTTTATGTCCCGATCCTTACAAGAGCAGCATGGGAATCCTGTGTGCAATGCAAAATTATGTTGTTTGCCAATATTGCTTTTTGTATGTGACATATACTGAAAGGCATTCAAGATGCCACAAAGGCGTGGTGGAACCAGAGTCATTCATTGTATGTTTAATGCTACTCAGTTTATGCCACCACTGTTTTTTGATGGGGGTAAAGATATACAACTTGATGCATTAATGAAGTTGTAATAAGAGTTAAATAATAAGTAATAAGAGTTCTGTAGAAAACACAAAGCGTTCCAGATGCACGGCGAAGTTTCCGCTCTGCTCCGCCGTTTTTTCACCCACCACTGATTGCCAGCTGGCGCCGAGTCCCCCTCGCCAGCCTGGAGAGGTCAACGTGAGCGGAGCCGACCAGCCGGTCGGCGTCGTGCGGCCTGGGCCTCTTCTCCTTCCCGAAGGCCACCCACACCTGCACCTCCAGCTTCTCCTCCCGCAGGTACCAGCGCAGCGGCTGGCTGCTCCTCAGCCCCACGGCCCTGTTCCCCGGGAAGGTCACGCTGACCACCCCGTCCCCGTCCTCCTCTGGGGACGGGTGCCTGAGCGGGGAGCAGAAGGCCTCCCTGTCGTACAGTTTGTATCTGAAGTAGCAGTAAGTGGACCGGTCAAGGTCTCTCCTGCCGGCTGGCAGCAGGCAGTGCAGCGGGAGCCAGACCACGGGGACAGACACGGCGATGGAGACAGCCTCTTCCCCGTCCTCCCACTCTTCACTGCTCCCAGACTCTCCCTCGCCGTCCTCCCCCGGGGCCCAGCCCAAGGCCCTGGCGGCGCCCAGAACCCTCTCCCTGTCCGAGTGGTGAGCGAAGCTGACCGAGATCTCCAGACCCCCGCCGGTGCTCTGCAGCATCTCGGAGGAGGCAGGATCCTGGGACACTGTCAGCGCGAACCACCCTGAGATTCCTGCAAGGTAATACCAACAGCTCCCTTGTAAGACTAACTGTACTCCTACTGTGTGACGGAAGCAGGTTTTATAGCAATATCTGGGACAGCTCCTTTTTAAGCACCTTGTATGTCTACTGAGACTTCATTTTGAGTTTTGTGTTAAAATGAAGGTCGATTCTCTGTGTGTAATTTAAAACTACACCTTCAGTGCTACCCTGTTATGAAAGGAGAAGGGGACCCCCTTGTTATTTGTGTTTCACGTTATAAAGAGCATTAGTATTACTGTTCAACAGGTTTACAATGTCTATAACACAAAGTTAACAGACAATGTGTAATACAGTGCTTTCTGCTAATAAACTGACAATACTGAATTATGTATTAGGCTGCATATTTAAAGAATGTTTTCCAAACGACAGAATTCAAGGATGATTTATATTGTCATGTTTGGTACTGGTTTTCTTAACACTGATTGTTTGTTTTAGGTAAGAAAAACAAAAATGCAAACAAGGCAGCTTGTTAGTACAGTATGTTCTCTAATCATTTTTGCACGTTTTATTTCAGCTCTTTTGTATTTGTGCATTTTTCAACAACACAGAGAAAGTGTTCTGTTCATACTAGAATTCACAATAAAATCACAAGGATATATTAATATACCAGCTGGTTTATTCCTGCCTTAAAGTGCTGCAAATGCACCCTGACGTGCAGCAAGAACTACGAATGATGATCTGTTTTTCCCCATTCACATAGAAACATACAGCACTACTGCAAAAAAATGTTCTCTGTGTGATTCTGCAGTTCAACATCCTGCAGATTATGCTTCCCCAGATACAGAAATACCTAAATACCTAGTGCCTTGACAAGTGTCATGACATCCTGACCAACTAAGGCTGACTTCCAACTAAGGTTGCTGCTGGAAGAGGTGTTAGTGGGGCCAGCAGGGGGCGCTCACCCTGCGGTCCATGTGGGTCCTAATGCCCCAGTATAGTGACGGGGACACTGTACTGTAAACAGGCGCCGTCCTTCAGATGAGACGTAAAACCGAGGTCCTGACTCTCTGTGGTCATTAAAAATCCCAGGGCGCTTTTCGAAAAGAGTAGGGGTGTAACCCCGGTGTCCTGGCCAAATTTCCCATTGGCCCTCACCAATCATGGCCTCCTTATAATCCCCATCTATGAATTGGCTACATTACTCTGCTCTCCTCCCCACTAATAGCTGATGTGTGCTGAGCGTTCTGGCGCACTATGGCTGCCGTCGCATCACCCAGGTGGATGCTGCACATTGGTGGCGGTGGAGGGGAGTCCCCATTACCTGTAAAGCGCTTTGAGTGGAATGTCCACTATATAAGTGTAAGCAATTATTATTATTATTATGTTAAAAGGTGTTGATCTCCTAAGTGCGGTTTTTAAAACTTCTCTGCCTGTGTGCACAATACCAGACTGAGACTCCCTGATAATGCTTCTACAGAAATAAAGACTACAAAACAGTCTAATTCGTTGTCTTTAGCACCATGTTTTCTCAATATCTGCTAGAAAATATTTTGAATAAATACACTCAGTTGACGTACCTGTCTTTTTATGAATCAACTCTGCCAGCTGTACTTTTACTGTTCCTAATACGGTGTCCTTTGAAATTCTGTGAGCCATTGCTGCAATAAGAAAACAAAATGATAATCTCACTTTAACCTTGATTGTGACTGCCAGTACTATGAGAATAAATAATAGTTTAGGCGTCAACAAGTCTAATGATAATTTCATAATGTTATTGTTTGACACGATACATAAACAATAAAAATATTTTCATATATTCTTTTTTAAAAGATGACAATTAATAAATTGTCGAACATTAATAGTGACGAATAAACTGAATTTAAATGATGCTGAGCTATGTTACTTTATTTTTTATCACTTGACAAGGAAATGCGACATAAGAGAAACAAAATCCTGGTATCTGAGGAGAACCAGTGACTTTGCCTATTCATCTATTTGAACAGTTACATTAGGTTCGAAAAGTTGGCAAAAAGGATTTTGACTTGTACACTGCATAAATTAACTTTATATACCATGGGCTTATAATTTATCCTATGAATGCATGCATTTTTCAGCAGGGGGTCAAAGCCTGGACAGTTTTCCTTCAGGTAACGTCATGCAATGAAAGAGAAGAGGTCTCAAGTCCACACTGCTTGCTAGGCAGCGAGCAGTGTTGCTCACCCTTTCGGCTGTCTCGATGGCAGACGGTGAAGAGGACTTGAGCCGATTCCAGCAGCTCTGCCAGGCTGCAGGTCTCCCCGCTGGCCCTACGGCTCTGAAGGCTACAGGGGAACTCAGTGTGGTGGTCAAACTCGGGACAGAAGGAGCGAGCTACAACTCGTGTGCTCCTCCTCTCACTCTCTGGGAAGAAAGCCAGCTGGATAGTGACATACGTGTTAACGCCAACATCCATGTAGTACTGGAATGAACCGTCTCGCTTTGCTACAGCCCTGTGATACACAAAGGTTGATGGAGGAAAAACACGTGTTGATGTACATTCAGAGAAATGAATGATTCTAACCATGGAGAGAATAAACATGACGTCTGGGGGAAATTACAACTATGTACAAAGGCAATCTCTTTAGACGTAAAAACATTTTGTAAACCCAATGTAAATACTGTACTCAACTGCAGGTGTATGATTTTGGTATGAAATCTAGTTATTTTGTGGATTGACCACAAAGACCACTAATAAAGGTACTACATGAATTGATTTAAGTGCCAATGACAACTTCTCCAACTTCTCACTTTGAGCTCATTTGGTCAGTAAAACATCATCAAAGAAGAATTCAACAGTGCTGGTTGGTAGATAAATTAATGGGAAAAAACAACATCCATGTAGAGGCAGAAGTGGCAACACAAAATAATTTTAGGTTTGTAAAAATAATTTTAAAGTTTAAAAAAATACATATATATAAACATATAAAATATAAATATATATACAAAGTAGAGGGGTTGAAAGACCCGCTCTCACTTGTAGTAATCTTCTAATGAAACCTGATACTTCTTATGTGCAAACCAAGCTACATGCTGTCACAGCATCCACACAATCTGTCCAGGGTTATAGCACTATTCCAATGAGAGACCTGTGGCCTCATCGTGTTATCAGCTAACATTTAAAAGCACTGCTGTCATAATTATTCACACAATGAATTTACCTTGCAGCAGCCTTAAGTCCTGCAGCTCTGTGTACCTGAACAGCCAAAAAAACAACTCGCGATGCCACTGCTTCTTCCCTCACACAGTCTGTTTTCACTGGCCCATGCTTGTACAATATACACACATCGAGCAAGCCTGTTAGAAATACACAATTAATATTCTTGTAATCATGTAATCATTTAATCATGCAGATGCTAAACCAACTTTCACTTTTTTATTTGTTATCAAACCAACTCTTATTAGAATGTATAATACATGCCACTGCTGAGATTGAGTATTTTATTAGATATTACTTTCAGAGAAATGAATACACTGTTGAAATTGTAGATCCTGCAATATTAAGCTTCTACCTCAATATTTGGATTATAACCCACAAACAATTTTTGCTGCAGATACTCTTCTGCTAAAGGGTTTTTGTTGTGTGTTAATTTATAGCTATAGTAATGTTAATAGTTATACTATTCAGGTATTAATAATAACTATAGTAATTATTAAAGTTAATTAATAAATTATCTTTATTAATTTCCCTACGGGATTAATAAAGTATTATCCATCTATCTAATGCACCTTATGTTATACAGAATAATACTACAGTGCTCTTTTAAATTGCTTTTAACATTCGAACTTCATTTGGAAAACAAAAAATTTGGATTTGGTAAATGAAAGCAATTAAAGAGGTATACCTTCCCATTATTTTTTAAAATGTTACAATGGTATAGATAGGACCCCCTCCATCAAAAATCCCTGAACCGAGAACTCAGCAAGTTAAACTCAGCCTGGGCATAACACTGATCCTTTGATCCCGTGGACTACCTGAAGGGTTTGGCTGGTGGCCGGGGGCAGGCTCTGTTCTGGGGACCAGTGGCAGGCTGAAGACCTGGGCTCCTGCTTGCTCCTCTCTCTGCATGGTCACCATGGCACACAGCTTGGACAAAGGCAGGACCCCCCTGGCTACCACCTGGTCTCGCACGTTGGGGTAGTAATACCTGCAGCGGGGGGGAAAACAAACAGGATTCGACAACAATCAAGGCACACAGAAAGCCGGCAATAACATTTCTAAAACCCACAAATTCATAATCATAACAAATCTGGCCAGCCAGCGATATAATTGCAATATCCACAACCTAAAATATCAAATATGAATTATATTATATATAATATTGGACATATGCATATGTCATGTGCTTTTTTGTCAGCCGAACCCCTTCAAACTAAATTATGTACCTCAAGCACCTACTTGAGATTTTAACTAAATCAAACCTTTCAATAATTGTAGATAAATGCTACAGCAACCCTCTTAACATGCTTCTTTTCACTTTGCAAAACATTAATATTACTACGCTTGTTTTTCTCATTCTTATTATTACATTGTTATTTATTAATAGGACTATTTAATTTGACATTGACATTTCCATCACAATCTCACGAACCCCCGGTTGGGAACCCCTCTTCTAATACAAGAATAAATGGATGCCCCCAGTGTGCAACGATGGAAACTGAACAGAAAAATAAAATGTATGGCTCTGCTGCCCCCTAGTGTGGAATTGCTTTCCATTTACCTGCACCAGACTTCAAAATGGATGCCCCCTCCTCCATCTAACCCCTGCCTAGAGCAGGCACTGAGCAGCAGCCTCTGCACAGGAACCCCTGCAGGGACCAGCAGGGAGTGCTTCAGACTGTGACTGAACACGGGGTCGGGTACGCACAGGGTGGTAGCTGTGCGGAACAGCTTCATGCCAACTCCTGCAGGAAAAAAGAAGAAAAGCAAAACATCAGCTCCACTGTTCCCATCACATCTCTCACAGAGATTCCCTGCGCTGAGGTTTGCATAAGAAACAAATGAGCAGAACAGGGAGAATCGGTAAACGCGGTAGAATGTGCAATTCATGATGATGTATTCCTGAAATGTGATTTGTGAGGTACAGAATTAGACTTCTTGTCTCATCGAACGTTAAGGCACTTAAGTTTGGGAATGAAAAATTAATGGAAGTGTTAAAAAAAAAAGAACATTATGAAACTGTATTGAGCTTAAAGTCTGTCTCAAAAAAATGTAAAAACTTACCACTTTCTACCACCTGGGAGTCCAAAGACCCTGGTGTGTCCGTGTCCTGAGTGGGGAAGCTGTACTGGACGTAGCAGTCTGCTTCTCCCCAAACAGTGGACTGCAGAGGAGTCAGTCCCTTCACACGCTCCACTGTGATCTCAAACACGTGCTCTCTGATCAAATCCTCATGTGCTCCACTAACCTGAAAGAAAGCAAAATAACTAGCACTCTTTTACCCCTTATTGCTAAAAGGTCTCTGCAAGCTATTTTAACTATAAAACGGTGTAAGAAAGGGGATGCTTACTATTCAGGAAAAATGCTTGAATATACTCAGAAGAATGTGCCAATTAACATACCTGGACTGGTCGGTAAGGCTGATTGTAAAACTCATCTGCTGGCACATATCTAAAATGCAGTTAACACTGAAAATGAACCAATACCAATATCTCTAATCAGAATCTATCTAAATGTACTTTCTCATTTCTTCACAGGCCAATAAAATATGTATAACAGATGAACATATGAACAAATAAATAATCTGTTTTACACAGAAAGTATTAAGATACAAACCTTAGGTTCTGTATTTGGCATGGGGTCCAGCGAATGGAGTGGTCTTTGGGGCTGAGGAACTGAAGTCAGTTCTTCGTCTCTCAAACGCTGCAGTGCTGCTATCTGTTCGGCCAAGCCCATAGCTAGAAGGACCCGAAGGCTGCCTTGGATGTTGCCCGTAAACACATTCACGACGGGCATATAGCTATCTACCCCCACCACAGGGTACTGAGCCTGGAGCAACAGGTTTGCAATCTTTGCATCTCTGATGAGAAAAAGAAAACAAACATTTTCAAAGCAAATCTGACACCTAAAGTTATGAAAAGAGCATTATTCTTTGACTTCACTTCTGTTGTAATTACCTAATTATCTCAGTCATCTGACATTTCCAGGGATGGAGGTTTAAAGGGTAACTAGAGCATATGATTATAAGTATCTGCCACAGAATGATCCATTGTCTATGATAACATCATTACTTCAGGTGCAGAGTGAACTGTCACTGCAATGCCTATCGCTAGTCTCCTCAAATCCTTTCAAGGTTTTCACATTCATCACCCCCTGGGATCTGTAATGTCAGGAGGAAAGGGGGCTTTTTGCACCAGTAGGAACTTGGCCTCCTTTACTCCCACCTTAACAGAATCCCCTCACCACATGGGTACGTGTGAGAATAGCCCCAGCTGCAGGATCTTGGGGAGTCCACCTCAATGCAAGGCAGACCCCCAAATCACAGACGCACAGGGCAGGACAGGAAGAACATAAACAGGCATAGGCACAGGGACACAACTGCTGAACATACAACAAATCAGTCTTCTTTTATGCTTTGAGGCAACGGGATGCGTTACGATATAATATCTTGCTGATGCAGCTAAGATGAGTTTAACTCCACCATTAGGAAAGCAGCTATGTAACACTATTTTTGAGAACTGAGCCTGGCCAGGTTACATACTCACCTGAAGGACATATAGAACTGGTGCAGTGGCAGCTTCACTAGCCCAAGGAGAAGATCCTGCCCTGGGCTTGACACTTTCTGCCAAACCTCAATCACCATCACATTATTCCTCATTCTTTCCAGCAGCCTGAAGGTCAGTGTCACAGGAGCAACCTGGAATGAACAGACATTGCTGAGATCCTGGAATCACCTTCTCGTTTGCAAAACAGTCAAGCACTTAAAAAGATTAATGTAACATTATAAATTACTTCCAAATGATTAATTTAGTAAACTCTTCTTCCCATGCCTGAATTTTGTTTTTTACCTAATTTTATTCTCAACATTACACATTATAAGAAACTACAGTATGTTGAGTATATTAAAGCAAAACCACAAAGAAAAATCTTTCTGAAAGGAAAACAGGTTTAATTACACCCCATAAATAACCATTTTTTTTATATTGCTCTTATAGATACAATAGACACAAGTGTCCCCAAACACTGGGCCTGTAAAAGTAAATTTACTTTTTTAACACTTACCTGAGTAAAGTTGAACGTCGGTTGATTCTGGCCCCAAATGACAGGAGATCTTGTGGTTTCATCACAACCAAACAGCTTACAGTTTAAATAGACATTGCAGGACTGCATGGGCCCCACTTTAAAGTCCTTTCCATTGGGCACCATAAGCAATACATGCAACAGAAGCCCACCTTCCTCTTCAAAGCTGCGGTTTCTCTGGTCCTTTAAATTGTAAATGGGTGGAGCGTGGCAAGGCACAGGCTGCTGTATACCGCTCTTGGTAGGGACTTCTGCAATTGTATCGGGTCTGCTCACCTCCACCTCAGTGCTTTCCGTTATGTGTACAGAGGTGTTGCATTTGGGCTCATCAGGGCCCTGTTGTTGACTGCTGGAGTTGAAATGCTGGGGGACGGCCTTTTTTCCAGGACTGGTAACAGCATTTAAAGTGGTTTTAGAGGCTCCTGTCACCCTGGCGTGGGCTGAAGAAAAATCTTTGTTGTCTGCTGCCAGTTCAAATGACACCTTGGGAAGGGAAAGAAAAAAAAAATCTGTAAATGAATCTCAACTTCCAAGACCAAGATAAAATTAAGAATTGCAACACTCACTTCATGAGACACAAAAACATACTGTAAATTTACACTGGAGATGTCTGGAGAAAGAAGGCTCGGAACAAACCCCTGCATTGCTCACCTTCAAAGGGCCCAGATCCTGCTTCTCTGTCTCTCCATCAAGGGCCGACACTGATAACTCTGCCGACAAACTCAGCTCCTCAGACTGAAGGAGTTTCCACAGAGGGAAATGTGCTATACCAATAGGAAAAGGCTTTAAAGGGGGAAAAAATAAAACAATATTTACAATTGTTAAAATTGAAATGACATTGGGTTGATGGACAGTTTAAGGTTTTGCATTTAACTAGCAATACCACAATTTTGTGTCAGACCTTTTCACTGACTTTATAAATATTATTTTTTTTTAAAGCAACTATAGCACCAAATATCCATCCAATGCACAGTTATACTTTGGTTGTAAACCACAGATCATAGTCTAGTCAATTTACCTCAACATAAATTGTGAATTCCATCCACAACAAAGTATGTTTCAAATAAAATCAGATGGTACATACCTTTCTTTGTGAGCTTTTCCTTGAATAGATCTTAAAGGCAAGATCCATGTTCGACCATCGTTCAATAGTGGCCCCACTGAACTGAACTGGGAACACAAACCGCTGCTCAAACTTCACAACTACAATGAATGAAGAAGAAAAATCAAGACGAGTGACATTAAAAACAAAGAAAATGAATCCCACCAATCAGAACTCCACTGTACTTGGATCTCTACCTCCTCCGGTTATTTTGCTGGAAGCGACTCGAGTGACTTCAGTTGCCATGGAAATCTGACCAGCCTGCCCTCTGGATGAAGTTACAGGGAAGAGGTACTCCACAAAATACGTGCTGAAAGAGAAACAAGACTTTAAACATTTTGGCCTCTAGCAGAATGTTCCCATATCTCTGGGAATGTGTTTTTTTTTGTAACTATAGCTAACGAAAGCTGTAAGGTACCAGTCCCCTAGTCTCTGCAGGTTAAATTCTACTGCGTCCAATAACAATACAGGAATTACAGGATGAAGATAAGTTAACACCAAAGTCAAGAAGAAATCTAAAGGCCAATACACTGAGCACAACGACAAGAGCACTAAAACTTGATGGCATGAGAAAGTACCACTTCCTGGTGGTCAGAGGCCGGGGAGGTCTCCCTTTGCCTGCCGTTTGGCGGGGTGTTGTGTGAGTGCTGTCAGGAGGGATGCCCAGGGTGTGGATGACCACCCTGGCCAGATGGATCCGCCCCAGCAGGGTGATCTGGTCCACGCTCAGCGTAGCGGATCTGGACTTGTCTCTCACTCCGGTCGGTCTCGCTTCTTCCAAGACTGAACTGCTTCACAAAGTAAAAAAACAAAAGAGCTACATCATCTTTCTACACAATTCAGCATTGACTTGTGGCGCTTAAAATGTTCCTTTCAGAAAATTCCTTAAACGGAAAACCTTAAGTGAATATATATCCCACTTCTTGAGATTGTCATTATCTGTGGTGATTTACCGCTAAAAAATTCTGATTCTGAAATGATTTTTTGCCACATGACAGAAAGCAAAACTTCATCGTCTTATTCACTTATCCTTTTATGCAAGAGGGGCAGACAAAGGCTTCAATCATTAATACTGAATTACATTACAGTAAACATATTTAATTGATTCCTCTATCAGCTATTTAAAAAAATGATGTTAAGTATACATTTTAAAAGAACCTGTAACAGGAAGCATCAGAGAATATTCTGTACAAACAACTGTTACATATAAATATTTTAAGGTACAAAGGAACAAGTAATAGGTTTATTCCATGCTGAAAAAAAGAAGAAAGAGAACACAACGTTTCGGCCGTGGAGCCTTCTTCAGGTGTGTCACCTGAAATATTTTAAGGTAGACAAGGACACATTTCTCTAACAATTCAAAGCTGAAAAGTCTCCTAAAATACACAGTAAAAATCAACTGACTGTTTATTCCTGCTGCTCTTTCTCAGACCAGATGAAGCCCCATGAGAATGTCTAAGCTGCTGCTCTTCATTTAGTCCTATCACATCTCTGGTCTTCAGTTCCCGTTTCACAGACTGTTTTTCATTATCTTCACTGCCAAAATCACTCAGGCTGGTGTCAGATCTCTACAACATTGAAAACAAACAATGTAAGCATGTTCCAGGTCACCACCCACAGAACAAAACTGGAAACAGAAATGGAAAACAAAATATTTATTTTACATCTAAGCATAATTAGTAAAAGAATAGTTGGATTTGAGAAACTTACAGGGGTCTTATAAAAGAGGTTCTCTAACAGACTTTGGTCATAATGTGGATCATTCAGTTCACTGTCACCAAAGATACTGCTGTTCTCTGATAGACTCTCAGGGGGTGAACCTGTTCCATCCAAGTATCGCAGTGGAGTCCCATTAACACTGAAAAATCAACGTAGGAAAACAAATGCAGTCATTAGTTTAGCACTGGATAATGAAACCACCTGCTCAGACAACATTTAAAGTTTGGATTAGATCGAAACGTTTCCTCATCAGTCACCGAACAAATCCTCATCTGGTGTTTATTGCCCAGAAGCTAGTTGCTCAAACCTTATATAAAACCACAACCTGTCACTGGTTGGAAAATTTCAGTTTGGCAGCTTGGATCAAAGTTGTGCTTAAGCCGCATTTAAACAGCAGAGGTTTACATTATTACAGTGGTAAACCATAAAATTAATTCAGGGTAAAACAAACTTTAAAAAAAAGTTTTGATTTCCTTACCTGCCAAGAAGCAGCTCTATGGCTCGGTTTTCTGTGTCTGCAGTGCAGTCCTGCTCAGGATACTCTGGTGACAACAGGAGGTTATTTTGAGCAGGCAAGAGACCAGGGTCCGAGTGCAGAAGTTTCTGCAGTAGGTTCCCTGATGAAGGCAAGCGGGGCCTTAAGAATAGGAAAAAAATATGATTAGCTATTTTCTTAATGAGAAAAAAGAAAATCAGAATCTGATTGACTGGTTCTCTTAGGCTTTGATTTATTTGTCTGCAGTCCAGGGAATCTCATATATAGAGAAGCCACCAGGGCTTTTGTAAAGTGAAGCTTTTATGAGCAAAGCAATGCATATTTTAATTTATTAAAGACCTTAAACCTGGTGGAAAAAAATATTATGTTTTATTCCCAAGCACTAGTCTTGAAGATGTTGTTTTTTAAATTCTGATGAGTACACTAACGCTGGTGTGTCGATGTTATCTTTAAAGACCGGCAGGGGAATGTCCTTTAGAGCTGGCTCACAATCCAAGTCAGACTTGAGAGCAGAAACCACCATGGCATCCCTGAGCTTGCTCCCACGATCTAGAAGAACTAAACACAGAAAAGGTCCATTAGAAATTATGAATGACCTAACACATTATTATGTTAACTAGCATACAACAGTGACAAACATACTGCCCCCCTAGCAATACTCCTTGCAAGAGTAAATACAATTGGATAATCTTTTGCCCTTTAAATTTCGCTCCTTCACCAGTCCAGTCATTTAAAAAACAGCTCTAAAGTCCATCTGGCACAGACTAATTAATGAAAAAAGTGCTGTATTTAAAAAGCAACAAAAGCATGGTTACAACAATACAATACTGAATACTTTCCTGTATAATTTCTAGACCAAGAACAGTTAAAAAAGTTAAGGTATCCAAGAGATATCCCCGGATGGTGAAGTTAATTGTTGGCCCTATATAGCCATTCTACACAGGATCACTAAAATGGTGATTATCTGACCTGACAAGATGTCCTTAGAGGCTTGGCTGCTTGCTTGTTTATTATGTGCTTCAGGCCTACTGTCTGAGGCTGTCTGGCCCTGGGGCTCTGTGGAGGGCCCCTGCTCTGCCTGGTGGTGATGGGATGGTAGTCTCAGACTCCTCAGGCCATCTTCAGGTCTTTCAGGTCTTGTACTGGGAAAGCTAGTCTCTTTCTGGTTCTCAGTTCTCTCTTGGAAGTACAAATGATCCTTCCCCCTAAAAATGTTAATACGTATTCAGGTCAGTTAACATTACAGTTATTAACATTTATACATTATTAGGAATCTGCTTTTTCCTGATGTCACCACTCAAAAACAGGGCATGTCCTGTAGATACACACAGGAACCATCTGTGGATACTATTTAACCTAGCCAGCTTGTCTTTGGAAGGTGAGAGAAGAATCACTTAGATGCAGAGCATATGGAAAATTACCTAGGCGTTACTGGAACTTCCCATGATTGGTCTGGACTCTTTTTTGCATCCATAAATTGTGGCTATTACAAGTCTAATGTTCTTATGAAGATGTTTCATGGGATTCTGTGCTTGGATCTTTACTACTTTCATGTCTATTTGCCAGATTACTCCTCACACAGAATTGATTTTCTATGCTACGCCAATGACATTTGGAACAAAATACTGTATATGATTATCGACAAGGCATTAACTTATAAGACTTCACCAGTCACAAAAACAGGAGATATATTTCTAATAACCAAACTCTGTCAGATTTTACTACCACAAAATGATTCAGAATTTACATGAATGCAATTTATTTGATTCAGCAGACAGTATACTAAACATCCATAAAAACTTGAAAGACTACACAACTGATAACCGACCTTGGTGTGTTTGCAACACTGCTGCCTGCAGACTCTTTTCCACTGTTGCTGTTAACAGACAGACGCCTGGGCAGAGAAGGGATAACCAGTAGGTTCTCCTGTGACACAGCCTTGGACCTGGAGCTGACAGAGGACATTGCAGCATCGATACTCACATCAGTGGTGGGGACAGAGCTGCTGCTGTCATAGGTCTCTGACAGCGGCTCCAGAGACAGAGAAACCTACAACAAGTTAACATTAAGGGTCTCGTAAATCGGATGGGTTGGACAACATTGGCTTCCTGTAAGGTACAGAACTCTTAAATTCCTAGATATCAAAATCTGTGCTGTTTTTGTTGTTACTAGTTTACCACACTAAAACTATGCAATCTACAGTTGATTCCAATTGCTGAGAGAAGTGCATATTATAGAACCCATAATGCTTTCGGTTACAGACTGGTGACATTAAATTAATGCAGCATATAACCAACAAGCTGTATTCTATGACAATACAATACTATTTTCTGACAGCACAGGAAATGTCTAGAATTTCTGCTGTGATTGTTCCCTTTATGGAAGAACTACTTAGAAGATTATATGTTAAACATGCTGTTTTCTTTCCATCTTACCTGAATTTCTCCCAGCTTTTCCGAGGTGGGAGACACCAGGGTGAAGAACCCACTGATGGAATGAGATGGAGACAGTCGAGCTATGCCATTGATCTGAACACGGCCAACAGGGAGGTGGTCTGGTTTGGTTAAAACCTCCAAAACCAATGCACCCATATCTATAATCCAGTGGGGAAAAAAAAAGTTCACATCAACTACAGATGCACTGTAAATAAAATGGAAACAACAGTTTAACCATTATGTAGTTCTGTGGGTTTATCTGTGAAAGAGAATTCTTGCCCACCCTTTCTCTTTTTTAAAGACTCCTTCTTTGTGTATTTGGACTGCAAATTCAGGTACAGTTCTATAAAAACAAGAATTTTTCTCTAATTATTTGACTGACATTTCAGATGCAACTAATATATAGTACAGAGATTCTCAACTCGAGTGCTTATGGCACAGAATCCAGCTGGGTTTATAAATAGTTCTTTTCACCTGGGAGAAGTGATAAACAGATCAAATTTATCAGTTTATCTCTTTTCACAGCCTTAAGCTGCTGACAACATGGAAGACCTGCTCCATTCCATTCCAGACACTGCATTCCAGTTTCCAGCGCTGGAAACTGCTTGTGACAATCCAGCAGTTAAGTCATAATAGTTCAGATAAGATCATTTTATTAGCCATACACAATTTCTTGCATTAGGAATTTGTCTTTTCGCATACCCCCGCTTGCTCTCCATGAGACACACAAGCACACAGACGGGGAGAGAGAACCTTGGGGTCAGAGCGCAGGGTCTGCCATTTATACGGCGCCCCCGGAGCAGTTGGGGGTTAAGGGTTAAGGGCCAAGGGCCAAGGGCCTTGTTCAGGGGCCCAACCGAATAGGATTCCTCTGCCGGCTGCGGGATTTGAACCGGCAACCTTCCATAGCATAGCGCCCTGAAGAAGAGTAACCTCCATCAGCATTACCTGTCAGGTAGGAGGTAAACTGCTTGGGACCACATCGAATGGCAAAGCGCGCTGTGGTCTTGACGCCCCTCTGCTCGGTCTGAGAGCTGTCCCTGGGGCGGAAACAAGTGCCGTCCGACGACTCGCCCCACCAGCGCAGCCGGACCCGCGGCGCCAGCGGGGGCTTGGGGACGGTCCACAAGATCCTGCTGACGGTCACTCGGAGAAAGCAGCGCAGCTGGCCTTCCACTAGAGGGGGGAGGCTGGTGGAGGGGGAGACATCACTGGGAGCTGCAAAACACAGGCTTTCCAAGTGAGCATCCCCTTATACCACAGGGCTTACAGTGAACACAAATCAAACGGTTTATCATTGAAGTGCAACGTACATCCCGACTTTCTCCAGTATTTAAATTTGATCTGGGGATCATAGATTTGTACCGTCCTACGTATGAGCTTCAGTACTCCCTTGATTTGAAAAATTAACTTTTAGGGAGATATCTGCTTCTATTTCTAGTAGCTTGCTTAACAACAGCATTGTACTGCAAAACGCCTTTGCGTTTTACTTACTGTAAATAATGATTTGCATCACCAATTGCACAGTTTAACTCTTGATAGCGGCTAATTCGTCAACACTTCAACAGCACAAACCTATACATCACGATCTGAATATAGCCCACATATTGCAACATACAACAATTCACGACGCTTGAGCACGTCAATATTTTGCACAACTGGTAATGTCTGCATTAGGCAACAATATCGCAGGTAACCTGTTGTTAATTTACACCCGAAGGCTGTTGCTCTATCAGGTTTTGCTTGGTCGTACTAGAAATATAAACGGGCCACAGGTTCCCAGGTACCGAACACAGCATGCAATCTCAGTAAATGAGTTACCTTTCTTTCTTTTGCTTCCTAATCTGGCAGACTTCAGTTTCTTGTTCTTCATTTTATGTCCAGATTCCCCGACGTTATAACGCATCAAGGACTGTATAGTGGCATGATACCATTTCAATCAAAAAAAGTGTCAGTTCCTTCTCGCAAACATTGACTTCGCTGCATCCGTCTGTTCCTCGGCAACAAAAACAACGTCCCGGCCTCTCTTCCCTGTCCCGTCCCGCCGCCAATCACATTACTGGCGCTGCTGCCCGTTGCATTCTGGGATACAGGCGGTATGCCTAAACCTAAACTCGAGAACGCGAGCCGTAAAGCTGACAAGACCAGCATTAATAACTGAACAGAAGTAAAGTTTTGTATGCCTGCATTGTCGCAGACATTATTTTTGCAATTTCTGTTTCTCCAAAATCATCCGATAGATCTTATCTCAATAGTTCACGATTTCCAACTACTGTATACATGATTTTCATTATTTTACCTAATTTAATAAAGCCACAGCAATTTAAATGTATACGTCAGTACGTATTTTTAAACGATTTTACATCTGGTTTAGTTATTCAATTAAAAAAAAACTTAATTTTTTTTTAGAAATGATCGAAAAACCATTGTCCATTACGTTTTATTTTCCTGTGGTGACATTGTAAAACTACAACAAACTCCTAAACTATTATCAAACACCACTACAATAAAATACTTCGCAAAAACACAAACGCATAACCTCTTTGTGCTTAATTGTTCTTGCACATTACAAAAAAAAAACAGCCTAGAAAAATGTCTTGCTCTTTTTTTAGACTTTTTTTCAGAAATTCAGTTTTTTCATATTTTACAGTTCTTTCAACCTCTCTTCATTTCGTTCCACTTCAGGACTAACTCATTGCGAACCTTCTTCACCACCACTAAAGCATTACGTCACCCTTTTCGGTCGTCACACCGCCAACAGCCGGTTTCTTGTGCACTCTGGGTGTTGTAGTTTTTTCGAACTTCCATCCTCGTCTGTTTTCAGGATCGGTCCCCCGAACGGTGAATACATTTCCCACTGTGCAGCAGCGCACGACGATTATCTTTGTGGGAGGAGATCGTGGATGTATAGGAACCCCTTTTTATTTTTGTTGCAATCTGACCTGCGGACGTTTCAGTCTGATTTTTTTGGGGGGTAAATCAAGTGGAGTGAAGGGGAGGGGGAAAATATTTAAACATCAAACAGAAAGTGTTCCTGCAAGGCAATAAAACCCACACGAGCGACATGGAGAAGCAGTTGCATCTAAATCGGTTATCTTCCAGACCTCCCGTGTCTGGAGGAGGTTTTCAGTCAGGGTCTAAAATGAGAATGGGGTGAGTTTTACTATATAATTAATAAAAAAAAGTCTCTGTCACTGTGATATTCCCAAAAGGAAATATGTGTGTATACAGAACTACTACGATTAGCCGTCTACGAATTTAGTCTTTCCTACAGTGTTTTATGAACTTCACTATTATACACGCTAAAGCTAAGTAAAAAACACATTACAGCTACGAATTCAACTGCATTTTATAAAGAGGTGTTTTTTTTCGGCGTCGTAATGCAAATGGAATAAACTGATCTCTAAAGCTGAACTACGAATGCTGCATGCACCCCGATTAAATTTGCTTTTGTTAAGTTGATGTCGGTGTTTCTGATTTTAATTTGCTGTGCTAACTGCTGCATTCTACGCAAGTTTTCGTTAAATATCGAGGTTAGGATGACCTAACAACATCAAGTCTGGGGGGAGGATCCGCATTTTGATCACCGACGCTGCAGTGAAATACGTTGTGTTCAGTCTTGTTTTCTACAGTGTTTTAAAAATGTAGCATTTCCTTCGTCAACTGGTGAACAAAACCCCTTTCGAATATTAATATGAAGAGCGCATTTCTCATAGAAACCGTATTATTAGCTGTTATTCTGAGGAGAGAACGCACGCAAAACCTCTGCAGGCTACTACAATATGGTCTATAGTTGTTTCAGTAGGACGATAACCGACAGCATTACTATAGCATTGGTACAGTCAGTGTACTACAGAATATAAAAAACTTGGGTCAGATGTTCTCAGGAAAATAAAATCTTTCGCTTACTCTTTAGGTTTGTTTTAAATATATTTACGCCATCCAAATTAAAGCCATGCATGCATATAAAACTGAATAATTTCAGTCAAGGAAATGCCGATTTGAAGGCTGATGTTAATTTTAAGTTTTCTTAAAGCAGTTCTGAAATGCGTAGTCTTTGAAAAAAAAATATATATATTTAAGTGGAATCGGTGGAAGATTCTTTTGACAGTGTATACAATGTACACACAATCCAGGAAATGTGTAGTGTTGACTGATTTTCTTCACACTGGTTTACAACTTTCTAACCCATAGTTAGCTACTGTACCTTTCAGAAATGGAATGCAAAGAGTTAATTTATTCGTTGATACTTTTCCCATGTCAATAATGGTACAGCTTACATTTTGATTAAAATATAAGTATGAAATTAATAAATTCAGGTACAGATCTTACTGTTTGTTTAGCCCTTGCTTTCCCTTGCTGCGTTCTCCAGTCTCAGGCTTGTAGATTTATACTTCCAGTGGCATGGAAACCTCCCGAGTGTTCAGTTTTGAATATATCTGCTGACTGAGGTATGGAGATCCAAAAGCTGAGAGCAGTGAAAATGACGATTTCTTCAAACGGCCAAATTTCACAGGCAGGGCCGTCCATCAGGTTACGTTACAGACCCTGTGATCTCTCTCGGTAGCTTCTAGTGTGAGTTTGCAGGTCCGTAACCTTCCAGGCTCATAAGGAGGAGCATTGTAGTTCAGTGGGCTGCATTTTTTAATCTTCATCACCCATCCACAGACATCCTGTCAAATCCATGTCACTGGTATTCACAATATCTGAAAGGAAGACCACTCGGCCAAAACACTGGAAATCATGAGATCTGAAAAAAAAAAACAATTCTGTTGTGAGTTCTTGCATCTTTCATCCCCGTAACGCCGACGGTGTGATATTTTGAGAGTTATTTAAGGTGCTGGAAATAGTGGTCAGCTGTACTGCCAAGAAAAATGTCCCATGAGGAAAAGGCAGGTTTCTCAAGAAATGCCTGCTATGTTTCAGACTCAAAAGTTTTGGTCTGGACCCCGCAGATCGAGATTGAGTTCCTTCAGATGCGTAGTGATGTTGGCTGGAAAGATTCAATACGCGACCCATTGGTCATCCCACCAGCGACCCACTGGTTTTGGGTAGTTTTGGCCTTTTTCTGACAAAAAGATCTTGGTTACGTCAAGACAGTCCGCAAAGTGTGTGAAAACATTCGCACAGTTTAGCCAACAAACGCAGCTGGGAGACGGAGTGTCCTTGTACACACTGTACCTGCTCAAGTAGAGCTTGAAACTGCCTGTGTGTCAAGACAGCTCAGCAACAGTCCACAGGCATAACTACATGAAGCACGGAGCTACAAGTCCTCACAAGCAGAAGTGTTTTGATGAATTGTACAATTAAAATTTTGCTTTTGGCAGCCAATTCTGTTTTCCGGCAATCTTTATGAATGCCTTTGGTTTTCCGACTATAGCAGGGACATCATCAGGAGTCACAGCGAATATTTCTTCCTTCCTCAAAATAATATTTGCTGGTATTGTTGGAATATTATGGCTGCCACACACCATTCGGGAAAGTGTCAGAAAAAAGCTAGAAATTATTTATTTTTCAGAAACGCGTTATCTAGAAGATAAGATGTTCAGGTTCATGTCAGTTTAGAGTTTAGGCCAAGATTGCAAGAATTTCCTGTTGACTACAGTTACATACCTTCAAGTTGCATATCTAGAAGATAAATCTGTTGTTGAACTCCTCCATCTGCCCCTTCCCCCAAAAATCAATGCTCCTGAGCCATGCAGTCTTTAGACTCCAAACCTAGAAATAGTCTTGTGTTTTGAAGCAGCACATTATAATTGGATGAAGTTCATTTGTTGAGGTGGACTGGAAATGGGGAGACTCTCTTTCTTGAAAGCAAGGGGTGGCCAGATGTGGACCGGAGTGATGCACACGTTTGTCTGTGGTTGACAGAATCTCTTTCTTTCACAGGCCTGGAAGGAAGAGAGACTTTTCGCCTGTTCCCTGGAGCCAGTATTTCGAGTCGATGGAAGATGTGGAAGTTGAGGATGAATCCAGCAAAGATATACCCTTTTCTCGTCCTCCTTATCCACTCGAATCGGTTCATTATGATGTGCGGTTTTAGCACTAATAATTAAACGGTGGCAATGTGTGTGGAGCTGATTACTGTTTTGTCAGTAATGTGCTGAGTCACATGACTTTGCAGCTAGAGGTGACTTTCAAGAACGATAATCACACTAACTGTCAATTCTGAGTCAGACAGTCATTTCCATACAAAACTATAATATAAGTGGATTAACCACATCATATTAACCATGTGTAGCGAGAACTCTTGGAATCAACCTTTAGTGTATACTAAAACATGGGATTTTTGATTAATTGTGCGTCACTGGAGAAAATATTGTAGACAGTGAGTTTAAAAATGTGGCAGAGGTTTTTGATATAGCAATTTCACAATTATTCATATTTGCTCATTTGTATCAAAGTGGACGCTCTTGCCTTCATTATGTTTTTGTTACGCTGAAGTCCTCACTCTTTTAACAATCTAGTGTTCGGTTGTTGCTTCTCTGTTCCCTCTGTTTTTGGCACGTCAGCACCGTTTGGAGACCTTAACTGTTTCACACACTTTTAGAATTTACAGAAGTGGTTCAGAAGGCCCTGTTGTTCTTCTGTTGCACGGGGGAGGTCATTCAGCCCTTTCATGGGCAGTGTTCAGTGTAAGTCAGCAGTTTCTTTGTGTTTCAATATTGTTTCTCATTTTCCGTTGCAGTCGAAAAGTTAACCAGCCCTGACGTTTTTTTTTGTTCTTCACACAAAACCTGCCAGAGCTCTTCTCCTGGAGTGTGGGAAAACTAGGAATTATTTTGTAATTGAAAGTATTAGCCAATTAGTCAATTGAACCGTATTTCAGCGTATGGGCATGCAGCTCATGTGAGTGTTTTTAGATGTCAATCCTGGAGAAATTCATCGTGATGATTTGGTTCTGAGTTCCTGGGACTCTCGAGAGAATAAAGAAGATCTGTGCGTGAGGATGTCTGCAGGTATAACGCTGACACTTGGCAAACTCACTGCAGTGACACGCAGCCAGGCTATTTCTGGGCTGACGCCCTGGACCCACAGGAAAATGTGTTGGTCTAAGCAGTGTTCTAGCGGGCCAGTCAGGCAGCCCACTGTGCTTGAGTAGGAGTCTAATGTTTCCTTCAGCCGTCCTGATACTCTCTCTACACGTTCCTTGCAATTGCCCAGTAAATTGGCAAACACATCACACTCTCTATTAAAAACGCTTTGTTGCGTAGAAGCCTTTTCTTTTCTTTTTCCTCCAGGGGAAACGAGCCAAGTGTGGGTTCAACTGAAGATAACTGAAACTGGGCATATAGGGGAGAGTGCCTGGCTGTCTCATTTAAGAGAACGTGACTTTTTTTTTTTAAAGTAACCCATGCATCTTTCTGCCCGTAGGCTGTGATTTTTAACCGGATCCACTGCAGGGTTGTGGCCGTGGACCTCAGGGGACACGGTAAGGGCCGGTCGATGGCTTGTGTGAAGTTCAAGCCAAGGTTTGCTTCCTTCTCCCTGTGGAGCTGTGCTCTCGGCAGACACAACACGGTTCCCTGCTTGTTCCGGCTGCTTGTTCCCAGATTAAGAGAGGTGGGCCTTCCCACCTCGGAATGGTGACAGTTGTGTGTCTTGGAGTGCCCAAGACAGGTGTGTTTGACACAGCAGAGCCCAAACAGGCTCATAAGTCACCTGTACACTATGGCACAGGTTTGTTCACGATACGTCCCCTGTATTATCATAATGTGTTGCTTCTCTTTAAGTCTAGTGCCTTTTCTGGCCAAAAGATGCTCAAAAGCATCTTTCTTTGGCCTGATCAGTATTGCACCACACAAAATAAAATGACTTTCAATCAGGAAAGTGATATTAAAATCCTGTACTGTATTTTGGTAACTTTCCCCGCTCTGTGATGTAGTTATCATCTGATGTGACCCATCATTGCATATTGCTTAAAGGCTATAATTGTGATCAGTGCCCCCGTGTCTTTAATCTGTGCTTAGTGATTAGTTCCCCGCTCTCTGTCATCAGTAAAAAATTATTTTTATGTGAGTAATAAATAGAGAATTTGAAATTTATCTCCCAAATGTGACACTTTCTTTAACAGGTGACACGAAAGTTAAAAATTCTGAAGACCTTTCTGCAGAAACTATGGCTAAGTAAGTTTTTTTTTAAAAAATTTGTTTGTAACCAAATAGGTTTGGTAAAAAAAAAAATCATTGTTGAAGCTGTAGGAGAATAGAACCACATCAACCAATTCTCGGGGCATGAATAAATCAATGGATTATTTTGTATTGTAAATCCATCTTTATACAACAGTAAAGATCAGAAGTATTCTTAAAGTTAAAATTTTCTCACACTCCCTATCTCCTTGGTTGGATAACTTTCATATTTTTTAGGGATGTTACAATTTAATGATAAAAAGTTCCCCTGGTGTGATGGCAGTGACTGTTGGACTGCTCAGACGAAGGGTAATGACATGCTTCCTGTGCGGTTCTTTGTTTTGGTGTAAACTGCTTTGTGGTTCACCTTTTTAATGGGCTAAGATGTACCGTTCAGTCCCTGCTGCTTTTACGTGGGAGAAAAAGAAACAAGCTTTTTTCTTTTGTGTCATGCTTACCTGAGCTTCACAGAGGCTCTGAAATTGTTTTGAAGGTTGCAGAGACTTTCAGACTCCTCAGATAGGCCAGGGGGTGCCAAGCAAGCCATCTGCTGTTTGATCTACCCTGATGGGATGATTCTACTGTAGCCCTGCTTCATTCTTGAAAATGTTTATTTTTAGGACAGACACGCGCCAGAAAACAATAGCAACTTGAAGTACTCAATCAAAGCTTTAATGTAAATGTAGATGGAGATTTAAATTTTTCTAAGAACATAAGAAGGGTCGCAGACAAGATGAAGTCGTTTGACTCATCTAGCTTGTTTGGTAGTTAGTAGGTAATTGGTCAAATAATTCAGTCCAGTGTTTTATTGCGTAATCCAGGGTATCAGCTTTGAATAACAAGGCTGACTAATTTCTTCCAGACTTCTAGAAGTCTTTGTGCTAAAATTGGCCTCTTGTTAGGTTTCCAAGTATTTATTTTTATCTGGTTTGCGTTTCAATGTCAAGTTTGTTGAGTTGAAAAGTTGTATCTTTCTGAATGTATTTTGTGTGCGTGTAAAAGGCTCACAGTTCTTGTTTTTTTTCCAGGGATGTTGGAAAGGTGGTTGAAGCTCTTTATGGTGAAAATCCTCCGCCCATTATGTTGATTGGTCACAGTATGGGCGGGGCAATAGCAGTTCACACAGCAGCAGCCAATCATGTTCCGTCTTTGCTGGGCCTTTGTGTAATCGACGTGGTGGAAGGTAATTCACAAATCGCTGACTCCATGTCGGTCCTCTTGTAGGGATGCTGGGATATGGCACTTATGGCACATTAATATATTAATATTAATATTTTATGGCCAGCAGTCATATCGCTCTGCAGCTCACAACTGGCAATCCACTGAAGCTAAGCAGGTGTGAGCCTGGTGAGTACCTGGATGGGAGACCTCCTGGGAAAAAAGGTTACTGCTGGAAGAGGTGTTAGTGGGGCCAGCAGGGGGCGCTCACCCTGTGGTCCATGTGGGTCCCAATGCTCCAGTATAGTGACGGGGACACTACACTGTAAACAGGCGCCGTCCTTTGGATGAGACGTAAAACCAAGGTCCTGACTCTCTGTGTTCATTAAAAATCCCGGGGTGTTTCTCAAAAAGAGTAGGGGTGTAACCCCGGCGTCCTGGCCAAGTTTCCCATTGGCCCTTACCAATCATGGCCTCCTAATAATCCAAATCTATGAGTTAGCTTCATTACTCTGCTCTCCTCTCCACTGATAGCTGGTGTGTGGTGAGTGTACTGGTGCACTCTGGCTGCCGTCTCATCATCCAGGTGGGGCTGCACACTGGTGGTGGTGGAGGGGAATCCCCATTTAATGTAAAGCGTTTTGAGTGGAGTGTCCAGAAAAGCGCTATATAAGTGTAAGCTATTATTATTATTATATTGAGGTTATACAAAGGAACTAAGCTACCTTTCCTATATACTTATCTTTTATTCCTTTCCAAACACAAGAATGCTGTGCATAGTGGTAAGAGAAAAATCCCAAAAATACAATGAAAAAAATTAACAGGAGCATACAGGCTCATACTGTTACAATGTAGGGCAATCCGACATAGGCCCTGGTAAAAAGCTGATGTTTGAGTTTGGATTTGAAGAGAGATATGACATCAAATCATCACTGCAACCTGATGCGTGGCCAGAATCCACATCCACGTCCGTGACCAGATCACACGTCCAGCAATGTGATCCCAAGAATCATGTAAAATATTTCAATTGAAGCAATAAAAAATAAAAGAAATGTTCTCATGTAGAATAATTGAACTTTTTGTACTTCCTCTCTAGGTACCGCAATGGATGCTTTAAACAGCATGCAGAATTTCTTGCGGAGTCGACCGAAAACTTTCAAATCCCTTGAGAATGCCATCGAATGGAGGTGTGTTTCAAGATTCTGTGTTTCCCGCTTGTAGTGGTGGAATAGGCGATATTGTTTTCATGCAAAGAAATGAACAGAAAGTCTACAAACTGTTCATTACTCCAGTAGATTGAACGGATTGGCTTTCTTGTCTTGCAGTGTGAAGAGTGGGCAGATCCGGAACGTCGAGTCTGCACGCGTCTCGATGGTCGGCCAAGTCAAAAAGTAAGTCTGTGAAGCTCAGATTCGGCGCTTTGCAGAGCAAGAACTCTGCTTTGAGCTCCTAGCTCCTCTAGGTATACTTTCATTCATCGCAAGCCAGTAGCAGCTACCAGTGCTACCAGTACCAGTAGCAGCAATAGTAGTAATAATAATCCTTATACAGTACTTTTCTGGACACCACTCAAAGTGCTTTACTCCCCTCCACAACCACTAATGTGCGGCCCCCACCTGGATGAGGCAAAGTACACCAGTACGCTCACCACACACCAGTTATCAGTGGGGAGGAGGACAGAGTGGTGGAACCCAGTTTATAGATGGGGATTATTAGGAGGCCGTGATAGATAAAGACCAGGACAGTGGGGTTGTTTTTTTTTTTTTGTGCTCACAGAGTCAGGATTTCGGTTTTACGTCTCATCTGAAGGATAGCGCCTTTTTTACAATATAGTGTGCCCATTTCTATAGTGGGGCATTAGGACTTATACAGACTGCAGGGTGGGCGCCCCCTACTGGCCCCCCGTACACCTCTTCCAGCAGCAACAGACTTTTCCAGGAGGTCTCCCATCCAGGTACTGGCAAGTCTCACAGCTGCTTAGCTTCAGTACATTGCCAGCGGTGAGTTCAGGGTGATATAGCTGGTGGTAAGAATAAGGTGTAGCCAAGCACATCACTGTTTTTTATCCATTATTTCACAAGCCTAAACAAATACAGGTATTATACTGCTCTAAGGAAGATTTGTTTGGTCTTGTAACACTGTTTTATAATCATTACTAAATCGACTTTTGATTGTTGCATGTTACACCAGGTTCTACTGTGTAGAATGTTTGGTTCTGTGTTACTTTCTATATATTATGCTACTCAGCTGCATTTTTCACCCCTGCATAGGTGTGAGGACCCCCTGGACAGTCCTGGTGGCTCCAAGAGCATTGTTGAAGGGATCATTGAGGAGGAGGAGGAAGAGGAGGAGGAGGAAGGAGAGTCCAACCACAAAAGAAAGAAGGAAGACGATCTTGAGGTCAACCGTTTTTTTTAACTACACTGGTTCTATTCGTCCCGAATAATCGGGCCAAATTGGCCAATAACAAGCTGATTTAGGTAATTGAGATTTGAGGTGGAAAGAAAGCCTGGAGTCACACCAGTCCAGTAGCAGGGGAATTAGACCACACTGTTTCTAAAATGAACCGTAAAGCCATTCTGAAAACTCCCACAGCGCTAGATGTTTGCAAATATTGTGACGATTCTTTTATTGGCTTAGTTCATGTGCACTAACGGCTTAGTTTGTATGCAGTTAGTTCAATTGCACTAATTGAGAAATGAGACTTTTTCCCCACCTTCCCTCGTTTTTGTTACTTTGTACTAAATGGGCTTTACTGCATTGCTGCAGGCAAAAAAGGAGTGCCTGTACACTTGGAGGATTGAGCTGGCCAAGACGGAGAAGTATTGGGACGGCTGGTTCAGGGGGCTGTCCAGTCTCTTCCTCAGCTGCTCTGTTCCCAAGCTGCTCCTGCTGGCAGGTACAGTATGTGGCAGTCGGTGCGTTTAACGTGTTTGACTTTCTACAGGGAGTTTTGTACAGATCAGAGCTGGTGTCCCCCAAAAAGATTCACTGGAACGCTCGATACAGTTTTACCAACCGCTGTTTCATCAGCTACATTCATTTTGCCCCCTTAGACACTGTGCTCGCAAAACTGCTTACATGCAGCACCAAATTGGAAAGAGAAAATACAACACAGAGATGCACCCTGTGATGCCAATATTGATTCATTTCCTTATTTGCAGTCAAATTATTTTTTATCTAAAACGTTCCAAAAAACACCAGAATGACATTCCAGTGTGTTCTGCTATGACTCACGCCCTGTTTCAGGCTGTGATTTCCATAATGCATGCAAATATACAAACACATATGACGTTGTATCATCTCTGCACAATTGCTGATCACTGTTCTTGAAAGGAAATAGGAATAATGATCATTTTAAGAATCCAGGTGTCTGACACTAATATTTTTAAATAATTTGTTAATAGGTGTTGACAGGTTGGATAAAGATCTTACAATTGGACAAATGCAAGGTAAGGAATTTAGTCTTTTTTTAAACAGAATTTATGATTACACCACTAGAATGTGAAATTTGTTTCATTGGTGTTATTACTCTGATATTAATGGTAATGTCCTCCAAACAACCCTGTTTCAACATAGTAAAATTTAGCATTCAGAGATATTCTCCATGTCCAAAATTTCACACATTACCTATTTGCCTGTTTGAATTGTTTTTATGTATTTTTTAAAATAAATTTGATAGTTATAACTTAATGATCAAAATATCTCTCAGCTTCGAGGGCGGGAACTGATGCTCAGCTCAAATTTAAGTTAATGTCAGTGCTCCCTGCAATGACAGTACTCCTCGTGCCTGTTTCCTTTCAGGGAAATTCCAGATGCAGGTCCTTCCTCAGTGCGGCCATGCTGTGCATGAGGATGCCCCTGAAAAAGTAAGTGTGATGACCTAATATAGTAAATTTCAAATTAGAACCACATGTGTAATATCAATAAAGTCCAAAATGTATCTCATTGTTCTTTTTATTCTCAGATTTAGAGGCGAATGTTACTACCCTTGAATATAAAGAGTCTGATAATGCATTTAACTTTTTTTTCTGCTGTTCCATACAAATGTTTCTTGTTCTCCTATCTGAGTTTTAGGATGGAAATCACGCCTATGTTATAAATGCAGGGTTCTTAATATTCAAGATTGACACATTTCTGTTTTTTTTTGTTGACAAGATAAAAAGCATGTAAGAGTGTTCATCATTAAGAACGACTGTGTGAATCTTTCAAACATTCTGATGCTGAATACCCTGTCATTGTCCGGAGCCCAAGTCAAGATTCATTTCTTTCCATTTGCAGGTAGCTGAAGCTTTGGCAACATTTATGGTTCGTCATAAGTTCACAGATGCGAAAGGGGGTTTCCAGTGGTAAGAGAGAGAGATTTGTCAATTGATCAATTCCTTATGTTGTAGTATCGCCAAGAAAAACCCATCCGGTTTAGCATAGGTCTTACTTAGAAGCGGCAGCTTCTAAAATCCATGTAGCTTCTGCACCACGGCAGAACAGGTGCTGTTCCCATGACAACACTTCCTCCTGTGGCAACACTGTGTGAAATTTATTCTTCACTCTGAAAATCGTGACTGGGACATTCCCCCATCTGATTTGCCCTGCGTATCCTTCGATGAGATTGAGCTAAGATGTGCTTGCATTTCACTGTACATTCAAGTAGGTGATTTGGGTGTGATTCAGAGGTGTTGCATTGCAACTCAAGGAAGTTATAAATTTATAAATAAGAAGAGGTGTAGAAAGACATATGTATATGACATGTGCATATGGTTAGAGCATAGTATTGTGCATCCCTTCCAAACTGTATCGTACCTAGTAGAATCTTTCAAAGGTACTTTTTTTTTCTATTCAGTAGCACACAGGTTTATGTATTGAATCCTCTTTTTTTACTTCTACAAAGTTCTTATTTTAAAGTTAATATCATCGTTAGTGAGTTATTATTGAATTTCTTGTACTGTTTTGATACAAATATGGATTAGGCCAGGCTAGAATTAACTGTGCCATGACTATTCATTTCGTCTAGTTTTTAAAATACTGTTGCATACACTGTTGTACTATTCCATCAATGTTCGGCTCTGAAGGTGTAATTCAAAGTGTTAAACTGTTATAACCCAATTAAAAATGGATGTGCAGGAAATTATAACCTGGATGTGAAGGTTTTTGTGGGCACAGTTGACAGAGATATTGTTTCAATAAAGAAATAATCAGTTATACACATTCCCAGCTAACTTTGATCTCCTCTGTGTTTGTTTCAGTGTGTTTCCAGCTTGCTAATACACTTCAGTCCTCGATTACTCTGTAAATAAGCACCAGGGGTCACTGTGATGTCCTCCATCAGCCTAGTCTCCATTCAACAATATCAACAATACAGCAACCTACAAAAGGCAATCATCTGATGCTCTTACTGAGATGGGCAAACAAAAAGTGCTGGTCTTTAAGCTGAAAAATTGCTTAGCTCTTAAAATATGGGGTTTTTGTATTGATTTATTATTACTGCTGTAATTATTACAGAGTAAAACAGTACATTCTGTTTCTTTTACCTTCTTCAAGGTCATGCCTTTTCAAGATTGCAGGGAATTTTGATTTATACCTATTTATTTTTCTTTCCTTTTTATTTCTGTGATACCTTGCCTGTTCTTGTTCTGGAGTCTTGAGTGATGACAGTACGATATATGCCCAACGTGTCTCTCATGGTTGGTTTTTAAGAAGAAGAGTAATAAAAAAAAAATCGGCAAATGCAGCTGACTTTGTAATGTGCTGATTTTGTTTGGGTGTGATTTACATGTAATGGGGTACTTTTGCCGCTAGATGGCAATGTGGTTTTGTCCAAATGTAATGCACTTCCTACAAACCTATGGGAAAAATGTCGTCCTGTTAGGTAAAGGAATAATAAAAGGCGTATTCTATGCTGAAAAGTAAAAACTATAAAGTTTCAGATCTTAAACCTTCTAACACTTGAAGAAACCTTAACCTATTAAACAATCTTATTTGCTGATGCACCTCCCCACTGAAATCCCCTGTTATGTAGTCTGTATAGATGAATCTAATTAAACTGATATTGGTGAATTAACTGTAATTAAGACATTCAAAGGCCAAAGATATGCAATTACAAAACTGTTCATCCTCATGATTACGGCAAATGTATTTGAATGCATGGCATAGTGCAATCATTAAAAAATAAAAGGTTGTGCAAATATACCCCATGTACATTCATTACATCAGCTCCAAACTGAGAACTGTACCTTAATATCGGCTAAAACTCCCACTTGGTGTCAGTATATATCTGAGTGCAGCAGTTTATAGGTTTTGTATTTTGGCTTTAATCATACACCTTATATCTTATCACCTTATAGATATCATACACCTTAAAACTTAAACAGTTTAAACAAGGCATATAACTGATTATCCCAGTTTAATTTTTTTGTGATAAACATACTGTATGTAAATGTTAAAAATAAAGTAATAAGTTGACATGTCTAGCAGAAAAATTTTACTTAACAGGAGAATTAGACATGACTAAACAACACACCTTTAAAAAGTTGGCCTTTGACTTGGCGAAGTATTTCTGGGACCAATGCAAGTCTGCAGTGAAGCTGCAAGTGTGAGCTCTGTTACAAAGTTGATTTACTGACTGTTCCTCCCCACAGGTGTATGGTAAACCTTTTACGCTGATTTCAGAACAGAAGATCAAAATGTCTATACCTAGAGCAAACAAACAGAATTTAATTGCTGTGTTTTAAACCCCTTTTACTCATACGCTTGCAGTCATAGTATGCCCTAGTGACAGATGTTAAATAGATCAGGTGGGGTTGCACATTGGTGGTGGTGGAGGGGAGTTCCCATTACCTGTAAAGCACTTTGAGTGGAGTGTCCAGAAAAGCACTATATAAGTATTAGGATTCTTAAAGGTTTGAAACACTGCAACTTAAGTTAACTATAAGAAACCTAAAAATATATTTTTTAATATTTAATATTTTTCTAAGTTTTATTTTGATGCTTACATTACTGCTATCTTAAATATTTTGGGCTGAGTTTAGAACTTCACACACATACGGTAGGCTGGTAAAGATAAATTATTTTTAAGATGCATGCAAATTCTTCCTTTGCCTGGTTGATGGGTACCTTGGGCCAAAACCTAGAAGAGCTGACAATTCTCTGAGGGACAAAAACAAAGGGATATTTCCAAGTCAGTGACAGATATACTATATATAGTTTCTATAGCACTAACAATTAACAGTTAATTAACAATTAACTTACAGTTTCTATAGCTTAAACAGTAAGTTACCGATACTGGATTCTTGTCTTTTCTACTTTGGGCCGAGCTGAATAATCACCATCATTTGTACTGAAGTATGTCTCCATAGCAACACAATAGTAGCTATAAACTTCCTTGTTTCACACAGAGTTTAAATTTCATTTCTAGAGAGGCTTCTTAGAGTGATCAATGGCTTCCATTCTGTTTTCCTGCTTTCCCTGGAAGAGCGTTTCTAGATGGGAAAACGCTTTTATCAGAAAATTCTGGTTACTTGTGTTTGGTGGATGGTATGGGCTCCGAAATCATATGGTGGTGCAAACCAAGGTGTTGGTGAGCACATTGATCATACTACACTCATTGAGACAGAACAACATTACAATTCTTATTAGAAAGTAAAACCCAATGGTTTTTTCCTTTGCAATGTGAACACTGCCTCGCTAAATATATAAGACTTCATTATTAGACTTTATACCCATTCAAGGTGAACAGAGAACAGTCTATGCCCACAGAGCACGTATTTTAATAAAACATCTCTCATGCCATGCGTATTTTGCAGGAAAGATTGATTATTTAAATCGGTATATCACCTGACAACAAATGCTGACTTACAATGATGGAGAGTACTCATTTATACAGTGGGATCTTACCCGGGGCAGGTTAAGAGACGTTCCTTGCTGTAGGGTACAACAGCAGGTTCTCGGTTGATATCTCAGCCCACAACCCCCTGACTGGAGATCCAGGGCTTTAACCTCTACTCCATTCCGTGAAAACTGCACTTCTAGGGCTTTTCCTTAGTATATTTTAGATTACATCAAAGAAGCCTACATGTAATTTGTCTCTATGGCCTAAGTGTAATTAACTTCAGACAAAGCACAAGCCATCAGTTCTGAACTGGCAGCTTCCACCCGGGGTCTCAAGGTCATAAAAAAACTCAGCAGAAGATTAAAGGTAAGGCATCAATACCAGCGTAATTATTACCACCTGGGGTGTACTGATTTAAATGGCAACTGCAGTCCCAATTTCTCAAACTGGGTATTAAATCTTGGTAATAAAATAAATTCACTGTTGATTTAGAAAGATTTTACAAATTTCAAATTAAGCACGAGCTCGTGAACTTTGAGCAGCCAAAGCGAGGGTTCGCGCGAATTGCCTTGTGATGCAGCCCTTCCTGCTCGCTAGTCACGGTCATGACTAATGCGCTACTGTGCTACGAGTGGAAAAAGTACAAGTTGTGCAGCAGATATTTCACTGCAGAAATGTTCCAAAGTGATCTGCCTGCAGAGATAACAGGTAGTATTTGTCGGAAAAAATGTCGCAACTTGATTACCATGTGCTGGTGTACTAGTAACTGACAAAAAGTTAAAAACCAATCAGTATGAATTTATGTCCTACTATTCCTTGTAAACCAGAGATCTGACCCATGCAACATGCAATAGAATCTATTCCAGAAGCGGTTACTAAACTCATCCTTGCAAAGAAGTCTTACATGTAAACTTCCTGTTATTTTAATTTTGCTTTGGCTACTTCAACTAAAATATATTTTTACTGACAAGGTGTCTCAATCTCAGTTTGACAACACCAAGAACCCCAAACCCTGGAATATGTTTAATAGTTCTCCAACTCATCACTACGATGTGTTTTTTTTTTCCATCTGGAGAGGTTTCATAGGATTTCTGAATTGGTGCCGTCTAGCCCACAAGAACGCACAATCAGCGAAAGGGGAAACCGTGAATGACAACCAAAAAGACAGGCTTTGTCAGAGTCCAGGGGCTGTGGCCTTAGGTATTGTGGTTTTGACCCTAAGACTCCTGGAAATGAAATCATCATCAGCATTGCTGTGGAAAAACATGACACACACAGGTAGAGGGCGCAATTGAGACTAGTGGAGGTCAGCTGCTGCTACACATTCCAGTAGTGAGAAAATTAGTAGTTAGCCACTTTGAATGGCACAAAAGTCTCTAACATGAGCATACAATACAATAAAATCAATTTACCCTCTACATCACCTAAGATAAATTCACATTTATGCTACACAGAAACCTTAATGTAGGACAATAATTATTCAACTATGCTAAAATGTTATTGCCTTTTGAGTCTGATCTATGCTAAATATTTTGTTTTATTTTTTACAGCTTCTTCTGTGACTATTTCGACTAGGAGTCATACTGACTAAATGCTTTTGTCTGCGCACCTCGCTATTTTTTTGTCAGTGGGTTAATAAAAAAATCAACACATTAAAACCGTCATCTGACTTTTCTTCTTGGCTTCTCTCCCTACTAGTATTTCAGAGAATTCCACAGGTGTAAACCCCCCCCCTTCAGTTTTAACAGTCTGTGAGGCCTTAATCTAGTCCACTCCTCTCATTGGCGTGTCAAATGAAGTAAGGCTGTTATTCATTTTTGATGGAATAGTCAGGCACTAAAACTTTGGAATGTGGCTGGAGGACAAGCATTCCTACCAGTAGCCTAGGCTGTTTCTGAGTGCTATGATTGTTCTGCCTCAGAGGCACCATGTCAGAAAACTTAAATCATTGCTTACACAGCCACAGACAAGGATTAGCTTTGTATCTCCTGTTCGCTTTTTGTTGTGGTTGCCCTGGAGAAGTTCATAAGAATGAGTCCAGTTACGTTGCCTCCAGTCTCACCAGTACTGAAGAACGAATGAAAAACATATCTGCTTCACTCCCTGTTGTATGCACAGACTAGCTTCTGGTTTGATTTATAACCCATTTTTCAACATGGGTTAAGGCGTTGCTTCTGCAGTGTCTGGCAAGTTTTCTTCAACTGTTATAATTCTGTGCTTTCAGACAGACATCTACAGAAAACCGTTTTAGGTCAAGGAAAGGACAGAGCAGATGTTTTTCCTATTAAGGGGGCACATGCATGACATAAACCCTGACAAGTGTTAGAAAAGTATTTTGATGAAAGGATAGCTGAGGCTTAAAGCTGGAAAAGACAGGCAGCAATCTTAGAACATGCACAGTAACATATCAAAATATTCTTAAGGGATCAACCATTGTTTTAAACACGTATCACAGTTAACACTGTAATTTTAGTAAAGATGTAAATCTACATGAAAGCATTAATGTAGCCATAAATAGAAATGTGCATTCTAATGCATTATCTGGTTTTTGTTCAGGCATAGAAACTGCTAGAAATAAAAATCTGCTAGAAACCCAAAGTCATTTTAGAAATTCTTGCAGGTAAACAAAAGATGTTTATTTTTTAAAACCCTGCAATTTTGTCTTCCTTCACAAATCATAAAAGAACTCAACAAAAACCATCAGGCTTAAATTTGTCCCTCCACAAGCTGCTGTCGATGTGCAGCGCAATTCTTGGGACAGCCGGCCTCGTGGAACAGAAGAGCCAGGGGCTGACAGTAGAGTCCTCGCCCACACCAGGGAATGAACAGGAAAGCAAAGACCATCCCATCTATCCCTCCTCCATTCCTCCTGGGAAGTTTGAGTGCTGAGGCATGCCGGCTGCCTTCCTGCCCGCTTGCCTCCCTGCCTGGCTGGCTTCTGGCCAGATTCCCATCCAGCCCTATCCAGACGGCCCCGTCCTCCAGCGGGCCCCTCCAATCAGTTTGGCAGGCTTGTTCGAAACTGCCTCTCCCCCACCACCCCGTCCCTCCCCCTCCTCTCCCCAGCAGCTCCGGCTCTGAGGCTGGATCTTGTACTCCAACCGGTCCCACTGCCTCATGGCCCCCTCCTCACTCCTCCGGGTCGAAGCTGCAGGGCCTGTGGAATTCCTGGCCATGTTCGTGTACCCACTTGTTGGCCACTGGAAGGAGAAGGAGAGCAGGCAGGTGAGGACCAGTAGAGGAGAGCAGCAACCACTGGAGACAAGACAACCAAGACAAAGCTTCGATCGAGAAGCACGCAGATAGCCAGCTTACTAGGAAATAAAAGATTCTTTTTCATCTAACCAAGTGTTTTGGTTTTCTTTAAGGTTAAGGGAAGTTATACTAAAAAGCTGCCTTTGTTGTAAAAACAAAAATGGTTAAAGCAGAAAGGTCAACTTTATCTCACTTTGCCTCCTTCTGAACCCAGTCAACAAAACACAGCAGTCACCAGAAACAAATCTGTCGTCATCAGTCCTTCTTCAAAACGCAAGAATGGTGCTTTATGAAAGATTTTTTTTGTTGTTGGCAAAGTTTTTCTAGAATATGGCTATTAAGTTGTCATTGCCTGCGTTTTATATAACAGTGCAGCAAGCCTGCCTGTCAGCCGTGTTCGAAGCTGTGCAGAGCCTTAAATCTCCCAGGTTTGCTGTAATATCAGCCAGATGTTTCACCAAGCACTCATGATGTTGCCATGGAGAGGAGACCGCTGGTGCCAGTTTTTAAAGAAGTGGATAGTTATTGAACTGGAAAAAAAAAAATCTTACAAGCTTAAATAGATCGAGTTATGCTTGGTTTTGTGTGATTGTACATTACCAGTAACAATGTGTGGGAGGGGCTGACAAGATTTAAGCTTGGGCCCTGAGCCTACTGGGCTCAAGACGGGTGAAAAGAGGGTAGGCAAAAAGAGAAAAACCATGTACACATACATCAGCTGGCAGAATTCTTAAATTCTTTTTTGATGGCGTAAGACTTTTCTCATGGAAAGAAATACAACACTCATTCCAAAAATATTTGGAAACATGGGATTGTTTTCATCCGAAATCTTATCTTTCCCATTTCGTCCGAGTTAATTCTGCATGAATTCGTAAATTAAGCATACTCTTCACAGAGATTTCACAAAGAGGACTGCTCAAAGTGACTTACCCCACTTATCTCCAACCAAGACAGGACAGCCTGCGTGGAGAGTATCCCCATTGCCCTGGCCATTTCTGTGCAGATTCCACCAGAAAACGGCTGCATTCTGCCACAAGAGTAGGAGGATTAGGATTTCCCCAATGCTGGTGTACAATCAGCTCAGCACTGCCAAAGGCAGTACTGGGATTAGTCAGCTAAGATTCCTGACTCCAAGTAGCACTCCCTGCAACTCCATCGCAGACTGTGCCTCCTGTGCATCACAGCAGAGTGTGTAGCTTGTAAAAAGATTAATGACTTAATGACTTAGTGGGTAGGCAGGTTGGAAAAGTCTGTCTCCCTGTCCAATGGTGCCCATGTACATGCAGTTGTTGCTTTTGTGAGCCAAGAATTAAAGAGGCTAAATCAGTCACTCCGAATTGGATGGGCATATTAATAAAAAATAACTGGCAATTTTAAATATAGGCAGCTAAAAGAAAAGCATTACGACCCCCAGATAAAATGGCAGATAAACTCAAGAGAATCTAAAACATGTTAAAAGCTATTCTCATTTAACCATGACCTTGTAAAAAAAAAAACACAGATTCAATACAATTAATATTCATTTGCAAAGGAAGCAGGACCTTCCAGACCCTGGTGTTTACACATTCCACCCTGTGGCTTTTCAGAGGTCACAAGGTTAAAGCCCTGGAGAGCTTCTCTGCTATTACAAAGCCTGCCCATTTCCCGAAATAAACAGATAGCACACGGGGCCAGAGTATAGCCAGGTGGGCAGCTACCTTCAGAAGGTGCACTATCCTTAAAAACCAAGTGTCTATTTCCGAGTCAGTTTTGGTTTGTGTAAGAAAAAAACATGCAGCTCGTCTCCGTTTTACACTTCAGGTTTGCAGTCGGTAATTTCATATTATCAATATAAAGAAACCGTCTCGCCAACATATAATACTTTGGATATCAGGTCTGTTTAATCATTTACAATGTCACAGTAATGAGGACATTTCTATATGCACCAGGTTATCTTACATTGGAAAAACTACTTTCCAGCCCAAACGATTTATCTTCCATTTTGGATATATAAACATTTTTGTGGTCATATAACTTTCTTGAAATGACAGGATGTTACAAGTAAAGCAGCCGTATCTGTCTTAATGAGAATGTAGAAAACAGTGTTTCCAAATCTTGTGTTCCTTGCACTAAAGAAATGCATGTTTAGTGACAATGTTTCAGTAAAAAAACATTTCATCACCCTGTTTGTAAGACAGCCAGCCATTAAAGTGCTGATCTTTATTTAACACCTCTGAGGGATGACAATGTCTGTAAACTGTAAGACACAGACACCGTTTCTTGCTAGGAGAGATGAAAAAATGCTTGACTATTTATTGTAATAAAATTGGAAAACCAGGTTTATCAAGCATGTTTATGGAAACAGTCTATTGTGTAGGAGATATTCATCAAGCTACCAACTCACACGCCTTCAATAAACCTTCTACAATTGCCATAGATAAAAGACAGAAGTCTAAATACACTTGTAGACAACAAACGGCTTTTTTCAATTTATTGAAGCACACGCACGGGACACCGAGAAAATCATTGTAGCCAGTTGGGACAATTATCTCTAAGGCTTTTGTTTTGAAATCAAAGAAACTGAAGCAGGTCTATGTCATCTTTGAGAAAACTCAAAGGTATTAGATGGATCTTGCTGCACACTGACAGAAGCTAAAAGCATGCAAAAATAAGAGATGCGTCTTTACCTTCACTACTGGAACACTGAAGTTAGCGTAGATAAATGCCGTGGATCCACCTGCTTCCACAGAACTGAGCTGACAAAGACAACAATGGGTTCATTGTACACTACAGATTCATCACTCTATATTCACATTTTTCTAAAGGGAATGTTAGAAGTCTTTATACATTAGTATGTATTTACTATGCACATTAGTACGAGTGCATAAACAGAAAAATCACACTTACATAGATCATAAACGTTGCCAAACGATTTCCTGTTTTGAGCTTGTAGACTGGGCTTGACTCGGACTGGTTCCAAAAAGAAAAAAAGAAATCAGAGCAGCTATAAAAGGCAAGAATTAGGCATGAACAAGAGCAAAACAAAGTAGATATTTGAAGGCAAGGCACAAGGTACAAGCCTTCAAATTTGAGGTCTGCATTGCCAGAGGAACTACAGTAGATGTTTGAAAACACTCACAGTGGCATGGTCGAAGTGAGGCTCATAATGTCCACCAATCCCATAATTCACCACCTGGAGGTACTCTGCATATGGTGGCTGCACGGTTAATCCGGTCAGTGCAGTAATTCGCTGGTCAAGCCTCCTGACAATAGGGTGTGTTGTGTCGTTTAGCCAGGCACTGAAATTGCATAAGACATTCTGGTCATTCTCCTTTATAGTGTGTCATAACAGTGGTCTGCAATGTTTTTTTTTCTTCCTGCCATGTCTTTTTTATTTCATTGTCCAGAAAGTCCACACTGATGACGTAACACTAACATCTTTTATACGGGCATGATCAATCACATCTGCATGGAGAAGAAACATTTTTTAAAATAAATCTACAGTGATGACCATGTAACACCAAAATGAAAATGGATGTTATATGAACAATCACAATATGAAAAATAAAAATTTGTAAAAAAGACTTATGAAAAATCTTTATCCAATTTACGATGTTACAATAACTATAGAAAAGGACGTCAAATGATATGGACTACATGGTTCTTTTAATTCACGTTCCTAATCAGACAAAATTTTAATAGATAAACAGAATTAGGTTGAAACATTTAAAACAAGGAGTGTCAGTACCCTGGAAAACACAGTATATTACATTTTCTATAAACATTTAACGAGTTTCCAAATTACAGAGCCTTGCAAATGTTTATGGACCGTTTTCAGCTTTTTATAGCATGTATAGAAGAGCAAGAGAGACCAGACCTGCTGGGACTACTGGGAGGTTTTCACTCTAAAGATTTTTGCACGTCATAGATTCTCCGAGAGCCCCGTTTTGTCTTTTTAGATGATACTTAGAAGGAACTGCAGAATCCATCTTCAAAGAGCTGGGATTTACAGACCACTAGCTTTTTATAAAACGCAGTTTGAGGCAGTTGTCGCTTCTGTGGAGAACTTTTTTGAAACGCATTTTCAGTTTTATGGACTCCAGTGGGTTTTTTGTTGTTGTTTAATTTACGGTTTCTTTAGTTACTTTCTATGATGACTAAATTTGAGTGGGATCATGGACCTTGAAGCCTCTTGGGTGAATTTTGTTTTGTTTTAAAAAAAAAAAAAGAAAGATGAACATCTGTGAAAGGGAAAATCTAATACCTTAACTTCAGCCTTTATATTGTTCTAAAAGATGAAAACTACTTGATCTCAAGATCCAAAAATAGCTCAGAGACAGAGTATGACTTGCATTGTTAGTTGGTAACTCCCCACACAAAAGTCAACTATAAGAACATGTTTTAAAGAGACATGGATGTTTATGTGCCAAGAATGCTTGCTTCTAAATATCAGCATTAGAAGATTTAAAGCTTTGCCTTAACCCCTGTTTATCCATTCCCAATTAAGAAAAAAAAAAATGTTATGACTGGCTGGTTTCTGTTTTCATTATACAGGACTGCTTCTACGTTTATTGAAGTATCGTGCTTTATTTACTGTACCTCTTACTAATGCGATATTCTGCTGCAGACTGCGTCTCTCCAGAGGCCACCACTGATCTTCTCAACTGATACAGAAAGAGACTCAATGTTGGTACATGTGTCATTAAGCTCCCTCAGACGGAACTTCAATAGTACAAGAATCCACTGGTCTTGTTCTCCATAAGTTCTTGTGGCTGGTTCTTATGATTCACACTACTGCACTTCCAGCAACGTGTGCGTCACTGTTTTCTCCAAACAAAGAGTAGCAGGCCGATTATACAAAGCACTAAGCTCAGGGTGGTCAATCTGTGGGCTGTCTGCCACATGGAAACCTTTGGAATGGCAAAAAGATTGCCATCCCAGAATTTCACCAAGTCTTCAAAACATCACACATGTTCAGATATATTATGCATTCTTAAGTTTTATTCTAAATATTTGGGTAGAAGGTGTAGTGAGCCTAGAGGCTGAAGGAGGGACACTCAGGCAAATTGCTTATTTAGTTTAAGTAAACTGCCACTAAATTCAACCAAAAAGCATAAGCATTGTGTTTGAATGGATATGCTCAAATACTTGTTCTCTATTACTGCTTACTAGCATTCAAATGTCTAGGTTATAGACCCTGAGCTAGGAAAGAATGGAATAAGTGACACAAGCCGAAATTTTGGGCAAATGAGACATATTCCGTGTCTGGATTTAATGCACTCTGTCCAATATGATCATATTTTTGAATTCCCAATTAAAGAAATACAGACGTTTTCAATTAATGATGGAATGGAGAAACATAAATCATCCGCAGCTGCTGGCTAATACTGATGGACTGTTTTCAGGGAATCTCCTCAAATTCTGCACAAAACCACAAGAGCCAGCTCGCCTATCCCACCACAGGGTGAAGTGAGGGAATAGTTTCCACCATCCATACGGATGTGAAGAAAACCAAGAGGACTGTAATTTTCACAGAGAGGATAATATTGAAAACAAATTGAGTGTTGGTAATTCATTGGTTATGCCCTAGAGAATGCCTGCAATCACATCAAACATTCCGCTTAGGAGTTGTAAATCCCTGTGCAGCACTAATTTCCCAGATACGAAAGACCACATTAATATCACTTGGAGGTACAGTGATCTGAGGTATGAATCACATCCCACTTGCCCCATTATGGCTGCAGACATTTTCAGAGCCACAGAAGGTATCAGATGTCTGTTGCTCTGTCTTTCAATTGTCACTCTCAATGCCAAATATGAACAGGGCCAAAAAAGCAGTCTCGAATAGCAAGAGTAACCTCCAAACATAGGGATCTGTTTGCTCATTGCAAACAGCTGTAGTTGAAAGAGATATGAAGACCAACCTTGATCAGAAATATCGACTCCCATTTTTATAGAAAGTAACTTATTTTACAGAGTTAACTTCATGTCTGAAAGAAGTTCAAGCAACTCAAAATGTGGGTTTTTGAACATAAAATTATAAAATTGTATTTCGTATTGTATTTTTGCCTTGGATAGTTCTAAAGGCCACTGAAATTCAGCACTGGGAGTTAATTTATAAGAGCCACAAAAAAAGGTGTAAATTTATTCAAATTAGCTAGGCTGAACCGAGTGACCTACCAGAAGATAAAACAAAACATCAAGTCAGACCAGTAGTTAATATACTCACTGCCACATCGACTACGGTTTATAGTTGAATGTATGACTGTCCGGCTGCCAGTTTAATCTAAACCTTCCTTGATAAAGCAGCAAGAAAATGTACACCTGGCCGCCAGCCTGAAGCTCCGCTAAACAAACCCGATTCCAAACTTTCAAAATTGGAAACTTCCTAAAATAAACAGAAGCTTAACAGGACTGCCAAGCCAAATAAACCGAAATGTCTGCGAAACGCAAACGGTCGGTCACATTTGCACATCACCTGAACAAGAATCCCAATCTCAAAGATACTTTTTGTTTGCGTGTTATCGGATGAGTAATAAACTTCTGATGTTCAAGTGTGTCAATGAAATTTTACAAGGAGGATATACCAGCTCTACTGTTGCCTATACTGTATGCCGTTTTGTATATTTGCTTTTAAGTGGGCTTGTAACTACACTCACTAATGCTAGTTCTGAAACTGAATCTATGGAGAGAAAAACATGCATTATATTTAGCACTGCCATTACCTGTGCTGGACTTTTAACACTTTAGAATATATTTGCCTTTTTGTGGACGCTTGTGTGGCCTGAGAAACTTGGTACAACTGTGCTATTTTTAAAAGCGATGCACAGAGATGGAGAAAGCATAGTGCATCCCAGATGCATGGCATTCTTATGGCATGAGCAAACAGGAGCATTACCAATGCGAAGGGTACAAACTTACTCCTGGTTCTGCAGAGCTCTTCACACTTTCAGCCTCCGCATCACTGACGAAGCTGTGGTATAGAACCACATATGGTTCCAGGCTGACGACCTCTCGTTTCATTGGCTCGAGAATCAGACCTGGGTTGCCGTTAGTAAAGTAATCGCAGAACAGCCCGGGGTTTTCATAATGTTTTGGCTGGAAACAGAAACAGCATATGAAGCTTATTACAAAGCTGGAATAAAAAAAAAAGACCATTGTTTTTTTTGTTCTCTTGAGCATTAGGTTTTCTGGTTTCAGCGGCAGTTTCAACTCCCATTTCAAAGACTGAAAGATGTGACGGTATTTCATGAAATTAAAGCTTTCAATTTCTAAAACATGACGGACACGTTAATTTGAATAGGAAATCAAGTTTAATTAATAACCTTTTCTACTTTGCGTGAATCCCCTTTTCAACGTTTCTTTTTTTTTTGCATAAAGATTTAAAATGTTAAAATGGCCTGTAAACGGAGGTCAATATAACATTACAAGAAAAAATTGAATTCAAGAATATTGCAAAGCTTTTTTTAGAATTAGATTTGCGTCTGTAATAGAGAACACAAAGGCGCTTTCAACTATATTTTAACTCCATGATGACAGATACATTCCGTCTTAAAAAGTAACAAGGCGTTTCATGCTATATCCACAGGTGTTCATATGAACCCTTTAACACTCCCCACCTACAAACACATGAGTATACAGATTTTTCTGAAGATGAACATAAAAAAAATCATTTAATAAAAAAAATGGAGCATAATGGTAACAGCATTGATCAGATGACTTTTGTTTCTGTAGTGCTTTTAAATTCTTTATATGAACAATTTCCTCACTCAAACACTGACTCAAAAGAAGATATATGTTATTACCTGGGACCCCAGAGTCTGGCACAGCCTTTCATACACATGTCTTGTGTGCAAGTAAGTGGAGTTTGGTCTCTGCAGGACAGTATGGTGGGATTCTATGGGTGGAGATGCAGCAAGGAGTTTTTCATATTTTTCAATGTTCCGGGAAACCCTTTTATTGGAAGGATCTTTAAAAACAAATACAAAAGAATCTCTGAGCATGGCGTAACCCTGACTGTTTCAGCTTGTTGCCTAAAACAGTGATCTTAAAGGGATGGGATGTTCCACCAGTAATGTGGGAGCTAAATAGAAAAGCCATTAGAATTGAGCCAAGCTCGCTGCAAAACCAACAGAACAACTGGAAAAAAAATCATAAGAAAAGCTTGTAATAAATGAAAGTTTTTAACCGAATATCAATACGATTAGCTTTTTTCTAAATATAATGTTAGACTGTAAAATATTTTTTAGAACAGCCATAAAATGTTTTAGAAACGTCAAACATGAGAAACAAGCAACAAGCATTAACCTGTCCTAATATTCCGCTTCTGTTGAAGCAGACCTAAACCTAAAACCACATTAATGCACAGATGATTCGATGTGCACAGCATTTATACAGTATATTAAGGAAATGCCATAGGATCTCATCCTGCAGAATATGAAAAGCAGCTGCTTGACACAGACTCTTATGCTGGTGCTCTGTATTGTTTTAAGATACTGTAAGTCTGTACGGTTAGTGTGGATAAAAACATACCATAACGCAGGAGCTCCTGGGAGAGAACCCAAGCGTAGGATATGTTTCCCGTCTGAAACACAGCGTTAAAAAAAAAGAGCTCAATGCCTGTTGAAAAGAAAGCTAGTTCTCCTGAACAGAATCCTATCTATCTCCGTCAGTGGGCACTGCTCTGAATTACCCTGCACTGTACCTTTTTAAATGCCCCCTGGATGGTCTGATTAACATTCCAGGTGTTCTGGAGGTGTTCTCCCATCCCATTTCCTGAAAGGTTTTACAAACTGCATTAAGCAGTTCTAAACAGATGCAGAGCTATGTAGAAAACAGCAGAACAGAGCACGTACAATCTCCTACATACAAAACCAAGCAGGGTGAACCTTAAGTCGAACATTTGTGCGTCTGTCTGGAGTTGTATGGTAAGCATGTTTTGCCATCCACCGTTTCAAACTCTAGCCTAGCTGTAGACAAAATAAATCGCCCATCTGCAATTTTACTTACTGTAAGCCGTAGCTGTCAGGCAGAGGCAGTGCTGGATTACTGTTTAGCGGTTGCGTCGACAGGCCCCTAACGCAGGAGAAAGAAAACTAACGAGCGACAGAGAAAGGGAGCTAGAAACAGGGAGAATGTGGCTACCTTGAAGTGAGAGTAGGCCAGGTGGTCCAGGGTGTCCTTCAGGTTTCCTTCATCTTCAGTAATCCACTCACCCTGAGCCCTGCGAAACAGGCGAGCTGCCTCTTCCAGCCACTGCACGGAGTGATAGAAGTCCTCCATCTCGTAGGCCACCTGAAACACACCCCGACAGGCAACATGTCCAGCTGCTACCTGCATCAGCACACTTACAGCTAATCCAAACTAATTCCTCCATGCTCAAGGACCATCAGAACAATTGTCATTTGGTTGCCAGTAGCTTATGGATCTGAAAATGTAAACCCCTGGCAGGTACTTTTTCTATTTACTGTACAGACTTGGTTCATATAGCCAGAGACCAGTAGAAAAAGAAAAACAGGGAGATCCTCATTCTATGTTTTTAAGGAACAAATCCAAAACAGTGGAATACTCTTTCCTAGCCGACGCAAATTTAAAGGAAAAAATGTGAAGAGTCCTTCGAAGGCAGCTGATGACACACAGAAGTCACCAGTGACTTGTTGCAGTGCTCAGGGAATGCGCGGATTTCTGTATCTATGACCTTTTAAAGACCGAACAATCTAATGCTGGAATTATTCTCTACACTGTGGAATTTTAAGAGTGGGAAGTCAGGACGCAGTTTTTAGCTGTGAAATCAGGGCACTTGTCTGCCAAAACACTTTGACATCATGGGCGTCTGAAGAAAAAGAGAATTACAGCTGGCTCAAGTTTTATTCATACAATTAATATACTGTATATTGCTACCCTTGATGGACATGATATTTGATGCAAAACTTGGTTTTACCAAAACAATTACTTATACTGAATGTACACTTGCAACAGGTACAGGGTATTGCAAAACCAAATCTGTTCTAAGTAAACAATGTGCAAAATTATTCATACCCCACAAGTCGGCATTTTGTTGATCCTCCTGTCTTATTGACAACATATGGGGTAGTGGATTCCAACCTTTGTCCTAGAGCAACACTGTCACTGTGGCTGTTGTTCAAGCTGAGCCCTACATACCCATTGATAATTGACGACTTAATTGATCTGCTTTCTTGTTTAGACTATTATTGAACTTGTTTCTTCACTCAGTCCCAACAGTCAAAAAAACCCTATTTGAACTGTCTGCAACAGTTTCGGCTTACAGAACTTTAAACAACCTTTCCTTGCCTCGATTGCCATTATTTCTGACTCTTATTTGGCTTTATTGAATAATTAATTAACTGCTATAATTATGCACAGATCAGTGAGAATCCCCATTCAATCAAGGTTATCTCAGAAGAACCTTGATTGTTTGCGTTTTCCCACCTTTCCAACTTGGAAGCAGTCGTCTCCTGAGAGGGGGACGATGACAGCAGGTCTGTAAATGTCCATTGTCTGACCTGCAGTGACCCTCTGGAACAGTCCATTCGCTAGCCCCTCCACACGGAGAGAGTACACATCCTGGAGCCTCATCAGCCCCTTGGCAGCCCCTTCCAGATCTTCGAAGTTGGGCAGGCGGCCCTCCTCTTTCTCAAAGCCTGACTTGAAGGCTAAACAACGACAAGGAAACTGGGTCATTCTCCGCCCCAGAATTCAGCATTGCGACCAAAACAATTTTAAAAATTGCTTTATAAGCCAGTCGTGCCTTGATTAGACGTCAACTGGTGAAAGGACCGCGGCAATTTGGAAAGCACGCTACTCAAAAACTAAAACATTGAACTATTTTGCCCTCAGAACTCAGAGACTGAAAGTGTTCAGCTACTTCTTGGAAGGGGGAAGGGCAGGCGGGTGATGGTGTCTCGGGGATCTTCAGCTGTTAAGCAAACCGGCCGTGAAATTGTCACCTTGGGAGTTCTCGTGGGCTTCATTGCTGTGAACCACATTGAGCCACTCAGACTGCAGGCGCTTAATCAACGTGTATGCCACCAGAGGATTAGCCATTGCTGCCACTGGACTGTGATACACATGACTGTGCAGGTCTGCCACCTTCGCATAGAATCTGAAAGGAAAGACAGGATTGATGTGTAAAGGACTTTATCTATAGCACCACATATGAAAGCCTGAGAACAACGGAGTTTCAATTTTTTTTTATATACTGTATAAATTATTTATTCCAAAAGATGAATGACCTTAATTAATGAATTAAGGTCTGTGTCTGTATACAGATACTACTAACTTGTTATACTAGCTGGTTATTAGCTAAAAACTACCTGCAGGTTTGCCTTGCCTACCTAGAATGGCAGGAAAAACGGAAAGCAGAAAAAAAACTGAACCCGCCAGCTACAAAGGCAAAACCCAGCACCTGACAGCTGATTCCCATTTAATAAGTAGCCCCTGAATCCTGCCTTCAAATGATGCGTTTGAAATGCGATATTCCTGGCTGGGTTAGGCCTTAGTCCAATTAACAGATAATGAAGTATGGGCGACAAAGTGTCAGACACAACTAGTAAAATTCATTGAAAAAGAAAAGAAGCCAGCACACAGAGAGCTGGCTAATGAAAGTATACATTGAATAATCAATGGGTCTGAGAGAGGAGGGCTGAATACACAGCAGGAATTGCGATGACCAGGGAAAAGAATACCCTTTTTTTTTAGGATTCAGTTTTGGCTGCTGAGCCGTGCGAGAAGCCATAGTAAAATGTTCCTTTGTGAAGGGAACAACAGAGATCAAGCTCCCTGCTGCTCCCCACAGGACACACTCCTTCAGAGAAGGAGAAAAGAGTACAGGCTGGTGACACATGCTGTTAGCCTGGCTCTCCCTCATGTCCATTGGTTAGTAAATAAGATACCCCAATCCCAATAGCAAGACAGGGGAAACCAGCACAAATACAAGAACACATAAATAAATGAGAGGTACTGTAGGTAACACGGCTAAAGAGTACTTTTTGGGATGAGAGCTTTCTCCTCTTCAGTCATATTCAAAAACCGTTTCCCTTTACTCAGTATAACATGGGTTCTCTCCAAGTCCAAACACCACACTCCATCTAATTCCGCATTTGGGGAAAAAAAACTACGATGCGCACACACACACCATAGCATTTGAGCATATCCTACTCCTTATGCGATGACAGTTGCGTGCCATGACGGACTCGCTGCATCTCACGAAAGCGGCGTGCACAAGTTTTAGATTACACCCGTTTAGGGCTAACGGGCTAGTATGCTTTTCCAATACACAAGAGAAAAGGAAAAGGCTAGTAGTGCCTTATCGAAACACACGCACAAAAAAAACCCGCCTCTAGAATCTAAAACGTGATATTCAATAGTAAACATTATATGACCGAATATTGCCAGAATGCGTGACTTCCATATGATAACTTGATGGTAAATTGTTGTCAGATGTGGTTAACAGCTCTGCAATAGGAATGCAAAGTGATAAGCAAAACGTAAACGGTAAATAGCCTTAGCCACTCTTAACACACAAATCATTCTGAATTTAGCCAAGAAACAGAGAGGGACCCACCTTTTGATGTCATTCAGCCTGAGGGTTTCATCCTCAATATAGGTCCTTAAATGGCTTAGGAGCTCTTTCTCTACAGAAATGGCTTTCTGCACATTAACCACAGAAGTGTAAATTTCACCGAGAGAAGGCGGCACCACAATGAAGTTGATGAAAACCAGAATTTGGAGATTTTTCAGGAAGACAGATATTCCACGGTGTCTGAATAATATTCGATAAGTCATTTTAATTAAAAAAAAGAGTCGCATTAAATACGTTCAGCATAAACGACGAAAACGGATATAAAAAAACATCGCATTTTCCTTGCTAAAAGCCAGTAGTTCAGCACAATGTAAAGCGTTTCTCGAAACCTTTAACAATTACTTTCAGACGTTTTAACTGCAACTCCCAAAACTCCTTGTGGCCAGCGCAGTTCTCTGCAGAAATGTGAGACCACGCAGATGAGGTACTAAGTGAACACAGGAGGTCTAACTGCTATCAGCCCACACTTGCAGGAGACGAATTTATGAGGTCAGAACAAAACAAATAAATGTATATTTATTTAAATTACAGTTTATGGCGTTTTCTGGGACAGGGGCCGAAAATGCTAAAATAAATGTATATGCACTAGTTTTCATATCAAAAAACTGTTATTAGTTTTCTCCATTTGAAACGTTTTTATTTTAAAAACTATATCAATTAGCACACCTTAAAAATGTTAAATTCTAGGACTCCGCCGAATATACCAATAAAATACCCCCGAAATAGTGTTTATTGTTTTAATCAAAATTCATTTGTATTTATTGTTAGGACTCTTGGGAAACCATACATACATATTATACATATTGATGCATCAAAAACCAATCTTTACTATCACACCACTCTTACTCGAAAATCCTTATAACGAGCACTAGATTATTTAATTAATTTATTTTATTTTTAATTTATCAAGGATTCCACTCCTCTATAATTAAAAAGGTAAAATAGAGGTAGGGATATACACGTAGTACAATGCACGCGTTTAAGAGTTGTAATTGTAAAAATACAAACCTGAAACATCACCATCACTAATCGTTTCAACGCGAATAGCAAAACAGCAGTTACACGCGTAATCTGCCGAGGATTGCATTCCGATTTGCAGAGACTTTCACAATCAATTACAGACAATAAATTAAATGATAATAACAAGAGGGTTTAAATGCATCTTGGGGAAAGCAACATACAAAGGTCACCTGGGAAGCAGAGCGTTCCATTTCATTTAACTCCTTCACCTCCAGATGGGGTTAGTGAAAGGATTTACATTTTTTAAAGTGTTTTTTTCAACGGTGTGAATTGGTCTTAATTGAGTTTTACAGCAAAACGTACTAACGTCCAGGAGGAAATAGTAGAATTAGCATATAGAGAACATTCAGAGAGAATCAAGCTTTTTAAATCAATTGTCTCAAACTCGGCTCCTGGAAAGTCAAGCGTCTTTTGTTTTGTTTTTTTTGTGTGTGTTAAATTTAATTAACTGCCTAATTGTAAAACGCCTTGCTACACTACGAGGGGTTTTATAGGTAACTGCACCTTTTATGAAGTGAACGTTTTAAGTAACTGGCTGCATAAGTCGACCATTAAATAAAACATATATACAGAATCTAACTGGGAGAATAGGCAGATGGATAAAATGACTCCTTAAGTTGGAACTCAAACCAAAATGCTGGAATTGGAACAGGTAAAGTTTTATTTCATGCTGAAAGGAAAAGAAAGGAGACACAGGGTTTTGGCTGTGGAGCCTACTTCAGGTGTCCCTTGTCACTTTTCTTGGAAAAAGTACAGGGTACGTTTTTCCATTGTTACTTTACCGCCTCCACAAAAAGCATAATCATAAGTGGTTGTTTAAGTTTCTAATATGTTGGAGTGTTATACCTCAGAAAACAAAATGTAGGTTGTCACAAAAACAATAATTCAATGCTTTTGAAGTGCTTAACTGTTTCAACTTTACTTGAAACATTTCTTCCAATAGAATCGCAGTCATCCTGCACTAGAGCTGCTAAACAGAATACGATTGTTTTCCCTGTGCTGGGTTTTTTGTATTGACAGACTTGAAACACATCAGACAACAGCATTACAATTTACATATATATGCCGCCAGCCTGCTAGTAATCGAAATCTAAATCAAAAGCTTCCTCTACATTTGTAATCATTCCCCTCAAGTGCATTTCTCATGAATAATTAGATCCAAAAGTATCTGTATCTGAAATATATGCTGTATATCTATCTATCTGAGGTTCTTAATCTGTATCTTAGAACCTCCCCACACTTTTAAAATGTAATATTCAATTGTTTGCACACTTGATCAGTTTGTGTAAGTGGAAACTGAAACACCTGAGCTACAGTAAATGCATACTAATAAAGTCTTGAAAATGTCATACTGACACAAAATTAATGTGTGTTGACTTAAATTGTTATGCCTATTCTGCACACATCTCCATTGGCTAAACTAAACCACCAAAGCAGAATTCGATGTGTCTGACAGTCCTGCTCTCCCTGTCTTCCACTGTTTGTCTATAAACCCTTTAAAAAAACCAAAGCAAAACCAAGGTTGTTTCACATTTTTAAGTAGACACGGAGTAGAATTGTTCCTTAGACGAATTGAAAACACCCTTCCCTTGATATGAGCCCAGGGAGATGAATAATGCAAATTAAAAAAATAATAATAATAGAATTACAGGCTCTGTGTGGAGCTTAGATACAAACACAGGCACTTTCCCCTAAGTCGAGCAGTGAGAAAAATAACCTGCTTTCAAATGCTGAGTCATTGTTTAGCTCATGTAACACTACATTCAATTGTTTTCCTTAATGGTCTGGGATAAACTGCACAGAGTCTGATTGGGAGTTAATTAAGACGCTGTTTTCTCACACTGTTTTCACTAATTGCAGAGCCTTCATGTATATTTTGTAACCAAGAGCTGTTGTTATGCAACTCTTCATTAGAGTAGTGTTCGATTCCCTGAGCCATCATCCTTTTTCTTTCTTGAATGATTACAACATCTTTAACATGTGTTTCTGTAACCCCTTAAGCCAAATGAATCATCTTTGAAAGTAAAGCCTACAATGTGGATCCTCTGCAAGGAATATGTTTCTACATGTTTCTTCACGTGAAATTGTGTGCAAAATCTAAAAAAGAGAGCAAAAAGCATTCCTCTCAGGTTTTCTAGTAAAAATGTTAAAATGTCAGCTATAGATACTTTTGGATTTATTTATTCATGAGAAATGCACTGGAGGGGGACAATTACAACTTAAGAGCAAGCTTTTGATTTCGACATAGATTACTAGCAGCCTGGGAGCATGTACTGTATATATAAACTCTAACCCTAGAATATATATTCATTTTTGAAAGACAGGAACAGACTAATGAAACAAAAATAAATGATTGCAATAATAATAATTAGATGAGATTCCTTTCAGGTAAAATTAAGTCAATTTGCAAAAAGGACTTATTTCAATGAAATATGTTTACAGTATATTATAGTAGATATAGTAGATAAAACACCATTTTAATAGTATTACCCACAGGCACAAAAAGCACAATTAGGGACAGGTGTTATGGGTTGCATTAGTTTTTTATCTACTCAGATTCAAAGGGAATTTTATTCATTTGTTGAAGACTGGAATACAGAAAAGGCTGAAGAGTATAATTGAAAAGCTAGCTGTCATTCTCATGACATATAAATTAAGTATTCATTAATGTACTATCATACATTCAAGGCATATTTGCGGCATTTTGCTCCTTTGAAAGTGAGTTCTCTCGGCTGGAATTTTGCAATATTTTCTGGAAAGCTGGTTAGGCAGTTGACCTAAAGGTAAGCCTAGGGGGCAGAATTGCTATATAAATGACAAGGGTGAAAAATTACACTTTTCTGCACCAAAATCATGAAGCACTGGTTGGAAAAATTTAAATTGAAGCATAAGGCGAAGCCTTTCATTGAAAGCTGTCGAGCCTAAAGAGCGCCAAAACCTGAGTTTAGCAACAAAAGCAAAAATTAAAGACAAAGGACATGTTTTCTTTTCATTTTTTTAATTCTAGATGTGATATTATAGAATCTGTTAGCAATGAAAAAAACCCACACTTGCTGTTAAGAAAGAAAATTTAGTTTTACCTGCCCAAATTGATATTTTAAAATCTCCAAATAATTTTTCCACCCTCAGCTTTTGAATATAAAACTCTTCCTCTACGTTCCTCGCTAGCATAGAGGCTATGCAGCAACAACAACAAAAAAAACATTATTGCAATCAACCAAGCATTAATTCCTGTTCATACCTTGTGTTGGCATAAAAAAATAAGATGTACAAGCTTTCCTTATGTATTTTTTATTTATTGATTTACCACAACATCATGGCATCAGAAAAATCTGGCTTTCCATTAGTGGAATAACAAACAAATCAGATGATAACATATAAATATCTTGACGTACCTCATTTTCTTTAGAAACACTTGGTTTCCCTGGTGATCTTTGACAGAAAATCTTGTCTCGTATTACTAAGCGGTTACCTGAGGGATTATGGGACATTTTTATTGGAACAGCACAGCATGGCTCTCTTCATGCGAGTTCGGAGTTTCTCGTCTCGGACGCCATATATCAGTGGGCTGAGGAAGCGGGGCAGAAGAATGAAACAGAAGTAGTTGAAGAAGGAGATGTGTTCCTTCAGCCAGCCCACGTGAAGCACTATCAGGCTCTCAGTGATGGGATGCGTGAAGGACATCATGCAGAGGAGCAGCTGGATTCCATGCAGTATCACAGTGTGCAGGGCTTTCTTCACAGAGGCTCTGTCGGAGTGCATTTTCCTGGCCTTCAGCAAGATGCGGATGTAGGTGTACAGGATGACGACAGCGACTAGAGCAAAGAACAAGACGTTCATAGTGACTTTGAACAGCGTTTGAGTGGGGGAAGAGTTAAGGACCTGTGACTTGCAGAGTACAGGGGTCGAGTACACGTCTATGTCTGAATAAGACCCAGCTAGAGCAAAATCGACGGCAGGAAGGATGCAGCTGATCAGCCAAACAGCTCCCATCACGATCCAGGTCCTGTCCACTCGGCAGATCTCCGGGTGCCGCAGGGGGTAACAGATGGCCACATAGCGCTCCAGAGACATGGTGGCCAGGATGAGAGGCGTGTTCTGGAAAGTGGCGGTGGAGATGAACAGCAGGGGTGTGCAGAACACGACAGCAAAGCGCACGTTGGTCATGACGAAGAGAAAGAGCAGCACGGAGAACAGGAGCTGGGCGGTGTCGTTGATCAGCATGTAGGCAAACAACACGTAGCGGGAATTCTCCCAGAACTGTCTGTGCGAGGCGAACGTGAAGAGCATCAGAATTATGAAGTACAAAAAGGTGCAGAAAAGGGGGGTGACCACACAGATCTTTATCACAACTGACAGACTGCTGGCAGGAGAGGTCACATTGCTTGGGAGAGCAGTTGAATTCTGCATGGCTTAGGCACACATGTAACACACAGGGCCAACCCTGACTTTCTTGTGTTTTATGTGGCCCAGAGAACCTACAAAATAAGCATTATAGTCATTATCCAGATGACAGAAATTGAAAACATTATTTTTGTAAAGAATTGACGTTTCACAGTCCCACTCTCGCCTCTATTTTAATTGTTAGAAGACAGTCTCTTGTATGCTATAGAGAAGGCCTTTATAAATATGCACAGAATTAGGAATGATATTTATGTTTCTTGTTGATTTATTGTATTTCCTAAGATTGAATCATTTTCAGATATAAATATTCATTAATTTCCTAACAATTATCACTTGCTTGGTGCCTTTAAATATGATTCATATTTACTGATACTTCCAGGATACCAAATTCAATTGCATAGAAGCTTTGCACCATGCCCTTTGTTCCATTTGTTTTTTTTTCCAAATCTCACAAGCTTGACTAAAACAACTAAAATAATTTTCTCATTTGAAAGAAAGTCTGTTCAATTTAGTCTTATGAATTGTATTGAATGAAACATTGAATCTGAATAAAACAAAGAATAAGAAATGATTATAGTGTACAATAAAATACATATGTTGGTGTCCCTTAAGAGTCTCTAAGATGATTTATATTAGTAGTTTAGGTAAGCTTTGCTTTAAGTAGACTTTAATTATCTTTTTCAAGATGGATTATTGAATTGGTGTAGATGCAATTGTGAATAATGCAAACGATTGTGAATAAAGGAAATAATACATTTTTAGAATTAAACAAGTCTTTTCTTAAGTTTCCCGTTGTGAGTAGATTGATTACATGCATCTTGCTGCATTTTAGCAATTTAAAATGGTTTTACTATTTTTTGGTACTTTAATGGTAATTACTAAATTTACACCAGTGCTAAATCTTCAGCTTTTTGTTCGTTATCGCCAGCCATCTTACCTTCGTGTGCCCAGTGAAGAATATAATAACTGAGTTTCAAGTTTGTTCAACTTTTATATGATAGTGCCCTAAAAGACCTGCAGGAAATGCATCCTCTTAGGAAACATATTCTTTAGTCTGTATGATGTTGTTTTTCCTCATGGGGTAAATTAATTTCATGCTATAGTCACAATCCATCATTTTGATAATTAGTACTGATGGAAACAACAGCAAAGAGATGTTAGTTATGGGAGATAAGGAATAGATCTCTTTTGGAACTGTGGGTAAAAAGACCAAGGAAAGGATTTGTACTCTAAGAATGGTTCACAGCTGTCTCAGAATTATGTATTCAGTTTGAATTGGTATCACATCACGGTGCCCCATGAGCAACTCAGATCAGCACACGTATTAGTATTAAAGTAATACTTGTTAACAACAGTAACATGAACAAGCACACTGTTGATGGAAAAAATGTTGTTTTGTTTTTACCACTAACTTTAGTTTTTTGCTTTACTATTATTATTCACTGTTATTGGGTTAAACAACCCTATTAAAATGCTTTAACCTTTTTTTTTTTATAGAGAGACCATAATGAATGCTGAATTTAAAACATTTAAATTTTTATTTGATTTTTGTGCTTAAATAATTTGGCTTTTTACAAGCAATGGTATATATTTAATAATACTACAAATTTGGTGTTGGTTTAGCATTGTTTTGACTAGAAGAACAGAGGAAAGGTTAGAAATGAAAGGAGGCTGTTAGACCCATCTGGATTGTTGGTTGCTAGTAGATAGTTGACACACAGTAGATCTAATGGTCTTATCTAGCCATTGTTTAAAGGAAGGCTTATCTGAAGGTTATAAATATATATACAGTATAAGTTGTAAGATCCAGGAAGCATGATGATCTCACCTTCAGCATCCGTGAAATTTTAAGTTTCTATTTGAATTTTCTACATTTAGAAATTTAAGAACAGTTTTGGCAACAGTACATTTGTATTAAAAACAAATAAAAAAAGTAAGAACGTTTTTCAAAACTTCATGTTCCTTACAGCTTTCTTGGTAAAAACTTAAACTTTCTTTCCAGGGGGGTATCCTGCCTTGTGCCCGTTGCTTGCCATAAAAGGCTCTTGCTTCATTAGAAAATGGATGGATGTCTGTTTTCTCAGGTTGCATGTATAATTAATACATGTTTGTAAAAACCACCAGGTATTAATTTGAAACAAAAATAACAGCAAATATTATTTCAGTTTTTAAAATGTGTTTTTTCTTCACCTGAACATTTTTTACAAACTGAGTAAAAACTGTTTTAATTGCATTATTTCTAGCAATTTAGTTCTGCATTTTCTACCAATATAATGATGAGAAACTTAACCTGCACTAACCTTTTTCTAGTTAAAGGCAGAACACACCAATCAGAAAATGTGAAACTCAGTTAGACTAAGTTCAAGATAAATCCAAATGTTTTGGATTATTATTGTTAACTTTTTGTTCCATTTAAATTAAAATTAAACTAAAGGCCTAACATTTGGAATTTTATTTTAAAATTTAACCAAAACAGGTTTTACTTTCTTAGAACCACACATAAAATAATATTTAAAAAGTGGACGAAAGCTCTCGTCTCTCAGACCGTATATAAGTGGACTTAAACATCTGGGAAGGATGAGAAGAACCACAAAGTTGAGGTACCGCAGGTGAATGTAGACAGACACAGTCATCCTTGCTAACAAGGCCTCTATCACACCATACAAGGAGGAAGTGAGGCACAGACCCAGCTGAACTGCGTGCAGCAGCACTGTATTCCTGGCCTTTGTTGCTGAAGCTCTGTCAGAGGAGACTGACCTGGCCTCCAACATTATTGCCACATACGTGTAAAGGAGAATGACTCCCACTGCTACAAAATAGAAAGTGTTGAATCCTTGATACATGTCTGCCTGCCATTTAGACATGAACAGCTTTTCACGTGTGCAAAACATAGGAATTAGGAAAAGTGTGGGCTCAGTTTTTAGCAGAACCAATACGTCTATTATGGGGTTTATAGAGCCAAGAATCCAAATTATCCCTATGGCAATGCAAGTCCGTTTAGGAGTCGCTATTTCACTGTGTCTCAGAGGGAAGCAGATGGCTATGTAGCGCTCAAGAGACATGAGAGCAAGGTTCAGTGGGGAGTTTTTAAGAGTGGTACTGGATATGAACAAAATAATGGTACACACGGCCGTAACTAGGTACAGATACGCTGTTGCAAAGATGTACAGCAGGACACTGGTCAGCAGCTGGACGGAGTCGTTGAAGAGCATGTGGGCAAACAGGATGTAGCGGGAAGACTCTCTGAAGGTGCTTTTGCTCCTCAGGGTGAACAGCATGATGCCGTTCACATAGATGAAGAAAAAACATGCTGACACAGCTAGAGTCCCTTTTATTCCAACCACCCAGTTAATTTCTATCCTGATTTCTTGTTGGTGCACGAAGTTGTTCACTAATGAAATATTTGTCAGCTCCATAGGAAGTTTCCCTGTTAAAAGAAACAGAAAATGGGTTTTATTTTTTAATCACACATTTTATGCTTCTCTAGAAATGCTACCAACAACTGTTAGTCACTATTAGTGCATTATTTTAGACTGAAAAAAGAGACCTACGAATTGTATTTCATCACCTTTGTAAAAAGTGCAATATATTGAATTTATAAAACCAATGAATACATACCAAATCATTCTCTATAGAAAGACAATATACCCAGCATGAAAAAAAACTATTTTAACATTTAATTAAACTATTAAGAAGTAAAATACATTTATAAAACAGTGAAATATAAACCTCTGAATATATTTTATTATTTGGGTTACTCTAAGACAATACTGGTATAAGAATATTTGTAAGGAGGTCCGTACCTTTCAGTTCATCCAGCTGCAATCAACGAGAAGAGCTGACAACTCACTCTGTGGTTCTCTAGACATAGTGGAGATGAACACGTGATTTAGTTGTCATCACTGACTTAATGTGCTCAGCATCGTGAGTAGCCATGGCAGTGATGTGACAGGTGAGGGTGATTAATAATTAAAGACAAACAGAGCCCTGGAAAGCAGAGTGGGTGATCTGTCCCATTGGCTGCAGTCTAGGGAAGAAAGTGGTAATTGGAGTGACTTGAAACAGCTAAAGATAGAGGCAAATGAGAGGGGATTCTTGTTTGTCTCACACTTAGAAGATTGATGTGCCCTGAGTCTTGGGAATCTTTTCATTTAATTTGAAGACCCTAGTAAATAGCCTACTGGCCTTTTCAGTTATATTAGAATGAAGATTTTCAATAAAGTCTCTCTGTACCAAATCATTTTAGATTTTTGTCTTTTTTTCCCCATTTGCGGTCATGAGATACGTCTTCGTGAGCTCTGAGCGAGAATAGAAATAGAAATATAGGGATGTCCACATTTATTCAAAATCACAACCATTTATAGGCTCAGTTTCCAAAATCAAATGAATGCCTTTATGCAGGCAATCTGGAATGGGAAAAAGGCCTTTTATATGTTTAGTAAAATACAAATATTTTTTCTCCAATGTTTAAAAATAATATTAAGTGTGCACACCAGAAGACAAATTAGGGCACACTGAGAAGGAAATCCTAAGAACCTCGCTGTATACATATGAAGGGGATATCTTAGCTGAAAAGGGCAAAGGTCATGGTCCTTCACACAGTTTCAAAATAATAGGCCCTGCCTCTAGAACACAGCAACACTTCCTTCCGATCAGACAGATTATGTCCAAGTCAGTCCTAGAATGTTCTGTAATGTTTGGTTTGTAAATACCAGGATGAAATAACATGCCTTTTTTGGTAGCTGAAAAACAAATTACTCTGCAATATATAGTTATAGTATATTGACATTACCCTCTTCTCTTCATAGCTTGTATAAATTAGTATGAATCTATATAGCTAAAGCTACCCTAAAAGCAATGTGAAATTTTGAATACCAATCTGTGTTGCTGAGTCAATAAAAGTTTGTTCTAAGGGAACTCCACTGAGTAACACTGTGTGAATGCATCCTACAGCATGACACCGTCTGCTGGAAAGGGTATTTCCAAATCTGATATGTCTGTGTTTGCTTGGAAACAGAGGAATGGCATGCCTTTTGAATTGTATAATGTCAAAAACTCTGAATTTCTGGACATCGTTAGAACCTGTGAAAGGAAGTGCGCTCTTCCACGGAGTTTTCATCCAGCAGTTGAAAGAGTTTGTGAGGTGCCGCTGGAGAGCACCCTGGGTGATGAAATGCAGGGGGGGATTGTGGAGGACTTCATCCCTGTGCAGCAGACTTACGCAAGTCGGTAGAAGGGAGAGAGGGCTGAAAAGCTCAAGTGCATGGTTAAAAGGTTTGCCGGAATTCCCCTGCTCAGTCATTAGTACATCATTAATTATTAACCACAGTTGTGCAGAGTGAGTCCACTGCTGAATTAGGTACCTTGCTTGTTGTTTTCTTTGGCAAACAATGTTTTTCAGTCGCTGCTATGCACTGAATCTCTTGCTAACAGCAGGTTAGAGAGTACAATGATGTAATGCTCCAAGACACTTGTGGCTACAGTTTTGTGGCATACGAGAATATGTCATGGAATGGTGACCCCTAATTTTTGCTTTGCACCGAGAAATTTCAAAGGGTGATCCCTCTTGTCTTCCAGGTTCTTTTTATCTCCCAGAACCACCAGTGAACCCACAGTTAATCCCTGATTCTAATTAGTGCCTATAAAAGATCTGCTTACTGATTTAGTTCTTGTTTCTTGGTTTTTGAATTAGAATGTTATTTTTTAAGAACTTCAGAACACAGATCTTTATGCAGTGTCTCCTCAAGCTGGTAATTAAGTTTGTTTACTTCTGGCTGTAATAGCTGTTAATAGGACATCAATTTCTGATTAAAAGTCACATTTGGGAATGACAATTTATCATCCCACAGTGAGTGTTACTTTATTCCTTATGTTTAGTCTAGTTGGTTATATTTGAGCAAATATACCGGAATGAAGTGTACTTATAAAGTCAGAAATTGGTACTGTACTAGTTGACAAACCACATAAAACAGCCTGAAGGTTTAAAAGAAGAATTTAGAAAAGTGCCAGACCATAAACCAGAAAAAAATATCTAAATTGGTAACTGTTCTACAGTATAGCAATGTTAAACCTTAATGATTACAAAATGGATATTTTATGTTTTAAGTTTTTGTTCTTATCATTAAAGTCAGTTTTGGAGGTATAACATGGAAAAAAAATGTTTATTTAAGACTTGAAAATATCTGATGGGTTATGATTATCCTCTGAAATGCCTAGATTGAACAAAGCGTAATGTTAATGCAGACTGATCTTGTTAATAACATTTGACTAATCAAATTTATTTTTAAAATTAAGATATTTGTAAAGCAAAGCACTTGGTCATTTACGTATGGATTTCACAGTAAATACCTGCGTAGCCTGAAGGAATCTCAATAATTCATGTTTGTATAAACTAATGACGTAGAAAGAGGTAAAGTGAGCCTCAATTTATACAATGATCCAGTTCCTTCAATTTATCTGAGCTTTTTTGTGTATTTTTATATTTTTGGTACATGTTGCAATTGATCTTGTGTAATATATTAGTACATTTGGTAAATATTTTCTAAAAGAAATGCCTAGTACGATCATAAATTCTGTGAGGCTCTGAGCACCCTCAACCTCAGGACATTTGTTAAATGATTCAATAAATTATTATTTAGACACAAGAATGCAGTTTTTCTTTGCCTTCCTCTAAACAAATACTAGTATAATCATTTTTGGAAAGAAGGGAATACCTTTCAGTTTATCCAGCTGCTACCAAACGAGAGCTGTTGACTCACTTTGTGTTCCTGCAGACATAATGGACTTAGTGGACATTGCTGAGCTAATGTGAACAAGCCCTTATCTCCCCTGAGCCGTTAATGAAGACATCAAGAAGAACTGTGGCAGTGATGTGACAGGTGAGGGTGATTAATAATTAAAGACAAACAGTTCAAGTTCAAGTTTATTTGTCATGCCAGCCATATTCAAGGATACAGTGGAGCGAAATATTGTTTCTCCTGGTGCACGGTGCAATTACAGACAAGACACTGACTATTACAAAATTCACTCGGTTTGCCTAAAGATGGTGAACACCTTGTCTTTTAAAGTGCTTAGCATAAAACCCCAACATTTTGATTGTGTTAAGGACTGTGTAATTAATTCACTTCGGAAACTCTTTGAACTTTTTGTGCTACTAGTGAAAAGGTTTGTGAGGTGCCACTGAAGAGCACCCTGGGTGACGAAATGCAGGTTGAAGCTTACGTAGCCCCTGGGCTGTCAGCTGGGACTGGGAGACAAGTTTGAATTGGTGCATGGTTAAAGGTTTAGTAAATAGTCCCCTGTTCAGTCATTAGGGTATCATTAATTATTAACTGCAGTTGTGAAGCATTGAGTTCAGTGCTGAAATAAGGTGCCTTGCTTGCTATTTTGTTTGTCTCTGAGTGACTGCTATGCACTGAATTAGTATGTCAACACTGTTAATCTTAAACTGATGTTTTATGATTATTAGCTTTTTCCATTTTGCATCTTATTTACATAGTTAATCCAGGAACAAAGCCTTTATTAAAATAGAAGAGTCTTTTTTTAAAGGAGATCTAGGCATGGCAGGTGGCACAGTAAATAGGATTTCAATCCTATTTAAGGATATTGGCATGACTGGATTAATAGCCATATAATAATTCACTTGCATCTACAGATGTGGCAGTAACTCCAAGGTTAGGACACCTGCTCTGCAAAACAAAAATGCTGTTGAACTAAACATCTACAAATACCTTTTTTTGTGTCCTTATCTGAAAGACAATGCATTTTATCTCTGTCTATCAATGGGCATGTTGTACATAAAAATAGTACATAAAAAACACCCCTATATAAACTCTTAAAACTGGAAATAAGGCATCCTTCCCTGTTATTAAAGAGGAGAATATATATACAGTATTGAAATGTTCGATACCGACTGATTCACTTGCATTTCCTTCACATTTCAAATGGGCAGGAAAATTTACGGAAGCAACATGGTTTCATGATTGTCCAATGTATGATGAACTGATACACAGGAGACATGTGATGACTCCAGTATTGTATGATAACACAGACCAAGAGAAGAGACGCCGGGAGGACACACTGGGCCTAGACCTCTTTAAATGTTTACTTTTCTGCAGTTGCAGAGACAAGTGCTGTGTTACACATAAATGATTTTGCAGCTGTTTCGCAGAAAAAGTATGATGCTTACTGTGACATACTGTTACTCATTCACCTGCTATTTTGTTTTAGTCCTTAAGTAGAATTCAGAGGGCAACGTTTTAGCTATTGCTTCTGAAATAACATTTAAACCAGAACTGAATTTTAATTGCATGAATTCTGAAAAAACGAATTATTTTATCCATCCATCCATTTTCTAACCACTCCTTTTGATTCAGGGTCGTGGGGAGCTGGAGCCCATCCTGGCAAACAGCTTGTGCAAGACGGGGTACACACTGGACTAATCATTTTATGAGTGATACAAAAAAGTTAGGAGTCTCCGTCACACCCTCTACTTCTAGAGGGTGCTCCTTCTCAACTAGTTCAACTAGTTCCTAGTTTCCCTGTGCTTTGCTTGTCCTTCCGGTGTGTCTTTGTGTGGGGCTATATATTTCTGGGTCACCCTTTGCTCCCCGCTCAGCATTGAGGGTTCGGATGTCTTGAGACCCGCCTAGCACCAGGTCGTCAATTCTGCTGCCTGAGGGCATAGGTTTCTATCTGACATCGTCTGACGCCGTGAGCCAGGGCTAACCTCTGTGTTGCCCCTTTTTGCCGCTACGCATAGGGTCTACTACTACTACTGCTCTCTTTGTCATTTCACGGCATGCCCTTCCAACATCCGTGACAGTCTAAAGAAAAGTTAGATTAGAACATATTTAAGTCAGTTGCTTTTATCAACGATGTTATTGCAGAGGAGGAGGGCAAGACACACACTGATATTACCACCATAACTTTGCTTCTTTTGCTCTTGGACAATATATGTTGCTCTTTGTTTTTTCCCATTTCTATTTCTTTGTAGGTATCTGAATGTTTCAAAGATAGTCATTCATACCAATATTTGACCCACTCAGCACTGCAGTAGGGTGTAATATTACCACAGTATTAACGGTGGCTGTGTGATGTGCCCTTTCTCCAGTGACAGTGAGACACGATTGTGTTCACCTGTTCACCTCTCCCTCATACTTGAGGATTTTTTCTCAATGTTTTTGTTGTTTGGCTAAATTATTCAGGTGAAAAATCAGGCAGAGTACACCTTACATGATATATAACAAGGAGGATGCTACAATAAAATCACACAACACAAACGTGTCTTTCATGAAATACATTGTAGGTTTATTAGGGTAATATCTTCTGATGTATTACAGTAGTTTTGACAGCTTGTGAGATCAAGAGACAACAGTTTGGACAGGTTAAAATCATGAATTGTAGTGGCAGAAGGTTATGGTAAAAGGCAAGACTGTTTTTGGGAAGAGAGAGGAGATGAGAAGCATGAGTGCCCAAAAAGTTTTGATGTTCACTTCTCGGGCAGCTGTAGAGAAGAAAGCTGTGCAACTGTTGTGGCTCTCTAACAGCCCACCTTCTTCACCACCATATTGTGAGATAAGAAGAGGCTCAAAATTAAAGCAAACATGAATCCATTTTCAAACCGCTTCTTCCAATTCAGGGTCATGGGGGAGCGGGAGCCTATCCCAACAAGCAACACATGCAAGGTGGGGTACAGCCCGGATGGGATGGAGCACCTGGTTGAAAACCCATGGGAACACAGGGACAACATACTGTACAAACTTCACACAGACAGTGGAACATTATTGTAGCCAAAGAGAAAAACCAAAGCTCTTCAAGACGATTCTACTCCAGTGGTTTCCAGTCCCGGTGACCAACACGCCTGCTGGTTTTCATTCAATCCCGCCTTCATTAGGTCATTGAAGACTTAATGGATCTAAGAAGTTACTTCATTTGGAATATTTACATTTTGTTTCTAGTCACAAGGCTGGGATTTTACTTCACTTACAAAATACGATGGTTAAAGCTCCAACATGTTTAAGAGAAAAGAACCAACAGTTCAAATTAATCATATTATTATGAAGTCAGTGAAGGGTTTGATTGTGTAACTGAACTGCTGGAACACAAACCAGCAGGGTGTGTGATTCAATAGGACCAGGAGTGGGAACCACTACACCAAACTCTATTTCAAGGCGACTTCAAGATAAAATGCCATTTGAAGACTGGCATGTGCTTAGATGTTCCAGATGTCTCCTCCGGTCATGACTAAATGGTCTCTAGACAAGACTCTTTTGGTTGAACTGTATAACAATTGCTACACAATGTTAACATGAGCAAACATTTCCAAGCCTAAGCATATCTTATACTGTGCAGTAACCACATGTCTATACTGTACACAGAAATGAACAATGTTCTTAGGCTGTGGGTGCAGTCCCAATTTCAGTGTTTTGTTCCGTTTTAATACTGCAGTTGTAATATGTAACACCAATGGAATTATAAACTAGAGAATGCTCATCTATAGTTTTGAGGTTACAGTTATTAAAATTAGGGAAGACTCTGGAATACTTCCAGAGTATATATAGTATGACTTAAATGTACCTCTAATGTAATAAACAATATATTAGACACAAATATTGACAGACTAACACTTAATAAAATGTTCTTAACTAAAATGGAACTTACTTATGCCTAATTACTGTATCTATACAGTTCCTGTCGTTTTTTTTCCCATATAATCATATTTAATACATGCTTTTTAACCAAGTTTTAAAACACTTTTTATTCTAAACATAATTGTATTTTTTCTTGCTTCAAATATTTAAAATATCTTGATTAAAAATGTAGGCACACTGTGGAGAGTGTTTTGTTTAGTCCAAAAGAGGTGTAATATTTGAAAGCCAGGAAGAACTTTTCATCCCTCAAACCGTAAACAAGTGGACTTAGGCATCTTGGAGACAAAATGAAGGCAATGAAATTGAAATACCTCAGGTTGACAAATAAACCAACGTCAATCTCAAACACGGCCGCTTCTACGAAAGGACACCACATTTCAATTAAACAGAGGAGAAGCTGCAGAGCATGCAGAATCACCGTCCTGCGACCCCTCAATACGGACTTCCTATTGTCTGCAGAAGCGGCTTTCGCTGTAGCAAGTATTTTCAAGAAGGTGAAAGCAATGGTAATTGTCATGACAAAGAAATAGAACTGATACAGTGTGGATATGAGATAGGACTGCCACTTGTGTCGAACCATTATCACGACGCTGCAGACCGTACGTTCCTTATAAAAGCTAACTGGCACTGACGCAACAAGAATAAAGAGAACAATAAAATGAGGTAAAGAACCGAGGGCAAAAATGATCAGAATGCAGGCCAATGCCCTTCTCGGAGTCGAAATATCTGCGTGTCTCAGAGGAATACAGATGGCTATGTATCGCTCTATTTTACTATTTTACTTAAAATATGTATTTTAAGTTAAATAGTGTTATAGTAGTTTTAGTGTCCTGTGTAGCCTTATAAGTGTATAGCCTGTTGTTAACGAATTACCACCCTAACGATTGTGCGTGTTCCGTCGGTCTCCTCATGTGTGTGTATATCCTGTGGTTGGTTTTTGTGTGGTTTCGATAGGAGAATAAAGCAGTCGGTTGGTTTACTATTGCGTCTCCACTTGTCCTTTGTCCTGAGGGAACCTGAAAACGCTTCAATATCAATGGTTAATTTCTTAGGATGATACTCATTTAACATCTTAAAAGTACCTTTAGTTTTCAACCCTGCACTACCATATTGGAAAGCATGGAAGTGTTAAAACTGTTTGCTTTTCGTTTTTCATGCTATGCAAGTACTGCGTTTATGACTTGAAAGAGTTAAGTTAAAGCAGTGAAGGTGAGGAATCTTGTAATAAAGTGTACTGCTATAACCTAGACTTAGCCCATGATATCGACATTGCAGTCGATTCATGAAACTGCAGACACTAGCTGAGTAAATATATGCAGATGTTTAGAATGGACAGTTATAGACATACATATACTGTATATCATGGGCATGTAGTCCATTCTATTCCCAGCAATCCTGTTACCTCTTTAGTCAGCTGAGTGACTGGAGAAATAATGCTAAAGTAACATGTTTAAGGGTGGGCTGAAATCCACAACGCTACCAGTATAGGTCCAGAGTACTGCTGCATTCGGGACGTCTACACAGTACTGAACACAGTTTATTTTTCAATATTGAATGCCAAAAAAAAACTACATTAAAAATCAGTAGCTCACATAGTGTAAAACAAACTAGTATTATTGCCACATTTTGTAGATTTTTTATAGGAAAGCAAAATGTTATTAATAGTATTTTTTGTGGTGTGTGATGTATCAATCTTGTTTATTGAGTTAATGATTGTATAAAATATAAAATAAAATAAATAAACAATAAAATATCATGTTTTGAAAATGTCTACTCTTAATGAGTGCTCCGTAATGAAATTGAGTCATTACTTTTAAGTGTGACTGTCCAAATGGCTACTGGTCAGTGCTGTGTTTAGATTCAGGCTGGTTAGCATTCATAGATGTGCTAAATACTCTTTCTAAATCAAGAGTTTGAAAGTTTATTGAACTTTTATTCACAAAAGAATGAGAAATATTAGATCTTTTTGCTGATGAATGTTGCCAGGTGTTGATATACAGATGCAGCCATTCAAAACAAACGGGCGATACCGCATTATAACGTGGTGCGCTTGTCGCAGTATAACTCAAGTTACTGTATAATACCGTATTAATACCATATATATTAATACCGTATATAAAGTAAAATAATAGTATCCGGAATTTCCGCAAGGTGGAGCTAATAAAGCTCAACCTCTCATGTACAGCGTTTGAGCTGTCGCCATCAAAGTCTTTACCGAAGATATTTCTAATGTAATTTCACATGTTAGTTAAATACTTTGATGTTTAAAATGTTCATGGAGAAATGGAATACTGGTGTGTGTTTTTTCTTTAAAGTACAGAGACCAGCCATACACAGTTTACATAATACTGTATGTTTATGTTCCAAAATTAATATTGTTTATGCCCTTCATATGTGTTATGCTCCTATTCTTTTTATGCTCAGCTACTAAAATTTCCCTTCAGTGGTAAAATTCCATATAAATATTCAATACTAAAACATGCACAGTAAAGACATTTAAATATTTCCACGCACCACGAGTGCCCTGGTCGGTCATTTTGGCCAACCAATCATGTACCGCGGTATGATGCCTGATTACGCGTGATGACGCGTTATGATGTAGCCAAATGCCTGCGGTACATGTTTGTGCCGCACACTTTGAATGGCTGCATTTGTACTGTAGTCCCACCTAGGAACATTCAAATGCTAGTGAATAATTTGTTCGGACTTGGTCACCACAATCCACTCAAGATGTTGCTACAGTAAGAGAGCAGTATGTATAGATATGATTGGGCGGGGGGGGTCAAGCTGTCCTCTGTCACCTGACCATTTGGAGAAAGACAATTGGTTGGGTGACATTTAAAAACCAGGAAGCAGAGGCCTCCCGTTCGTTATCAAAATCATCCGAGAGAGTGAACCTTTGTTATGTGCTACACCATTTTCCATTGAACTCTGAGAAACATGGTCCTGACAAGAGCCTCCATCTTGTCTCCATCTGCCACCTTCTAACTCTAGTCTGAAACCTGTCCAGAGAAGAGGAACCAGATACATTCCTGGGTTCAAAGAACTGTCCTACACTGTTAGGCTATAAGACTTGATTCTTTTTTATCCTAGAGCAGCAAGATCTAGGAGGGAACTTCTTTTATAGGGACAACCCTATTGACTTCTTCAGAATTAACAGTGAAACATGAACCAGTGAACACCAATGGAAACCAAAAGAGAGAGCATGTACAACAAAGCAAGAGGCAGTACTTCGAAAAAAGGTTTATGGGAGCCTGGGACAAACCACTCAAGCCATGTTGTTTCCTGACAGCTAGGTTGCTTACCAGATTCCAAACTCAAATTCCTATTAGAGACCTCCAAAAAATGACAATACCTCATCACTCCATGGAACCTGGTATGGTGTGGGTGTCTCGACTTCCTCATTTTTAAATTGCCACCTGACCAGTTGTCTGCTCCCAAAAGGTCAGGTGAGTGAGGGTCACAGGACATTCCTGCAGCTTCCTGGGGAACGTACAGTATTGCAGAGCAGAGCTTCCGTCCTGCCTGAACTGGCCACCTGTTCCGCATTCCGCACGCGCCTCTGCCCAGTCTCGCATTCTCAGCCTTGTGATTTGGATTGGAACTCAGTGTTCTCTCTCTCTCCTGAGTCCTGCACGGGATCCATTCTCTCTTTTCTGCATCCTAGTTACACCACCTCCTCATGGTTCTGGAGCTTTTGTTTAATATATACCAAACTCCCAACACTTCATGTTTACAGTTTTCACAGGATGGCTGTTGGAACAGGCCAGCTTAAGTGACAGGAGCTCGATAAGCTTTTCACAGACTTGAAATGGAGAAAACTTGAGATATTTAAAGAGAATACTTTATTGTAGGAGCAGGTGATGGTACACAGCACAGAAATCAGGTGAAGCTCAGATATCCCAGACATTTCCTTCTTCCCAGAGGTCATAAGAATGACTAGATGTTATGCTCTCGAGAAGACAGCAATGTTTCAAAAAAAAAAACCCAAATAGTTTTTCTCCAGTTTAAATACTTAATCCAGAATGATTGGGAAGTGTTAAGTGTTCTTTAAGGTGTTATGAATAATCTTATGTATTCATATAGATTCATATGAAAATGAAATTTTCTCAGTAGGCACAATAGTTTTAAAAGTTATAATACTGTAATTTTTTCAACTGGTTTCCTATTGCTAGCCAATGAGTCAATGGAGTGTTAACAGCTAATTAGTCTATGAAGTAGTGCTTTAAATACTTATTTATCCATCCATCCATTTTATAGTTGCTTCATCCAATTCAGGGTCGAAGGGAAGCCAGAGACAATCCCAGGAATTAAAGAGCACAAAGCAGGATACAACCTGGATAGGACGCCAGTCCATTGCAGGGCTGAGCTAGATATGATAATTTGCATTAATTACACTGACCTTTGTACATATAGTACATGTACTTTCTATTTTTTAATTGTTTATCTTTAAAACACAGTTATGTTTCCATTACTATCACAGTGTTTTTCTTTGGTGCTGTAGACTTTTAGTCTTTCATGTAGTATGGGGATATTTTTTATTTAGTCCAAATAAGGCATAATATTTTAAAACCAGGTAGAATTTGTTATCTCTTAAACCATACACAAGGGGGCTTAGACATCTTGGAGCTAAAATAAAGGCGAGATAATTGAAATATCTCACGTCAAGAAATAGCTGCATGTTTACCTCATACACAGCCATCTCTATGAATGGGCACAACATCTCGGTTAGACAGAGAAGCAACTGCATGGAGTGCAGAATCACTGTCTTAGAGCCTTTGGAAGCCAACCTCTTGTTATCTGAGGATGCGGCTTTGGCTGCTGCCATTATTTTAAGGTAGGTAAATGCAATGATAATTGCCATGACGAAAAAACAGAACTGCGCTATAGCAGACCTCAGATAGGATTGCCACTTGTGCACGATCGTTATCTCGACGGTGCAGATTGTGCGTGTCGTGTAAAAACTGAGCGATACTGAAGAAAAGAGAATGGTGAGGATGAGAGTAGAAGGTATGGCGCTCAGAGCCAGAATGATTAAGATGGAAGAAATGGCCCTGCTGGTTGTGGAAATGTCCGCGTGTCTCAGGGGCATACAGATGGCCACATAGCGCTCCAAACACATGGCAGTGAGGGTCAGCGGGGTGGCGTAAGTTAGGATTCCCATAATGAAGCAGACTAAAATACAAGACCATGCGGTTATTAGGATGTTAAAGTAACTCCACAGGAGGACCAAATTGGTCAGGAGCAGGAATATGCAGTCAACCACTAGTGTGTGTGCAAAAAACATATAACGCATGTTCGTCCGGAAAGCTTCTTTCTTGAAGAAGGTGACAATCAGGAGACTGTTCACATACAGGAAAACCACAACAAGGATCTGCACAATACCCATTTTCAGATTGGGTGGATATCCAGTAGAGTTTACCGCTGTACTGTTTATAGTACGGCTCTCTACCATGGTGTTTTTGACTGTGTTTTTGTGTGTCCAACTGCCTAGGATAAGAAAAGAACATCAGCAGAGAGTAGAAAACATTTCTGTGACAGCAATCACCAGAATCAGTACGATCACCACCCTCATAATACTTTCACGGTGGACTATGTGACTGGACGACTACCAGTGGTATTCTGCTCTGTGGTTTTTGATGTTTCAGTAGCTACAAAAGGATAATTGAATAAATAACATTTTCCCTTATACCCTAAAAAGTAAAACTGAACAGATGAATACATTTATTCATGTCTATATAGAGGTAAATTGGGAGAAATTTGCTTCTAAAGAAATATTTTTATTTTAATATTAGTTTTTTATATATCATATAGACATTGGTGTAGAGTTTCTTATTAAAATGAAAAATTATTGTATGCATATCTTACATCTATGTACAGAATGCATATTTACAAGTTAAAGTGATGTGTCTTGAACGTCCTTAAATCTGTCTTCAATTAATCCCTTCTAACCAGTTCCAGATATCAAACCTGATACAAAATAGTAACTTAAAAGCCAGAAGCAAGAGCCTTCTTCGCTAAATATTGTTTACACATTGCTTATCAAGTAAAAGATTCAGGCCTGCAAAATCATCAAACTTCCTCCTTCACCAGTGTTATTATATCAGAAAGTGCTATTTAGTTTTTTAAACTTAGAATGGAAAAAAATGCAAAACAAATTACCTTCAACAAATCTTCTTGCAATGACCTCAGACACAATACTTAATGCAATGCCTTTATATACTGTATTAAGCTAAACAACAGATCTATTTCTCAAAGGATGTTGATGACAAATCTGAGCCTTGGCAACAGATAAGCTCCTGGTATCATGTACCATTGGAAAAGAAATATAGCACTAACTGACTAGTAAACTCAACTCCCCAGAGAACAAGGATAATTCTTAATGATGATACTCATTTAGCACCTTGACTAATTTTAAAAATCTTTTTTTTTTAACTCTATGATTTAAAATCTGGCTCTCAAATAGGAAGCCTATTTAACCACCTTAAAACTAACTTTAATGCTTTGGTGTTTCCAGATTTTACATGTGAATGTTTTAAAGTGCTTCTGTTCTAGTATTGACGCTCAAAATGGTGGGGAGAGCTCTTTCAGTTTCCAGCCAGGTTTTATTTCTTTCAAACAACGTACTCCAGGGCCAGATGAGTGATCCAGCTCCATTACAAATCTATATATCTCAGCCACTTTGTCACAAAAGTTCAAATATAGTTTAGCAGAAGCAACCATACACATGACATAGACGTAATATGACATTTTCTATTCCCAACAGTACTCAAGAATCAATGCAGTGGTTACACCACCTAAATCATTCAAATTCAAATTAAATGTTTGTTAAGACTTTTTGCAGAAATGAACCTTTTTCTTTGATGTCCCTGTGTCCCTCTTTTGATCTGATAGAAATATCACACTCATCTTCAAGAAGGTTTTGCCGACAAAGTCAAGCTCCCACTCTTGCAAAAACAAAGGTTTTGCGAGAGTGAGTTTGCAAAAACAACGGCGACTATACAGTACTTCCACAAAGTTCATTATTGTCCTTAATTTGAAATTGGTAAAAGTTTTCTATTATGTCAATGAATTCATTTTGTTACCATGATTTTAATAACTGGTCTGCAGTTACTCTTTAAGTCCAGTTGGTTATATTTCAACCATCTTATCTGTCCTGAAACTCACTAATAAACACAGGGATTATCCATCCATCCATTTTCTAAACCATTTTATCCAGTACAGCGGCTTGGGGGATACTGGAGCCTAGCTTGGCCAGCATCGGGCTCTAAGTGGGATACACTCTGGATGAGACATCATTCCATCACAATGCACGCACAGACATGAACACACAAACATCAGGGCCAGTTATACAGAAGCAATTAGCCTGTCAGTGTGACTTCAGACTGTGACAGGAAACTATAATATGTGGAGGACATCCACACGAACGAAGGAAGAAAATAGCACCCCAGAAATGGAACACATGGCCCCATTGCTGTGCGGCAGCCATGTGTCACCATGCTGTCCAACAGTTCCAAATCTCTTTCAGCTAATTAATAGGTAAAAGCAAATTTACAAAAGGCCTCAAAAAACAGAAGGCCCAAGTGTAACCTTGGACTAAGGCTTAGAAACACTGTACTAGAGTATTTTTTAAGCCAAGTTCTGAAAGCAGAAAAACAGCTATAACAAGAAAGCAGATTCATTGCTGTTAGCAGTTAGCACAGCTGATTAAGGGCCTAGCTGGAATAAACATTAGCAGAGCCAAGGGCACTCCAGAACCAGGAGTAAGGACCAATGACTCATCTGACCAACTCACCAGTTTCAATGGTCAACACTGTTGTTGCAATTATTTAAGCCTAACCTGAACAACCTGGACTATGGCTGACTAAGACCAAGATTGACCAGTCAAACTAAATTCTAAATTGGGAATTTGTATGAGAATGATGCTCAGTACAGTTTAGAACATTTGGGTGCTTTTGGAGCGGTGAGAGTGTATCCATTCTGTTTTAAAAGAACAAGGGAATAAGAAGCAATTTAGGATAATAACAGAAAATCAATGATACAGGCCTAGATTTACTGTACATGCTGTATGCACTGCCTACATTTTTTTCATTGGCAATATTTCACTTTGCTTGTACTGTAACTGGGTTACTGTGAAACCCAGGCAGACAGTGGATGCAAGATTTCCTGAGTGCCAGAACATTGACCAGAGAAGGTCAAAGGTCAGGTCAGAAAAGCTGGAAGATGACCAGACAGGGGCCTGATCCCCATACCCACTTTAAGAACTTAAGGTTTAGTGGGAATACAGATAAATGAATAATGTACACAAGCCACAGAAAACTTGTATTATGGAGCTCTCATGCAACTGTAGCCCAGTGTCCAGCTAAAGCTTTCTGGTTTGGAGATAATCAGTCCAGATGAAGCCAGGGGGGTGAAAGACAGTTAAGCTCTCTGCAATAATAAAACTGACATTTTCCCATGTTCCTGTGTCCTGAGAGTTATAGTCTCCTCAATAATGGACGGATAATTGCGAAAAAGCTCAGGTGTATAATTTATTTCCACACTACTCATTAAAATCCTCATTAATTATTAAAGTACAGAACTGGCACCAAAGCAGCATGTTTTGCTCCTCTTCTCTAGAGCACGGTCTCAGTGGAAATGTGCATTAGGTATCACAGACAAGGATCTCATTACAGTCTGACAGAGCTGCACTCACGCTACTTCCTGCTGCTTCATACCAGTGCTGGAGAGAAGCCACTGAACTTACAACTGTCTACAGTATGTACATACAGGCATGTGTTTCTGTATAGACAGACCATACACAAAATAACATTCAGGCGCACAAAATTAAAACCTAAAGTTTACATAATATGGAAAATATGTTTGTATTTAATATGCACAAAATTGTTATATAACATTACTTTATTAACCCTTTACAATTTCTTACATTAGGAATTATCTTTTCACATACCCCAGCTTGCTCTCCATGAGACACACAAACAAGAGAGCCTGGGGTCAGAGCGCAGGGTCTGCCATTCTACAGTGTCCCTGGAGCAGTTGGGGTTAAGGGCCTTGCTCAGGAGCCCAACAGAGTAGGTTTACTCTGCCAGCTGAAGGATTTGAACTGGCAACCTTCCAGCCACAGGCACAGAGCCACCACTCCGCCCAATGCCATACTGTTTTTAAACATACTGGATGAGGTAAATCTAATGATTTTTGTGACCTAAATCTCAAAATCCTACAGATTGCAATCACTTACAATTACATTTTATAGTGCTTTTCTGAAACAATATATAAATAATGAATCTGATTAGCATTCAATATGGACAGCGTCCTTTGGAAGTATTTGGGCTGTGAAGTGAAAATTGCTACTTTTGCCGTATATTCAAGCCAGTAGGGTTTGAGATGGAAAAACGGATATGAGGCAAAAGCACAGAATGTCTCCTTTTACTTCTGTGTATACTGTAAACTAACAATGTGAAAGAAGGCCAGAGAGCTTGTGGTTGATTAACAGCACACTTTAATGTGGGAGATGTTGATGCACAGAGCAGGCAGCGCAACACTGTGTTTCTGGGAAGACACAAAAGATGGCCCAGTGGCTTCAGGCCTGCTTTAGTGACAGTTATAATAATAATAATTGCTTACACTTATATAGCGCTTTTCTGGACACTCCATTCAAAGCCCTGACAGTTCCCAGGCTGCTGTGCAGAGAGGCAGTGCATCTGCTAGCATCTTATCCCCTGCCCTGCTACACTGTGACAAATTGAGATTTCAGTTAAAAACATTTTAATTAGAGCTGACAGTGATTTTATCGATTTAGGAAATTACACATATCTAATATGATTGTAAGCAAGTCATGAATGTAATGAAAAGTTCAAATGAAATTTGGGGCAAGAGCTTTTATTTGTGTAACTCTGTCTGTGTCAAAAAGTACACAACATCAACTCACTCCAAGTTACAGCTCAATAATACAGGGGCAGTACAGCTTGGAACTCTAGGGTGGTGAAAGATCATATGAAAATGCACATTTTAATATTATAGCATTTTTGTGAAACTTATTTACAGTTTATTGTAAGCCTGTTTCATCTTAGTATAATAAAAAAGACTAAATATAAAATAATATACTACACTTTCACATAACAGTGTCTTGGTTTGCTTCTTCTTAAATAGCAGTGTAAAATCATTTTTTAAACATCTATGCACAATTTGTAGATTGCAAAGCTGTAGAGTGTGCAAAGAGAGACATTAGAGAGTTATGCAGAAAAGTTTTAGATTTGCTGATTTGCTCTCTAAATTGCTGTATATTGATACTGTACTTCTGAGATAAATGCCATAATTCTAACTTGTAACTATTCTATTTTCTATGCTCTTTGTATTACTTTCTATGTACCTAATGTTTTTACATTTTTT